TGCTGGTGCTGGTGTTGCTGGTGCTGGTGTTGCTGGTGCTGGTGTTGCTGGTGCTGGTGTTGCTGGTGCTGGTGCCGGTGCCGGCCACCCCCGTCCCCCTTCATAACAGTCAGCATCTATAGCAGTACCGCTTGAGATATATAAATGACATCTGAGCAGTGACTTACCGAAGAAAGCAGGGCCGGCAAGTCTCGCCGGAAGAAATTGTCCCGGTCTCGCCGGGAAGAGAAAGCCTCCAGAGGAATGGTTACTTCGTGGCCGTTTGGCCCCGAAACTCGAACTACAGTCATATGTTAGTCATATCCAAGTTGTATCCAGGTAGTTAATAGAAGTATCAAGTTACTGTACATACTTGGAGCAGCAGGGATGGGACGGTTGGCCCGGGCTGTGTTGTTGGTGCTGTTGTTGGTCCTGCTGTTGTTGTTGCTGTTGTTGCTTGACAGTGCTCCCTACTGTTAGCTTCCTCCAACAATCACGCACCTTGATGATGCACTTACTCGCGGATGAATCTCTTTATTTTTTGTTCTCCTAAATACATGTTAGTATCTTGCGTTGTAAGAATGACAATACTAGACAGGTAGATAGTAGGCATACTGCAGCAGTAAATCGGTCGGTTTGGAGAGAAGAGAAGGGAAAGGTGAGAAGGGACTTCAGCTGGGGACTCAAGTTAAAGGAGGGCGGTGGGTTCTGACCTTCGAACGGGACATCTGGATTTAGGGAAGGTGCGCCGAAGAGATTGAGAAGGTGCGAGCAGGTCTTGCATCGCCTGCACCTACAGCTACTGTTGCCTGGACTCAGACAGGGCAATTATCACCTAACGACATTGCGGCGTTGTACCTTCCCTGGAATGGCCCTATATTCTCTTATGTTCGGGCACGACGGGTATGCATGTAAATGTAGGAGAGTCACTTGAGGGAGTCTGTGTTAGTCGGGTCCTTCAAGACAGGATGAGAATTGCCTACTTGTCCTCCGCACATCACGCTCTTAGTATACTCTCGCTTCGTATGCCATCCATTCATGCATTAATAAGGTATCTCAGCTGACTGCTTCCAACCCTCAACCCCTCAAGCAGATGAACAACTGGTCATGTATTCGTCTCCTGCTCCGCATCCTCCTCGTAACCCTCGGTTTTCATATCCTTCAACCCTAGCTCCTCTTCTTCCTCGTCTGTCCGCTCATACTCTTCCACCGTCATTTGGTCGTCCGGCTGACTCGGGTCATCCGCCAAGCTCTGGACATAGCTGCACGCCAGCGGGTCAACAAGGACCACGGTAAACTCCTTCTCACCCTTTATCGCAGCGTTCAGAGCATCGAAGAACTCCTCCCAACGCTTCTTCTCCTCGGCACTGAGAGAGTCGTTCTTCCTGCTATCCGGACCAGCCTCGGCATCGGCCTCGAATATCTGGTTGTGAAGGTCATCCCGGACCTGCGTGAGCAGGCCCTCGACCGTGGTGAACCGGCCACCGAGTGTGCCAGGGTTGACTGTGAGGCTGAGCTCGGGGCACTCGAGGGAGCAGCTTTCGCTCTTCAGGATATCGCGAGCGAGATCCTCGGGTTTGGTGACGCGGAGCGTTACCTTCTTGCCCTTCTCGGGGATCTCGCCGCCCGTCTTGACGTCGTTTGATTTGTAGCCGCAGTCGTCGCACGAAGTGTTCATGATGACAACCTGCCGGAAGTGCGGTATGTCTACCATCTTCATGTTTGTGGTGCAAGGGTGCATGCAGCCCGGGCAGGAGGCAGGGAACTGGTAGATTTGGTCGGGTATGATGTTGCCATCCTCGTCCAACCCGGCATTGGAAGTGTCGACCAGACCGAGTGCTTCATTCTGTTCAGGCGTGCGGAAGTATTCGCGTTTGTCCCACTTGCCCACGCCGTCGCGCGGATCAGGGGCTATGAACGAGTTGCCCGCCGGGTCGTCGATGGCAACACGGAAGGGAAAGGCGTCGCCAGCGAGCATCTTCCTCCCTTTAGCGATTATTTCCTCTATTTTGGCATATACCTCTGGCGCTTCTTCCTTGCGTTGTTCTTGGCCATACGCGAGATCGTCAACGATGGTCGTCAGGAGCCCCTCGACGTTTGTGAGCTGCCCCTTGCCAGCCGGGACCTCGACATCCAGCTCGATGAACTTGACAGTAGCCGTGTCAGACTTGACAACCTGGCGCTCGAAATCGGCCATGGAAGTTAACCGGAGCTCGTAGCGCGCGCCTTTGAGTTGGTAAGTGCCCGCGGGCTGGATCTCGTTATTATGGAAGCCGCACTTGTCGCATGAGAAGGACATGATGATGATCTCGCGGAAATAAGGGATCTTGGTAAGGAGGAGTCGCGTTATGCCCTAGACGATCCTGAGTCAGAAGGTCGTTCTCTGGACGTGGGTAGCGCCAGAAACCTACATTCTCTTCGCAGTTCATGCACAGTGACTCGACTTCCTCGACTACTCTCTCGTCCTCGTCGCGCGCCACATCGTTTGCGCCGTTTGATACGGCCGTGGGCGCGACCTTCTCAACTGTCGCGCCAATCGGGTTGAATAACTCGGGCATCTTGTCTGCTTTTTCGTGGTGTTCTGGAAGGGTACTGGTATCCAGGAGAAAATTTTGGAGGGGTAAAGTCGTCTGTTAGACGGTATGGCGGGGTACTGGTGACAACCCTTTCTAGTCCAGATTATAGTGGGGTTGAAGCACCTGGACAAAACTTATGTCATTCGAGATAGAGCCCGACGGTACCCCAGCATTCCCGAATCTTCGGGAGACCACCCAATGCCCAAAGGCGATCGAGAGCGCCAGACCTGCCCGAGTCACTTCTTCTCCATGAAATCTGCTAGACTCAAGCCGAGCCCAGGCCTCATGTTTCGTGCTGCAGTCGATTGATCCAACAGAGCCTGCAATCCGGCCTTTCTCGACTTGGCACGTTTTTTGCTGTTAGCGTTCGTGCTGGATTTCTGAGGAACTGTATCCGAATTGACGGTAGGCATAGATTGGGTCACCGCTGGCTCTGACGACTTTTGAGGTTTCTGGACCTCTAGATGGCGCCTGGAGATAGGGGCTGGCGCCGGCAGCTTGACCTCGGTCAGCCTGCTGCAGCGTCCGCAGGTCATGACCTTTGTCGGGCCGGAACGAGCCTCGTCCTTTTTCGGATGCCTCGTTTGCCCCAGCTTTTTGTATGCTCTCTTCACCTGCCTGATTTGCAGATCGCTCCCTTGTCCGGGAAGCATGATGTGGCCACAACAGGTGCAGACATGCTCTCTCTGCTTATCAGAGAGCGGTATCTCGTGCTCAAACATCAGGCCATTACGATGGCTCATGAGATATGCAGATGTTTCAGGAGCCGTGATGGCTAAAAGGTGTCCTGCATCATTGAGAAACCTGATGGCAGCAGTCACGTCGCTGGTAGCCATTTGTCCTCTAATTCTCGGTGAGAAACGACGGCCGAAGATAGCGTGTCGTAGGCAAAGGTGATCATGCCCGCTGTCGAGAAACTCGAGGTACAACTTGAAGGGGACAAGTCAAGAATCAACAAGCGAAGCGCTCGAGAATTGGTTACTTACACTTTACATACGGTAACGAAAGATGTAAGTTACCTCATTGTTTGTACGATACAGAGAAAGAATACGGTACGTTACACATGCGCTCCCCTTCAATACCCCCCTTGTTTGTTCGCTAGCGCATGACTTGAAAACAGGGGGTCAACCTCCAAAGTCAGATCTCGACAGAAAAACAGCCACTTTGCTCACAGGTATAATAGCTAAATAAAACGACCATTTTAACATTGCTAGATGCTTAATCTTTTTGCGTTGAAGTATTCCCTCTGGCTGTTGAGCTGTATCTTTTTGAATTTTGGACCAGGGCCCCTGTCCTGGGTTCCGCGCTAACAAACAAACAAGGGTTGTATTGTACAATACGAGACGAAACAACATCACGTTGGGGACGAATACAGCATCTGTCAAGTGCATCAGTGTTAGGTTGTCCATCGCAGGTTAACAAGTTCACTTTCTTATGCGCGGATTATATCCCATTTGAGTTCCTTGACGCTCACTTCCTCCCCTGCTTTCTCATCATAGTCAAACCACTCTCCCTCTGTCAGCTCCACGCCTGTAAACTTGGTACCTGATTCGAGGCCGTCAGCGAGCCACTCTCCCTGCCCATTATGATTCACGGGTTAGCATTTGCATTTGGCCACCTTGGAGTGCTGAGAACACTAACCTCCGGAACAAACTCTGTAAACTCAAGACCTCTGCAGTCAAACTGGAGGATCTTCTGCGGCTTCGTAGGCTCGCTTTGTTCGTACGGAACCGGAGCAGCCTGGATGGATGCCGATGCCTCTCTCTGTCGGAGAACTGTCTCAGCTGAACAGTTTTGCTGTCTAGCAAATGAGGTTGCAGGATAGCCCTAACCTTACAGTTCTTGCATCTCCATACAAAGTTTGCCTCGCCTCGGCTCCCGCTCATCTCATGGGTTTCCTATGATAGGTAGGTAAGTAGGGGGCGTTGCAGCAGAATCTGGAGGGGACTCACAAATCGGTTGAATGAAATGGTGTTGGGATGGATTTCTCTGCAAGATGTGCACTGCACCTTGAAGACATACCAGAATGGGTTGTCTTGAGTGTCGTTGGGCCGCAGGTTCGTAACTCTGAATTACCCAAATCCATAAGCCCCCAAGATCAGCGTACTGCGGTGGAAAGTACCGAAGGCGCGACTCACCCCGCTAATTCCGCCTGGAGAGTGAGGGCATACATTGCCGTGATGAATCTGGGGCTTTCTGGGACCCTGTAAAGAAGTTGAAACCTGAGCTGAATATAGAGAGCCAACGGGACTGAAGTGCCGCTTGCAGTTTGAGCTTGAAGCTTGACAAGAGGATGTAGCCCAGCTCCGTCGATCACGATGGCGGGGCAGCGAGCTCTGGACCAGATGCTTGGTATTTCCCGCACGAACATCACGGTAATGTAAATATCCATCTTGTATCGGTAATTTTCTTCCACTAATTGCAGGGCTGGGCCCACCAGAGGGCAGCTCAGATCCGCCAAGCTCAATTGCTCGCTCAATTGGTCCAGACGTCAACCATACAACTTCATCAGGCAATCACCTCGAACTCCCCAACGCTCGCCGAGCGCGCAGATACAAGTCTTGCCGCGTCAACTCGGCCGATATGCTCCGGCAATGCCGAGGCCCTGGTTAATGGCAGCCGGACTGCGGGCCTGCCACTACAGGGCGACACTGCGGACGACCACCCGCAACAGCTTTGCCTGCAGATCCACGCCAAACAGTACTCCGATCCACCAACGGCGCCGCAAAGTCCTGGCCAGCGATGTCTTTACGGCATGCTACTCGGCCATCATGGCTACAGCTGCCGTCCTTGACGCCCGCCAGAAGGACCGACGCAGACGTGTGCTCGACGCCCAGATAGACGAGGCCAGGAGCAAACTTGCCGTGCTGCTGGAGCAATCCCATGCCCGAGACCTAGCTCAGATTGTCAAGTCCCCTCCCCCGTCTTTCTATGACGGCTCGCTGGAGGCACTCGACGTCTTGAAATACATTTGCAACATTCGACCGGAATTTTTGCTCGAGGTGGAGCCGAAGCATCAGAGCAGGGCCAGAGCTCTCAAGCGATTACGCATGGATCTGGGCATATCATGGGATGTTAGAGAAACCGTTGGGACCTCGACGCTGGTAAAGTGCGAGGAGATCTTGGCCTTGGAGAAGACCAACCCCAATGTCCCCCGTCGTGAACCGAGGACGGAGAGGCAGATGGCCAAAACTACCGACATGATCAACCATCTAGTGGACTTGCTCTTGACCGAGGCGTACTGGCAGTCGGAAGCAGAGGCCCCCAATTCGCATCCTTCCTTGGACAGCCCAGACTCGGCTCGAACGATGATCCGTCTGCTACGATCAGAGGGCTATCCCCGCTACAACCACCCTGACGTGGACTTGAACGAGACGGCCGAGTCCCGGGCTCGCTTGAACGAAACCAATTTGAGCATCCTGGCTGATTGGGTACGGCCGTACCGGGAACGCTATGTAGCGAAGATCTGCTACAACCTCCTGGTCTGCGGTGTCCCGCCGTCCATTGAAAATTACAACGCCCTCATACTGGGCTTTGCGCGGCTTGGCGAGCATGCCCTGGCGCAGGCCGTTGTAGATTCCTTCCTTTACAAGAGCCATCTGAAACCGACAGAGGGGACGTTCTTGTGCTTGTTGCATCACTACCGGCTGAAGAAGGACATTGTTGGCTTCTGGGGTCTCCTTCGACGTCTCTTCGGCCACGATCCCCGGGGAATTGGGCTACGACGCAGGACGGGCGAGGAGATAAGACGAATTGACAATTTTCGCCGCTGGGCCGAGGAGACAGGCGTTACGGCAGTGAACGGTTACTTTGTGGAACGTGCAGAGCTTACCCAGAACCTTGTCGAGGCCATGATGGAGGGCTTGATAGATTTCCGCATGCTGCGCGAGGCCGCGAAGCTTGTTGTCATCTGTCTCCAGGAGGGGTGGCAGGTCGGCTCGGAACTTCTAGCGAGGTTGTTCTATGCGTGCATCAACTCACTGGATGCGTCGGCTGCAAGAATATTGATTCAGGGTCTCCTCGACAATATAGGTCAAGCTTCATGCATGATTCTCGGTCCTGGAGCTGTTGAACCATCTATGGTTAGGCAGTTGCGCCACCTTCTCAACATCTGTCAAGCAACCTCGCTTCCCGGTACGGCGGAGTTCCATCCCTGGCTTTGGGCCGGCCCTTCCTCGAGCACCAGGCTCAGGCACCTCGCCACGGCCATCTGGATTCGAGAAACGTGGAACAACAGCCGCATCATGACATCCAGATTGAAGAGGGCAAAGCAAGCACTCCACGAGCAGCGACCACTGAGCTCACGACTCAACCTTGCGCTTGCGGTGCTCGACTTTGAGGCCGATCGCCCGATGCGGAAGCTGGAAAACACCGAACTCGTTCAGCGTATGGCCAAAATCGCCTGGCTAGAGTCGCAATGCGAGGCTGCAGCGAGGAAGATCGTCGAGGCAGAAACGGACATATGCAACGTGCTGGCCCGACGGGTGCCGAAAGAACTACGGACATTTTTCGACTTCAATCCCAAGGTCGCGATACAGAAGCGGATCAAATCCTTGTTGAGATTCTGGACCCCAGGGACAAAGCAACATCAAATGGCTGAATGCTACGCCAGAAGCCGAGAGATCGAGACGGAGTTGAAGGTTGCTCTTTTAGTGGCCCTCCCGACCGACTTGGCCAAACCCGTCTTAGCCACACAGAATAACACAGGAGACATTAGCTTGGGCAAGATACTGGTTCATTTTGAACGATATCTGATGTCATTCAAGCATAAAGGGCAGAAGCAAGCGGAAACGGCGCCTCAAAGAGACCCGTTCTCCCAACTGTTGGAGAAACTGCCAAAGCCGACTATCCGGTTCTGGCCGCAAGCGCCAACAACAGGCGCGGCGGCATCGGAACAAAAATGGTGAGCGAGGCTCAAACATACCTATGAATACATTATGGATACCAATGCTCCGTATACGTTGTACGACTATCATAGAGAAAGCCTCCAGAAGGCAGTTTGGAGATACCCAAAATCACCAAAGGTTACAAGCTTTTGGTCAAACTTCCCACTGATGCGAACCTTGACTTGAGTGTTCCGGGAGGAATGAATCGTCTTGATATATTCAAGTGCGATGCCCTCATCCCATACAAGCCTGGACGAACAAGCTTAAGGCTCGGCGACTCGCTGGATACGTACTCGCTGGTTGTTGTCCAGGATCAGGGGTACACTCGGATCATGAGAACACCAAGACCGTTCTGGCCGGGAGCTTCCCCTGGCCCCTGAGACCCTGAGGGGCGACATGCATCACGGGACCGCCGTCGCCTGCCAAATTTGTTTTTGAGCGTGCCTGACTAGTGCTTGAAGGGTTTTTGTTGACAAGACTATGTGAATCACGAGGCTCTTATGTCTTGACCTGGGCTTGCAGACTGCCTACCTATTCTTGTACTGTATGGTATCACCGCATGTCTGTCTTCATGCGAGTAGCTACAAAGATAGGCAAGTATGGAGGGGAAGCGGTGAGCATGGGGTCAAGCAAGAGCACTGCAGCTACCTACCTACATTCCTAGTTACAGGAACTTTGCAGAGGATTGATTCGCATATCGGCTCGACATATCAGTATTTTGATTCGTGAAGCGATCTACTCTGAAGCACATCCAAAGTACACTTTATCTATTATGTATTGGATCGCAAGCATGTGGAAACCATCTGGATCTTGTGGTGGGGCATCTGTGGGGAGAATCACTGCCCAATGAGGTCAAGCCTTACTGCACCGGGCGTGGCCGTGAGATCTCACTGGCTCCCGCACAGGACCGCGCTGTCATGGCGAGGCGGGCGGGAATGTTGCTGATTGCATCTCCGCTTGCCTCAAAGCTCTTGACCGCAGACATGAGCTCACGAGTCCTCTGCAGTTCCCGTTTCGGCGGCCCTCCAACGGTCGGGACAGACCCGGACCATACTCGGCGTGCCCTCGATTAGCACCAGCTAAAACCCGGTTTATCGGGACAGATATAGTGCCCACCATCTCGAGGCCAGAGTTCTCGTTAAGATCCACCATCATTTTCCATCTTGACTTATCCATTTCGTGACCCCGGTTTCTTTCCCCAATGGCGTCTTTGTCTTCCAAGTTTCAGGCTTCGCTTGTCGAGGCGTCATCGCTTTCCTAAACTCGTCCCGGCACCAATCCACTGCTCTTTACCCGTTCGTTCGGCTGCATCACAAGCAACGAAGTCAACCCTGCTCGTTAACGGAACCGAACTTAGAGGCAGCTCTGCTTGCAAGTGCCTTGTTGCCGCGGTTGATTACTTCCTTCTCGAACAGAAGATGCAGTATAGCATCGATTAAGCCAGCAGCTCTTAAGCGTTTCTTATTCCGCAACCTCGGTTCTTCCAAAAGAGTTACCAGATCCCGCATCCTACACCTCCATCTTTCGACCGGCAAGTTGTTACTTCTCACTACTACAGATCTCTCTTTCCGTCCCGGTAATCACAATGAAGTTTGGAAGAAAGTGAGTCCCACTTGCCATCCCGTCCCTCGGCCCCTCCCCGGACACCATCAGATCGCTTACTCTTGTCGCCAGTCTGCCACGGAACCAAGTCCCTGAGTGGGCAGGGTCCTACATCAACTACAAGGGGCTCAAGAAGTTGGTGAAGGCCGCTGCCAAGGCAGCCCAGATTGGAGAGCAAGTCGATTTAGCAGGTGTGTTTCCCCTAGGCCGCCCGCCGTTTCCTCTTTGTACAATCTGACCATGTCTTGGCAGAGTTCTTCTTCGTCCTTGACCGCAATCTAGAGGACGTTGATTCCTTTTATAACAAAAAGTTTAGCGACGCCTGCCGGAGGCTGAAGGTTCTTCAGGACAGATACGGCGCAACACCGGATGTTGTTGCCCACCTCGATGATGACGAGATCGAGGAGTTAATGGGCGCGCTGCTGGAGCTGCGGAGCCAATTACGGAAGCTCCAGTGGTTTGGTGAGATCAACCGGCGCGGCTTTGTCAAGATTACCAAGAAGCTCGACAAAAAGGTTCCCAATACATCGACTCAGCACCGTTACATCTCGACCAAAGTCGATCCTCGCCCCTTCGCCAAGGACACCACCATCGCCCGGCTGCTGGTCGAGATCAATAAATGGCTCTCGGTGCTAGGCGACTCTCACAACGTAGACGACGCAAGGTCGGAGCGGTCAACGAGGTCGCTCGGCCGGGCATCGGCGAAAGCCATGCTAAGTTTGCCGACGGCCGCCCTGGATAAGCTGGACCAAGCGATTCGGGCAGACGATGCCAGCGCCCTAGACGACGTTTTGAGGGAAGGGAAAGTGCCGATTACGGAACCTGCGTCGCAGAGAATGCTCCTCAACCTGCTCCAGCGTTCTATATCAGCCCGCTCCAAGAATTTGATCGCGTATTTGCTGGAGCATATTTCATCCCTTGATGAGCCGGATGACATCAACGAACGAAACTGTATTCACAGACTTGTCATCCACATTGGTCGGACAAAAACGGCATCTGCAAGGAACGACGACGACTCGAACCCGGCATCGTACCCCTTTCCGGGCGCTGCGCAGTACGCTCAAAGCTATCTCACTCCAGCAACGTCCCCTCTGGCAGCCCCTAGAGTCTGCGGCCTCAAGGAGTCAAGCCTTCTCAGCAAGGATGACGAAGCAGTCCAGCTTCTTCTTTATCTCTTAGAGTCGCTCAAACCGGATCAAAGAGCGGCGTTGAGTGCCAAGGACAGCTTTGGCCGGCTTCCATTGCACTATGCCGCTCAGTTTGGCTTCGTGGTCGTCTGTCAGATTCTGATGAGCAAGATGCAGGAATGGGGTCAGTTCAACGTCGAAAATGGCATTGATGCGCCCGAATGGCAGGACAAAGACGGCAACGCGCCGTTGCACCTCGCCGTCCTTGGCGGTCATACTTTAACGACCAAGGCGCTTCTCCAGGGGGAGAATTGGCAGGGCGTCAGCGACAACAAGTCCGAGATGAGACGAGCCATATCAAAATCGAGCGCCGTTCTGGCCATTGCAACCAAAGCCAACGCCAAATCCATTGTGGAGATGCTGGTGGAAGCCGGTGTGGATATAAACTGGCAAGACAAGACGGGCGAAACAGCGCTTCATATTGCCGCTCGTTTCGGGCACGATGAGTGCGCCAGGGTGTTACTGAAGGGAACGGCTGAGCAAAAGGCGGATGTCGAGCTAGCAGAAAATTCGTTCGCCTGGACACCCCTCCATATCGCAGCTGTGGATGGTCATCTGTCGGTTGCAAAGCTGCTGGTGGATGCCGGTGCAGATGTGAAGAAGGCGGACTCATCGGGGTGGACTGCAAAAGAGCATGCAGCGTTAAGAGGGCACATGCCAATCGCTCACCTCCTTGCTGAACACGAGGAAGAGGCAGAAGACGCAGCGTCCAGCAGCTCGGACGAATCTGGGACTGAATCTGGGGCCCGTGAAGTTGCCTCCTTAGAGGACCGGCGGTCAAACGGCTCCTCTCGCCCTGCAGAGCCCGTCAAGTCGTTCGGCCATCGGTACCTCAAAGACGAAAGCTTGGTGCTCGTCAGCCTTGGTTCGATGGATATGCGTAAAAATGTCGAGGCCGTCACGTTGGACCGGGTCCCACTGACCGAGGCTCACAACACACAACTCGACACGGCTCTCTCGATCGTCGTCTCAGCGCAAGGAGCTCATGGCGAGCCGACCATCATTGACATGCCCGTTCAGGAGAATATCTCGACGGAGCCAATTGTCTTCTCCACAGCCGATGCCGCCAAGGTTAAACTGCTCTTTGATATCGTGCCTACCTACTCGGGCAACGAAAAGCACAAGATTGGACGCGCTGTTGCCCTGCTGTCTAGTATACGACCGACGATCGGAGCCAAAAAGATGAATTTGCAGGGAGACGTCTGCGTTCCTATCATGAGCGCGAACCTTGAGGTTATCGGGACGGTGAACTTCAACTTCCTTGTCATCACGCCTTTCTCGCACCCGAACATGGAAGTGACCTCGAGGCACACATACTGGAAAAAGCTGACGTCGACCATGCTCATTGGCCACCGCGGTCTGGGGAAGAACTTGGCCTCCAACAAGTCTCTGCAGCTGGGTGAGAACACGGTGCCGTCCTTCATTGCTGCGGCAAACCTGGGCGCTCAGTACGTCGAGTTTGACGTGCAACTCACAAAGGACCACGTCCCGGTGATTTACCACGATTTCCTAGTTAGCGAGACGGGCATTGACGCCCCAGTCCATACTTTGACGCTAGAGCAATTCCTGCACATCAACCCAGATTCAAGCCGCCATAACCACCACCCCCAGACCGCCCGGCACAAGCAACTCGACAAGACACGCAGTAACAGTCCAGGCCCACGTCAGCGGTCCATGTCGATGGACTGGTCAGACCACCAGAAGATGATGAACAAGACCGAGATGGAGGAACGTATGAAACACACGCGGGACTTCAAGGCCAAGGGTTACAAGGGCAACTCGCGCGGCAACTTCATCCAGGCGCCGTTCGCCACGCTCGAGGACTTGTTCCACAAGCTGCCCGAGTCGGTCGGGTTCAACATTGAGATGAAGTACCCAATGTTACACGAGAGCGAGGAGCACGAGATGGACGCATATGCGGTTGAGCTTAACTCATTCTGCGACACAGTGCTCACAAAGGTGTACGACTTGGCAAAGGGGCGGCATATCATTTTCAGCTCGTTCAACCCGGATATCTGCTTGTGCTTGAGCTTCAAGCAGCCAAACATTCCGATCCTGTTCCTGACGGATGCGGGCACGTGCCCCGTGGGTGACATCAGGGCTAGCAGCCTGCAGGAAGCTATCCGGTTCGCGAGCAGGTGGAACCTGCTGGGGGTCGTGAGCAACGCCGAGCCGTTTGTGAATAGCCCGCGCCTGATCAGGGTGTTGAAGCAAAACGGGCTGGTTTGCGTCAGCTATGGGACGCAGAACAACGATCCCAAGTTGGTTCAGGTAGGATTTCCGTCTCCAAACTGTTGGTTGCGAAACATTGGCTAATTAACATTTCTGCTGCAGCGGCAAGTCAAGGAGGGCATCGACGCTGTCATTGTCGACAGCGTACTGGCCATCCGGAAGGGCTTGACCGGGGCTAGCCAACACCAGGAGACTGGTGGCGCGGAGGTATCAGTTCGGAGCAAGATCCAGACAAACGGAAGCTCGGGAGAAGTATAGAGGGCAAGGGGTACTTGGCATGGTAATGAGCGAGACTATAAACCGGTTGATGAGTTTCCAGCTAGAGATGCGCTTTCGACGGGTTTGACTCGGGATTTCGATTCCGCTATTAGAGACCGGACAGACGACGGTCACATTTGAGACTCACGAAGAGACTTGAGCTTTGCGTTGCTTCTTCCACATTGGAATTTCTGCGATAGATTCATGTGCCGTGATGTGATGTCGCACAGTAGTACTGTAGTCGTGGCGTTAATATTGAAACGGGAGGCAGCCCAGTGGCTCCCTGCCTCTCTTATCGATTCCAGTGCCCGCTAGCCAATGGCGTGCTAGACGCGCCAGCGTTTGGACTGCGGTCATGAACCATCGCCAGATCAGGCAAGTTATTCGTTTTGGTTACTTTCCGGTTCAGCAGAGGCGTTGGGGCTGTGTTGGATCATCTTACTGCATGTGTGCTCGATTTTGTTCTGGTTGCCAAGGGGTAACGTTAAGCGGAGATGAAAGATGGAGTATGTACGAAGTGTGAGACGGGCTAGCCCCTGACTTTCAGAGTGTTTTTTGAGATGGAACGACAAGATGCGAGGTGCCAGCGACGAAACCCAACCCCCTCTCAACGAGATTGCAGCATCCATATTCCATGGGCCTATGATCCGACTATTGAATTATCGTGCCGATAAATTTAGAAGGGTAGGGTTGTAATAATGGGGTAGGCTCGTCGGTCCGTGTTGGTGGTAGGCCGCTTTTTGTTTAGACAGTCTGGTCTCTTTGGGCGGTCTTTTCGCGGCGGTGTGTGCAAGAGACCGTGATCCTGTCAGCGTGCCTGCTTCCGCTTCCTGGGGGAAGTGTGTTGTTGGCGCGTGCCTCTCGCTGTGATCGTCCTTTTTGATGTGTGTAAGTTACGTGTAGTATCGAGCTGTATTTTTGCCCATGTGGAAATTCGAGACGATTGGGTCCCTCTCCCTCTTTGACCAGACTTTGTCGGCCACAGTCACCCTCACTTCACCAGTGAGGAAAGAGAAGTGGGTTGATCAAAGACCTGAAGCCACCGGCGACGCTCTATGAACCCGTACTAGGACCCGTACTGAATCAATAACTTAGGTAATTACAGTACAGTACACGGATTGACACCCGCCAGTAAGTTCAGTTGGCCTCCCTGTCCCGCCCCGCCCCCTCCCAAGTCTCATGCGGCCCCGCTGCGCCTGCTTCTGTCACCAGGATCTGACCCTGCTTAGTTAGCTCCCTATGTCGGGCAGCGCAGTAGAAAGAGCGAAAGGCGCCCGACAAACAAAAAGCTCGCAGCGCGCCAATTACTCCCTCAACCTCCTCTTCACCCTTTCTACATACTTTCCCCCCGTATCTCTTCCCGATCAGAACGGCCTTTACACTACCCAGCGATCCGCATCCGCATCCCTCGATCGCACCCATGGCAGGCCCCGCATCCCCCGGCAGCGAAGGGCCGACCTTTGCGCCGCCGCCTTTGCCCGCGGGCTGGATCGCGCAGTGGGACGCTTCGTCCAAGAAGTATTATTTTGTGCAGCTGTCGACGGGCCAGTCGCAGTGGGAGACGCCGACCGAGGCCGCTCCCGTAGGCGAGACGCCCGGCGCCCGCAACGAACACCCTTACGGCGTGCCCAACGCAAACGCAAACGCCGACATTATTGTTCACCCGGACGGCAGCCAGACGGCGAGGTATCCGGACGGCAGACTCGAGCCCGTCAACCCCAGGGAGGATGGCAGTACGACCCCCGGGACGAGGGGTGTCACTGGCGGCGGTGGCGGAGGGGACAGGTCACTTGGGGTATGTTACTTCCTACCTTTAGGCTCTTGGCTCTTCTCGCTCCTCGACGTCCTGGTTGATGGTTGTTTGTTCGCTGTTGTTCATTTATTTGGCGCTGTGCTAACCTATGCCGATCTCAACAGGGCCTCCTTGGAAGCGCCCTGGGCGGTAATAAAGCCCACGGTGGCGGCGGTGGCGGCATCGGTGGTCTCGCTGGGTCAGTGCTGGGCGGGCTAGGAGGTAAGACCTCTGGCGGCCATGGCGGCGGCAGTGGTGGGATTGGCGGGAAGCTCGCCTCGCAGCTGGCATCGAATCTGTTCTCTGGAGGAAGCAAGCCGGGTTCCCAGCCGCAAGGCTATCACGGTGGACAACCGGCACATCACTCTGGCTCATCCGGTGGTCTAGGAGGTCTTGGAGGTCTTGTTGGGGGGGTTGCCGGCAGCTTGCTTGGAGGCAAGCACGGCTCGGTATGTTGAACCAAAGCACTGCTTTCACTGCGTCGTTGCTAACCGTTGGAGAAGAGCCAGAACAACTTTGGCTACTCGAACACCGGGCAGACTAGCTACAGCGGTCAAGCCCCTCCTGCGTCGTACCAACCACCCTCGCAGCCAGGGCAGCCGAATACCGCTCACTCGTACCAAAGCAGCCCGGCACCCTACCAGAACCCGGGTCAGCACCAGCAGCCCCCTTACGGTCAGCAGACTCCGGGGCAGCCGTACACCCCTTCCTACAGTTCACCCGGAGGTCAGCAGCCGCCGCACGCGCAAAGCTACCCGCCTCCGCCGCCCGGCCAGCCCCAATCAGGCTATGGTCAGTACGGCCACGCACCCCCGCCGCCGCCAGGACAGCAGCCATATGGTTCGTCTGGCGCGCAGCAACCGAGCTACGGTCCGCCGCCAGGTCAACCTCCGTACGGGCAGTCGCACGGACAACCACACGGACAACCACACAGCCAGCCACAATACAGCGCGGCTGCCTCGTACGGGCAGCCACAGTACGCTCCGCCGCCGACGTCACAGCCGGGGGGACACTCACCGTATCCCTCGCAGCCAGCGGGGCACTCGCCGTATCCACCTCAGCAGCAGTATGCCTCGCAGCCTCACCAGGGAGGATACGGATCAGGCCAGTATCACTAGGGGATGTACCATTGCAACTAGGCTAAGCATTGGCAAAGTGGCCTATTGAAGGCTGCCCGCTGTTACTGCTGGCAGTCTGCAGATCCAGATTGGCTGGCGTGGCTGCTTGGATACGAGCAGTGGTGGTGTTACTGGGCTGAGGAAGCGGAAGCGGCGGCAGCGGCGGCGCGGGACAAGGTCGTTTCGGTGTGGTGGTCGGCGATGGAAGTGCAGAGCTGGCTGGACGAGCTGGAGTCGTTGGGGCCGGACCAGCTGGTGGAAGAAGAGTGGGAGAGGCAGTGGATCGAGAATTCCTGGTTGGGCGATGAGCTACTGGACGCAGAGATGGGCAAGGTGCCGGTAGAGAAGGAAGAGTACCGGCAGGCGCTGAAAAAGTTGCTTTTTGACTAGGAAGAGAAGCACTCCGAGGTGAAGCTCCATCTGCGGATGACGCAGAGGCGGCTTGAGCAGATTGAGAAGGCGTTGCAAAAGGACCACAAAGTGGTCCTTTCGGAGAAAGGAAGGCAATTTCAGGAAGCGCTCCTGCGGGAGTTGGAGGAAGGGAAAAAGAAAGAAGAGGATTTGTGGGATGAGATTGAAGATCTGTGGTGGGAGAAGGAACAGAGATTGATGAGAAGGGAGGAGAGGAGAGTGAATAGGGAGATGAGACGCCGGAAGAGGAAAGGAAAGCGGAGGAGGAGAAGGAGGGATAGAGCGAGGAGGAAGAGAATGAGGAGGTGGCGGATGATGGGATACAAGAAAAGAGGGCAGCGGAAGCGGCATGTTTGAACAAGGCATAGGAGACAGGTTGCGGGATATACGACCCCAAACAAGGTTCTGAAGCCGGTAAGTGGAATGGTCGAGGGGAGAGCAGAGTGGCTGTGACTAAGCGATGTTGGGTGTGTTTGTTTTCCCTTAGCCATGAACATGATAGAAGACTGGTAGCGTTACTTGGTACTTTTCCTTTGCCAACGTGTCCCAGGAGCTGATTGAGCTCGAGGGCTTTGGGTTAAGTTGTGCTGGCCGTGTTTGTATTCCTGCAGTTGGATCCGCGTTGGCCGGTAGATCTCGCCAGCTATCACCGAGCCTGTGTCGATAAGAAAGGAAAAGATGTTCAAAATAGGTCGGGGTATCATCAGTAAGGTCACTGTCTCTTTTTATTGCTCTCCTGCTGCTTTCTATCAACCGCTATCAGCTGCTGAATCCATGTAATTATCTTCCCACTGAGGAAGAAGGCTGCCACGGCAACGCCAATGATGTAGCAAGCAGTGCCTGCTATCGAGCGTGGTAGTATGTTGAAGAGAAACGGATCCAGGATGATGTCGACGTCTACGGGCGGCACCTTGCTCATGAGTGAGGCGTCGGTGGTGAAGTAATCCGCTGCGGCGAGGATGCGGAGGAGCAGCACGGATGCTTCCCGCTCCTTTGCTACCGGGATTCCGGTGCTGCTGTCCCGCAATGGCTGTTGTTGCACCTCGTCGTCTTTGGTAACCGCATGGCGGTATGTGGAGTACTCGTGCAACGAGGCCATCAGCTCGGGAGAATCCCAGACTGTTTCGAGGGGGAAGGTGTCGAGTTTGAACTCGGTTGGTTGCTGGGTTGAAGGGTTATATGTAAGATTCAACTCTGGGTTCAGATTGAATGACGGGGTTTTACTTACTGTTGCTGCCCAGCAGACGCGCACCTCATAGCGTTGGTTGGGGTGGAGGTTGTCGAGGATGAGCCATGTTGCTGTCCCCGAGGGGTGAGTGTCGCTAGGGAACTGGGCGTTGAGCTGCGTTCTGAGGCTCCAGTTGGCTGGAGTGAGAGTGTCGAGGCGGAGGTCGGAGAGGGTGGGATGGGCGGTGGGGATGGTGATAGGCTCAGGAGCTAGGAAGATGGCCTTTTCGGTGTTGGCGACGGTAGGGGATGTGAGGAAGAGGAGGAGGACGAGGAATGAGATTGATGAGATGGGCATAATCGACACCCTCATCCTGGATGTCTTGAGATATTGAATATATAGCCAGGCACCGCTGTCTATGAGATGGAAGGGTACGAAGCCGAATCTCAACTCTTAGTGCTGGGTGCCGGGAGCCGGCGGACGGGAGACTACGGCCCGGGTTGTCGGGGCCGAATTGCTGGGTGGAATCTGGGATTGGGTGCAACGATCGGTCAACCTTTTCCCCAGGTTTGGGCAGGCTTTCGCGGCCAATCAGCCCTGGAAAGTGTGGGGCCCAGAACTGCCAGCCACTGACAAATGTGGGCAATGATCAATCACATGCTAGAAATCAGAAGCCAACGCCCGCTATCCCGGGCATGGTTCCCCATTTTAGGTGACGCAAGGGCCGAGGACAACTTGACCGAAGCTGCCAACTCCAACAAAGTCTGGACCCGACATTCACTCAACCTTTGGCCATCAGTTGTAAGATTCGGGTCGATGAGCCTGTTATAACACCCTCGCGGCCTAAAACACGTCAATAGCCTTGCTGCACTGTCCATACTCGGCCGAGCGCATTGCCGACAGCGAATCGGATCAAACTCGCCCAACCACCATCTCTTGTATCAACTGTTACTTATCGAATATCGACGTCCCAAATGATACCCACGGCGCGATTGTGATCCGCCCTTCCGCACTGTCTCTTCTCTCCCATCGCTACCTTCGCTACTGTAACCCGCCATGGCGCCAACACAATCAAAGCCGGTCCGCGCGGGCAGCAGCGCCGCCCTCCGCGACCGCACCATTCGGGGCATCATCTCGCAGCTGACGTCTATGTACCTGCAAAACCGCACACGAATCTCACGCGCCATCTACATAACACTGTTTGTGGCCCTCATCAACCGCGTGCGCCATGCCATCGCCGAGCAAAAGGCTGCCTCGGCCCGCGAGGCCGCCAAGCGCCGCGAGAAGATCGGCACAACGTCGACCGAAGGCGCCGAGGCCGTGCTGAAGAAGAAAAAGGTTGAGCTGAACCGCGAGTTCTTCCGCTCGCTGCTGAGGCTGCTACGCATTGTTGTGCCGGGGTGGCGGAGCAAGGAGACGCGGTTGCTCATCAGCCACAGCTTCTTCCTGGTGGTACGGACGCTGATCAGCCTGAAAGTGGCCGCCATGGACGGTGCCATCGTGAAGGCCCTGGTCAAGGGGAACGGGCGCGAGTTCTTGATGCGCATTGTGTGGTGGATGCTGATTGCCGTGCCGGCTACCTTCACCAACTCCATGGTAGGTCAGGATGCCCATCTGACAGGGCATTGTGCTAACACGCTGTCGCTCCGTAGCTGTCGTATCACCAAGCCGAACTCTCGTTGAGGTATCGGACACGCTTAACACAGTACATACATGACAAGTACCTGTCACAGTTGACCTTCTACGGCATCTCGGCTCTAGACGATAGGATCAAGAATCCCGACCAACTGATTGCAGTAGACGTAGCCAAGTTCTCAAATAGCTTGGCCGAGCTATACAGCAACCTGGCAAAACCCTTGCTTGACATGGTGAGCATTGGGCCCCGTGCCTCACTGTGCGAGTAGCATGACTGACGGATACTAGACCATCTACACAATTTCCCTCTCAAAAAGCGTTGGAGGGGAAGGGGTTGTCTTCATGTCGCTTCTCGTCCAGCTCTCTGCGAACGTGATGCGAGCACTAACGCCACCCTTTGGCAAATATGTGGCCGACGAGGCAAGGTTAGAAGGCGAGTTCCGCTTCCAGCACTCCAGGTTGATAGACCACAGCGAAGAGGTGGCCCTGTACGCAGGCCACGAGGCCGAAAAGGACACGCTGGATAAGGGCTACTTCACTCTGATCAAGCACGTCAACTACATCCTCCGGAGGCGCTTCTATCACGGCTTCATGGAGGACTTCGTTATCAAGTACTTTTGGGGCGCGCTGGGTTTGATACTCTGCAGTTTCCCGGTCTTTGTCAAGCTGCCTGGCCAGGTGGCAATGAACATGGGTGATCGGACCGAGAGCTTCGTCACCAATCGGAGAATGCTTCTCTCTGCGTCGGACGCGTTTGGCCGCATCATGTTCTCATACAGGGAGATCATGGAGCTTGCCGGGTACACATCTCGGGTGTCGTCGCTCCTGGAGGTTATGGACGATGTCCAGGCGGGACACTTTGAGAAGAAGCTCGTTTCGAGCTCGGGTACGGAGACCAACGAAGCCGTGCTACGAGGCAGAGGCAAGGTAGTGGAGAGCCAGGACATTAAGTTCATCGATGTGTATGTTCCCCTTCCCCTTTTCCACGCTCCCGTTACTCCACAAAGCTCCTAACGCACAGCCAGTCCCATCATCTCCCCCAACGGTGATGTCCTCGTCCCCGCCCTCTCCTTCTCCCTCAAGCAAGGCGACCACCTTCTGGTCGTCGGCCCCAACGGGTGCGGCAAGTCGTCCCTCTTCCGCATCCTCGGCGGCCTGTGGCCCGTGTACGGCGGCACCGTGCACAAACCCCCCTTCTCAGACATCTTCTACATCCCGCAGCGGCCGTACCTGTCGCGGGGCTCGCTCCGGCAGCAGATCATCTACCCGGACGGGCTGCGGACGATGCGGGCCAAGGGCGTGTCCGACGCCGACCTGCTCTCCATGCTGCGCACCCTGGGACTGGAGCACCTCGTCGACACGTACCCGGAGGGCTGGGACGCCGAGGCCGAGTGGCGCGACGTGCTCTCGGGCGGGCTCCAGCAGCGCGTCGCCATGGCCCGTCTGTTTTACCACCGGCCCCGCTACGCCATCCTCGACGAGTGCACCAGCAGCGTCACGCTCGACACGGAAAAGGTCATGTACGACACGGCCAAGAGCCTGGGCATCTCCCTCATGACGGTCAGCCACCGCCGCAGTCTGTGGAAGTACCACACGCACATCCTGCAGTTTGATGGACAGGGTCATTACGTGTTTACTCGGCTCGATGCGGAGAGGAGGTTGAAGCTGGAGGATGAGAAGGAGGATCTGGAGGTGCTCCTCAGGCAAGTGCCTGAGATTGAGAGGCGGATTCAGGAGTTGAGCGCTGTTTGAGTATGGGTACGGGGAAGGGTTGTTTTGTTTTGGCGGTAAGGTTATTTGATGTAGGAGAAATGTCACGAGACGGGAAGTACATTGTGCAACGCGTACATATTTTGCTGGTTTGGTATTGCAGCAGAACGCTCGGTGTGGGCTCTCTGTTGTCTGCGTCTCTCTTTTTGCCTCTCTTTGTTTGTGGGCAGTACCTGTGCTGGTATCTAGAGGGACCCGGGGGAAGGTTGGTGAAACTCACTTGAAAAACGGGGGGGTCGATGGCGTCGCGGCATCGTTTTCTCGTCTGATGTATGACTATGACCATCCCTCGGCGGCAACGACTGATGCCCCTGATTGTATCACCTACACAACATGGGCGGGCGTTTAACGTATGTCGATGTCGGAATGTATTACATTTGGCGCGAATGAAGTGCTTCCTTTCGTTTCAATTCTTGAGGGGAAAGGCGCAATTGCTCGGGGATGTCGGACACGACGAGTCTCTCAGGTTGCGGTTGATGAATCTCCTTTCACTTTTCTTGCTTGTCCAGGTCGCACCGACCCCGACCTAGTTATAGCTCAGAATACGCGGACAAGGGAACGTACAGGATTCGAACCTGTCTGAGATGTATGTATCTATTTAGTTGGGTCTGTCATTTGCCATAGATAGGAGGACACAGGCAATGTGGTGAGGAAATCGTCACTGCCAGCGCTAGACAAAAGTGTGTACGAAATTGTGTATCACAAGACAACCAAGCACAGATCAAGCCTTACGTTGTAACCAGAAAAACAAGAGTCTCGCTAACCATCTATCAAATCAAAGGCAAAATCGTACATGCATAAGATCAAAAATGGGCCTGCATTTCCCGAGGCTGTAAAATGTCTACAAGAATTGAAAGATGCTGCAAACCTGGGCGGGAAGCCGTGTTCCTCGTCCAGTTATTCTTCTTTTCCCTATCCTAGTTCCAAATCCCCTAAATCCGAATCCCAGCTAGCCGGCTGAGTTTGCATCTTTTGGGCAGTGTATGCAGCCATAAACGTCTTCAGAGTTCAGACGAGCCGCCTGGCTACCCTTGCACCTCGGTCCGCGGTAGTCCGCTTAGTAAAATCTCCTTAGCCGCGCGGGGGCCGTCCCGGTCGGGGCGAGGGTCGCTGTCCCGTTCCCGGGGACAGAGAATGGAGGAGTAGGAAGGGGGTTGGCCGAGGAAGTGACGGTGACAATCTCGTCGGGCGGGCAAGCGTCATCAGCTTCGTCATTGCCCTCGTCGTCCTCATCGCCCGAGTTGCCGGTCTTGTCCGAGTCGTCGACAACGCCGGTATCATTGCTGACACCAGTGGCAGTAGCCGAGGGTGCGGCGACGGTCGTGGAAGCGTGCGCACCCTCCCCAGCAGTGGTGGGAGCGTTCTGGCCGGTAACAGTCACATAGACCGTCGTGGCCGGGGCCGTGACGGTAACGACGCTGGCAGGGCACTCGCAGGCACCGTTGCCGTTGCCGTTTCCATTTCCGTTGCCGTTGCCGTTGCCGTTGCCGTTGCCGTTGCCGTTGTCGCTGTCGTCGTTGCCGTTGCCGTTACCATTGCCATTGCCGCTGCCACCGGTTGGCACACTGCCCACAGTCGTGGTGGTAGGCCTCTTGAGTGTGACTGTGCGTGTGCCAGTAGTGGTGGTGGTCTCGGTCATGGTCGTGTCAACCTCGGCCGGGGGAACAGTTGAGGCACCTTCGCCCTCGGACACAGGGGCGGTTGAGGCACCTTCGGAAGTGTTGATCGGGGTCGAGGCAGTGACATGGGGCGGAACAGTGGCAGAGGCCGGGGGACTGGTCAGAGTGCTGCCTGTGATGATACCCTTGGAAGCGTCTTCCATGACGCTGGATGAGATGGAAGGGACAGCGGTGACAGGGCACACAGTCTCGGTAAGCACGATGGTGTCCGTGACAATCACGGTCGAGAGCGCCTCTGTAGGCAAGGTAGACAGATCCTCGGTCTTTGCAGGGCAGTCAATGACCTCAGGGGCACACTGGATAATGGTGCGGACCGACGTGGTGGACACGGTCAGAGTAGTGATACCGGCACCTGTGCCGTTCGTAGGGAAAGGGGCCGCGCTGGTGACGATCGTCGGCGCCTCTGTTGACACTCCCGTGGACAGGGGAATGGTAGCTGTGCTCTCCGGGGCGATGCTGGAGGCGATTTCGGTCCCATTGGTGTGACGACGGAAGCGAAGATGCCGCGGGTGGGAGTAAGCGGTGGTGAGAGCGGCGAAGAGGCCGAGGGTGAGAGTGGCGGACTTCATGCTGGGTAGTGTTGAGCTTTGATTCGTATACAGTCGTTGATCGCGAGTGTTCCAGTGTCTATTTGTGCGCCTGGGGAAGCAAAATAAAGCAGTCGAGAAAGAGCGAAAGTCAACTTCGCTGTGGGCGGGCAAACACAGCTGCTCGCAAGCAAGAGAGTGTAGATACAGTTGGAAACTGAGAAGCGAAAGTTGATCAGAAAAGCAAAAGGAATGATGCTTGACTGAGCAAGAGCAGATATCAGGCTGCTTAGACGAAGAGAAAGAAGTTGAGAAGAGGGAAGGGGAAAGGAGAAGGCAAGATCAGACGGATGTAAGATTATTCGTTTGACCTTTAAAAGAGGGTAACAGTCTGGATTCCACACAGCCAATCCATTTCCACAGTCCACACCATGTCACCATCCTTGGGGATCCATGGCATGTCGGCATGGCTTGTGTGTCCACGACATTGATGAACAGCCCTGTCGAACAGGATGCGTAAGATACGTACCTTGCCACTTATTCCCACTTCGGTCGCCCTTAATCAACAAGGGCCCCCACTGTGGACCACAACCAGAGGCACAGCGCCACGCCGTTTGGCGGGAGATGAGCACATTTCATGGCAGCGGCAGGATCGTTGACGAATCCAGGAATCGTTCGCTGTGGTGGCACTGACAGGGGTGCCGTCAAATTCTGGACAGGGGCCGAAATGCAGGAACGCTTCATTCTGAGACACGTATGGGCCAATCGCATGCTTCGGCAACGCACGGAAGGGGTAAGGTCCCGGATACCCCACCAGAAGGCAGGCACAACCAAGCAACACTCCCGTACCTGATGAGTTTGCTGTTGATCAGGTACAAACAGTCAGTGCTCAACGCATGAAAAACGGCAACAATTGCTCGCATGTTTCCTCAGCGATGGACCTTATGATCTTCGGAGCGGCGTAAAGAAAATCATTCCATGGCAACCAGGAACCTGGGAAGGCTTAGGACAAGCGATCGCCGAAGGCTGCAAGCAAAAAAAGAAGCGGGTAAACTATGCATGTAAGCTCTGCACAAAATACATCATGATGGCGAAACTCGCCTGCATAGCATCTGGCGAAGGAGCCAAGCTGAGTAGCTGACAGCGAGACGGTGGGGAAGGGGAAAGGATGGTTGCAACCACCACAGAGTTGTCTTACCGTTGTCTTAGCAGGCGCCGGAACAACGTGCGGGAACTTCGAGTCCGAACATGTAAGCTACCGCAGGCTTACAGGCGGCGGTGAGGGCTACCAATCTCCACACGGCGCCTGTTCTTGCCGCTGTGCGACATATTCATCATTTTCCCTCTCATACCTCGACCCGGATTGCATGGCAGTGCAAGGCATGACGAAGGACGCCCCGAGGACGCCCAACCATGGCAACCCGGAAATTCACCAGAAGCCCAAAAAGCGAAAAGAATGCCAAGGATGATTTCTGGAAAGAAAAGGGTGAAAGGGCTGGTTTCATCCCCTCCTTGGCCCCGCTTGAACCTGAGATCGATCCATGTCATCGGCACCTGTTTTAATTCGTCCGCGCTTCGCTGCAATCAGCGCAGCGGCCCGCTAATACGTGTAAGCACGGAGGCCAGGAAAACGACGGCCTCAATCCTGTAAAACGACTGTTGCACGGACCACTTTCCATACATTCTGCTCACGCCAAGCCATTCACTTTACACCCGCTTTTGTACTTGTAAATCGACACCAACTTCAAGATAACATACCAGACCCGCATGCACTGCAAAGAAACTGAATTGAGCTTGTATACTAAGGCCTAGAACAGGCGACTTTGAGCTAAGTGGCTTAGATCAAAACAGAGTTGAACTTGATGTAAAAAGACACTCGTGTCCTGCAGGAGTTGACACAGTCGTTTTACAGGATTGAGGACGTCGTTTTACTGGAATCGGTAAGCAGAGGAGAAGCTCGTCATCAGGCGCCAACAACGCTTGTGCACACTGCACAGGTTTCTCGCATAAAGGAAACAGAAATCCCCGGCCAGAGACACACAGACATGATCGACTCTCACATCGAGGCTGTGTGCTCAGGGCATGAGACACGAAGGCTGAGCGACCCAAAACAGGGAGAAACGAACGTTGACATTAACTGGCTGACGCTCTGCCGACAAAACGAGGGGCAGATTACATTGCACACCCGCCTGCCTCCTGCTCATGGCAGCCTTATCCATCAGGCCGAAGTGGCAGACAGCACTTCAGAGTGATCAGCCGCATTGCAGAGCGCAGAGCGCTGCTGGAATGAAGAGAGGGCAAGTCATCCCGTCATGTATTTAGATGCCCGGGGTTAGGGTATCTCAATTTTTGCTTAGTAATTTCCCCTATCTCCTATCTTGGACAACTGCAAATTGATGCACTGCCCCCGAGACTGCACAAAACGTCACCTTATCTCTTATCTCGGGATGCACGGTTACGTTTGGACATTGGGAATAAACACCGCGGTTCAGCATATGCGCACCCTGACGCACTGACAAGTAATTGGTTTCTGTTTGATCCGTTGATGGTAGGGTAGAAGAGAATAGTACGTAGAAGCGTCAGGGTGCGTTGTTGGTACAAAGTAGTCGCTGCTACACTTGAGCACACAGAAAGTTTTAGACGTCATGTGTGAGTTTGCCCCCTGAGGCTCACACCGCAACAACATGCCATGGGATACTGACCTTGCTCATCAGGGTCGGTATCGCTGTTGGCTCTTGGATGCCTGTTCTTCGCCCAGCCCATCTCCATCTCGGCCTTCCCAGTCTCATCTCAGTTGCCAATACTATCAAGACGATCCGATTCCAACGGCAAGAGGGGAGCCGTTGCAAGTGAAAGTTCGATATGTTCCCGGATCGGGGTTGATATCATCGGGATAGGCGTGAGTTAGGTATTCTCCTCATGGCTCGGTTCCCGGCTGATCAGGCGGTGCTAGGGCACTGCCGCTGATGCCATGGTGGCAACCACATTATGTGTGGGAACCATCGGCATGTACCATTCTGGCATTGGCGGCGGAGGGTTCATGCTCGTCCGTGATAAGCACGGCCGGTATGAGACCATCGATTATAGGGAGACGGCCCCCGCTGCCGCGAGCAGGGACATGTATGGTGGTGATGATCAAGCCAGCATCATTGGAGGGCTAGCCGTCGGCGTGCCTGGCGAGTTAAGGGGGCTGCAGTATTTGCATCGGAAGTACGGTGTAAGTCTCTTCGCACCTTCAGCTTGCGAGCACTGACACCATATTGACATCTTTGCTTTAGGCGCTCCCGTGGAAGACTCTTGTCATGCCTTCTGTGCGCATTGCCCGCTATGGTTTTCAAGGTGCGTGTTCCGCAGACTTAACACAGGGAGCCTGTCATATTAACATCGTATATCTTTTAGTAACCGAGGACCTGGTGCGCTACATGAAATCGGCCAGTGTAAACGACACGTTCCTGGTCTCCGACCCAGTCTGGGCTGAGGATTTCGCCCCTAATGGTATGTGGTACCTCCACTTGCGAACGGCGGCAATAGCTAAAGACGGCTTCAGGCACACTCCTCCAGCTCGGTGACACAATAACCAGGAAACGATTTGCCGAGTAAGTGAAACTGCTCCACCATCGTTGTAAGATGTTGTTTGCTAACTTGTCTGCCAAGCACTCTGGAGCACATTGCATATCACGGGGCCGACGCGTTTTATGAGGGAAAGATTGGTAGGTTTCTGCCATGTTCCCGAGTCATAGGGATTGAATATTAACTTCTTGAAGCCAAGTCCATGATAGACCACATCCGATTGAAGAACGGCACAATGACGCTCGACGATCTCAGAAACTACACAGTCGAGGTCAAACCTCCTCTTAGTATCACCTACCGGGACTTTCGCCTATTCGCTACTGAAGCCCCTAGCAGCGGCGCGGTATTGCTGAGCATGCTCAAGACGATGGACCAATACCCCGTTCAGGACCTGGCTGACAGCAACCTGACCACTCACCGCTTCGTCGAAGCCATGAAGTTCGCCTACGGAGCGAGGCAACAGCTTGGTGACCCGGCCTTCATCAGGCACATGGAAACCTACCAGCAGCAGATGCTCAGCGACGACCAAGCCCGCCAGATCCGCCACCGCATCCTCGACAACCAGACCCAGCCGGTGGAGGCCTACAACCCGGAGTCGGTATACGCCGCCGAGAGCGAGGGAACCTCACATATCGTCACCGCCGACTCGTCCGGCCTGACCGTCACCTCCACAACCACCATCAACCTGCTCTTTGGCGCCAGAATCATGACCCCTGACACTGGCATCATCTTGTAGGCTTCCCATTCCCTCTCTCACTTCCTCCAAACACGGCATAGCATAGCAACTAACCATCACGCGCCGCGGGGTCAGGAACAACGAAATGAACGACTTCTCCCTCCCCAACAAGAACAATTCCTTCGGCTTCCCACCATCCCCCTCCAATTTCATCTCCCCGCGCAAGCGGCCCCTGTCGTCCATCACGCCCCTCATCGTCGAGCACGCGTGCAACGGGACCCTCTTCTTCGCCACGGGCGCGGCGGGTGGGTCCCGCATCATCAGCGCCACGGCGCAGGCCGCGTGGCACGTCCTTGCCAGCGCAAAGTCGATGCGCGACGCCATTGCCGCCCCGCGCCTGCACCACCAGCTCATGCCCGACGTGCTGCTCGTCGAGCAAGGGCTGGGCTTTGACAATGCGACGTTTGCCGATTTGAAGAGTAAAGGGCATAATGTGGAGTGGATTGCGCCCGGGCTGAGCGCGGTGCAGGGTGTTATGAGGTTCGGGGATGGGAGGTTTGATGCGGTCGGGGAGACGAGGCAGGTTAATAGCGGGGGGTATACGATTTGAATGATGGGATTTGGTTGCCTTGTGACGACAAATTCGGCAATGATTGCAAGGTTGATTAGACTACTACGCGTTCTCGCAGGAGCTACAAAGATGAGATATAAGCGAGCTCAAGCTAGAACTGGGCTTTAGCATACGAATAGTTTTCCTTACGCATTGACGTACCAACCGCTGTATATGCACTGCTACTGGAAACATGACACGCTGAATCACAAGCCACCCACCGCCCATCGACTCCGTTTTAACATCACTATTCGTCATCAGACCAGGTCGGCGCATGCCCACCATGCCCTTTTACCGGCTCGTATCTACGACGTAGCGGCCGACAATCTTGCCCTCTTCCATCATCTTGTACACGTCCTGCAGCTCACTAAGCCCCACCGTCTTGATGGGTACCTTGATCATGCCGCGCTGGAAGAAATCCAGCGCCTCCTGTGTATCCTGGCGGTTGCCGACGTAGCTGCCCTTGATTGTGATCATGCGCACGACCGTGTCAAAGACGGGCGCCTTGAGGTACGCCTTGGCGGGCAGTCCGATGCAGACGACGGCGCCCCTGCTGCGGACGTACTCGGTGGCCTGCTGGAACGGCTTCTCCTGCACGGCGAGCAGGAGCACCGCGTGCGGGCCGAGCCCGTCGGGCGTCGCGTTCTTGACCTCCTGGACGAGGTCCGAGGTGTTCAAAAAGTCGACGTAGGCCGAGGCGCCGAGGGTCCTGCAGCTCTTGCCCTTCTCCTCGCCGCCGTCGATGGCGATGACGTGCAGGCCCATGGCAGAGGCGTACTGGATCGCCATGCTGCCCAGGCCGCCGCCGGCGCCGACGATGGCGACGTACTGGCCCGGCCGCGCCCCGGACTCCTTCAGGCCCTTGTACACGGTGATGCCGGCGCACAGGACGGGCGCCACGGCCTCGAGGTCACACTCCTTGGGGATGCGCGCCACGTGAGCTGCCTTGGCGATGGCGTACTGCTGGAAGCTGCCGTCGACCGTGTAGCCGGAGAGCAGGGCGTGCGGGCAGAGCGGCTCGTCGGCCTGCATGCAAAAGCTGCAGGCCAGGCAGCTGCCGTTGAGCCACTTGACGCCGGCGTAGTCGCCGAGCTCGAGATCTGTTACCAGGTCGCCCTTGGCCACGATCACGCCGGCGCCCTCGTGCCCGCCGACAAGGTGCAGTTTTGTGGCAAGCGGCCAGTCACCCATCATGGCGTGAAGATCTGTGTGGCAGACGCCTGAATACTTGATGTTGATAAGTACTTCATCTGGGCCGGGCTTCTGGACTGGGATCTTCTTGTAGACGACGGCTGCCAGGTCCTGTTAGGCGGTATGCTCATGATAGGATCTCAGGGGTGATGACTTACGACCGCCCGACTTTTCAACCACCTGAGCCCATTGTTCGCTTGGAATCTCGAACTTGGCCATTCCGTCGACTTGTAGGTGCCGGATCAACTGCTGTGTATGAAAGATGGGGAGATGGAGGAATTATGATGCCACGGTATTGCTGCTGTGTCTGGTGCAGACTGAACTGCAGGTGAGAGCAACCCTCGCCATCCCAGCACGACCGACGTAGCCATTTTATATCCCACTGCTTAGCCTGTCAGAAATGGACAGCACCTATGCCGTCCATCTGCACCGAAGCAACACGAGACGAAGGGTGGGGCGAAGTGGAAAGGTGGGAAGACGTCTGTCGATGATTGCTGGTCTAGATAGCTCTGCGCATCGGTGTGAGTGTAAGGGCAGCCTTCGAGAAAAACGTACGATTCTGACGGTATTAGCGTAGAGCTTGCTTTGGCGTTTTCACTCCCGCAAATCCAGCCTCGTTGGGAACGAAGTAGTGTATCTGCACAATGCATTGTTTCCGTGAGTCCGGATGGAACATGGATGATGATGAAGCTGCCATCTCGAGGTTTCGGAAAGGTCAGATGACCCGTCAAACATTCCCTCGCAGCCCTGTAAGGGATCGCAAATGCAGAGCAGTCAGTATAGGAAATCAAGGGTAAGCAAAAGAGTGCGCCTTTCCCGTATCCAGTAATGTAGTGCAGCTAATCGTGGCGTGAACGATGGGGAGGCTGTCAAGTGTCAATCGTAGGTGAGTGGTCTGACATTCAAGACCCCTGGAGGAAGGTGCATACTCCGGGGAAGCGGAACCAAGCGAAGGCGCTAACGAGCCCGGGAAGCTCCCGATAGTGGGGGCTGGACTTCGCCGTTCGGCGCCGGATGTGGCACCTAAAAAGAGCCCCCTTCACGGCCAGATTTCGGATCAGTCGCAAAGAACCACCACACTACCGAGTGTGTAGACGAGCTGATCATTGATCATTCAGCCTTATCGGCCCATTACTTGAGGCGACATCCGTGCTTTCCATTCGTCTCCCTATAACTCACTTAGCTCGACCACAAACAACTTGGCAGTTCGCACTCAGTAGGTGGTACTTCCTAAGAATCCTGACTGCTAAGGCAGGCAAGTCCAGCCATAATTACCCCACAAACGCATCAATTCCCCGCCTTACATGCATCAGCCATCAGCCGCTGTGGAACTGAGCATGCAAGTTCAGACAACCCCTTACCTCCTACGAAGTGGTGAAGTCCAGTACTATCGCAATTCGCAGGCAACCCCGCAGATATCCGCTGCTCCGAACCCTGTGAAACAGCCGTAGTCAAGCGGATGGCGAGAGTTGAGTGTAAAGCGCTCAGGCTTCCGCTTGAGCGGAGGGATCCTTCATCTGACTTGCCTCCAGGGACCGGGGTCGTTAAGGGGATGCGTCTACTGTGTTTACTACATTGCAGCAATCGTTATCCGAGCCAGTCGCTGACAACCTCTTGCCCCCCAAAGCCGTGATATCTCCGTTCATAGGGAAGGGGCGACACAAGGAGAATGAAAACACCCCGCCGGGCACCAGATAGCCGCGCATAGGTACAGAACGCGGGGTTGAGAGCGCCAACGGCATCGGTCGGTATCATAGCGTCAGCGTATATCGGTATTTGGGCTTACGGTTCGAACGATGCCACGGCGTCATGAATTGGAACACCGATTTGAATATCGTCCCCTATCTGTTTTTGGCGCCGCCCCACAGAAACTGCCACCTCCACCATGAATCATTGCTCGCTTTCTACAATGGAAGATCATTGACCGTCTCAGGATCCGCCGGGCCCTCCCAGGAGAGCGAATCTCCGTACAATACCTGGGCCATACTCTTGATACTACGTGGTTCGTTAGCAATATTCTCTCGCAAAGATACTTGAATCTGCCAGAGGCAACATACCTCTGCCTTGGTGTGACAGTACGACCGGAACTCGGGCGTCTGACCAAGCAAGCTCCCTCCAAACCACGGGCCGTGCCGCTGCCTCTTATGTGTGATGACCTGCACCTCTAGTCCACCGCTCTTGGCTCCGCCGCTACGCACCTCGCTCGCCCGGATTCTGTCGTCCACGAGCTGCTTGATATCGCGCTGTAACCTGCGGCCAAAGTCCTTGTAGAGGGTGCTGCCGCCAGACAGGACAATATTCTTGTACAAGCCGCGGCGCACGTCGATGGGTGACGACTGGATCACGCCATCGACGACGACAGGCAGCGGGGTTAGGAAGTCGGACGAGTAGATCTCGGGGTTGAAAAAGATCTCGGGTGCCAGGAAGCGCTCGTAGCCGACATCGACGGTCACCTGGCGGCCGCCGGGCTGCGTGACGACGTGCTTCATGAACCGGCTGCGGTCGCGGTCGAACCGAGCAAACTCCTTGACAATGTCCGGGCAGACATAGCAGTACTCCTCCTTGATCTCCTGCGCCGTCTTGAGCGACGAGTCGGGCTCACCGCGGTCTCTGAGAAGCGACTGGACAAAGTAGGTAATATCTCGACCGGCGATTGGGATCGACTTGATGGATGATCCAATGACGTAGCCCTCTGCGACAGGGATAACATGGGTGACACCGTCGCCAGAGTCGATGACAGTGCCCGTTAAGGACCTGTCTGTGACCTTTGACGAGGTCCAGGACGCCGCCAGCGCCAGTACGGCCTGAACAGCAATGTAGAGACCGGCGCAGTTGAAGGACTCGAAGAAGATCTCTGCCGTGTTTTCTCGATTTTCCGGAGGGTTCAGGGGCTAAAAAAATGTTAGTCCCGCAATCGTGGGAATGGTCGAGTTCAGTCTAACCGGCTCAGTGAGGAGGAAGTAGTGATCCTCGGGCTCCACCCGTAGATATTTGAAGATGGAGTTGGACCAGAACCTCTCCATGTGATCCTACAGACCACCCGTTAGTCTCGCATTCTTGGAGAACGATCCCCAGCTCCACTCACCCAGTTCTCGATCTGCCCATGCCTAATTGGATAGTGTAGCCCGTAACCTAAACCCGTCAGCCTAATGTTTATCCCTGACCCATCTCAACTCACCAGGCCCGGACGCCGCGTTGATCGCCTCATCGCCGATGAAGAAGTCGAGGTCCTCAGTCCCGCGCTTGGTTGACAAATGCCCAGTCGGACCAGCCCCGCCCGTAAGGAAAGACGGCTTATTCGCCACGGCAGGGCGGCCAGAACCTGAACCACCGCTGCCGGCGGCAGGCCCCTTGGTCGCAATCGCGGTCGGGAAGACGAAGGAGGGAGAATCGTTACCGGCGAAACCTAGGGGCAGAGCAGTCAGAGGCGTGGGCACGATTTGTTTTAAAGCGACGACACACACCTAGCTTGGAAAACCCGGTGCCGCTGTCAAAGGCCTTGTCAGTGATGGTGTACTCGGAAGAGGGCTCGTCTTCCGTCGAGCGGGGCCTGGGAGAGTCAGTTGTTGTACGTACTTGTCCATGACAACGGCGGGTGTTTGGTTGGCCATCGTTGAATATGCTGCTGCTGCGTGCAGCTCGCGTTCCTTATCCCGCGCAGCACGAGCAGCAAGTGAAGGTGAAAAGGTATGTCTGCACCCAGATCTGTTCAGCGACGTCCAGGCTCCCGAGTAGGTGAGGTCCAAGGATTACGTCCCGCTTCCGAGCTCCCAAAGTGTGGACCCCACGATGGGGCTGTGCGCCAAGAGAACCTGGACCCCGCTGACTACGGCGGGCTATTACTTCCATTGAGCAACTCTACGGAAGCATACATTGTCAGTTCGTGCCTCACTTGTTTAGGAGACGAGAGATTGCATTGGAAAGAACGACACTTGAAGGTCTCATTTACCTCTACATTGAAGAGTGGTAGGGATAACCCGTCTAGACAGTTGCTTCCTTGGAATCTTGACATGTCCTTGAGTCGGAACTGTGAGCCAGCCTAGCGCATATGATTTACCCGTCTCTTCTCCTGTCGCTGCGAACCCTTCCAGTACCTTGAGACCGTTCGTCTTCATCTTTTCACTCCTCTGCTTGCCCTTTGTTAGCTCAACCGCCCGCTATCAACCCATCACTAACACAACGAAGGTTACAACTATTGAGCATTGTCTGTATTGCTGCTCTCCATTCGTTTTCCTGTATATCTACGGGGGTTTCCCTTCTTCGTGACCTCTCCTCCTTACACCAGGCATTCACGTACCACCTGATCCGACCGAGGGTCGTTGCTCAAGATCTCTGGCCTTGACATCCGGAGAAGCGCTGTAGGAAGACCTCGGTGACTATCTTCCAATACGGCCATGACCACAATCTAATGCGCACGAACTTTCCGTCTCCACACGGTCACTCTTTCATCCTATTCCTGGCTAGCTTAGACCCTCTAACCGCCCGGCGTCTACTCATGCTCTACAGCAGCAATCCCACTTGACCGTCAAGCTGTATCTGCATCCATACCACCGGAAATTGGGAGACAAACTGGGGACACACCAGGTCATGTCGATAAGCCCACTGGTTTCGCCCATCCCCTTCGAAGGAGATGGCCTCGTTGTCACACTTTGGAACCATGCCCAAAGAACCTGTTGTCGCAATATTTGTCCATGCCGGTGCAGGCTATCATAGCCTTTTGAACGAGAAGCTGCATCTTGAAGCATGCAATCAGTGAGTCGCATGATGCGTGCGTCCTGTTGAGCAAGATGGTTGACATATATACAGAGCTGCTCGTGTGGGCATGACCTTTCTCAGGGCTGGCTCCTCAGCAACCGAAGCCGTTGAAGTTGCCATCAGATGCCTCGAGGAGAATGAAGTTACGAATGCTGGTTTCGGAAGCAACCTAAACATCGATGGCGTTGTCGAATGTGATGCAACCATCGTCGATCACTTGGGCCGAAGTGGCGCTTGTGGTGCCGCCCCGGGTAGAGATCCCATTCGCACTCCAGAAGAGGGCCGCAGCTGACTTACCCTCGCAAATAGGCATCAAACATCCAATCTCCCTAGCCAAGGCAATACTGGACGGGAGCGTCAAGCCTCTTTCACTCGATCGACCTCCGCCCAACATACTGGTGGGCCAAGGAGCCAAGGACTATGCCGAGAAACACAGAATAGCCATCGTTTCTAACAGATCTCTAACCTCAAAGAGCTCGATGGAACGTTATCTTCGACTAAAGCACCAGTTGAAGAAGGCAGAGAAGGCAGAGAAGGCAGAAGCCAAAAGCAACCAAAACTCAATAACCGTGGGCGGGCATGGGAAGGCTATGAACGCCACTGGTGATGGGCAGCATTGGAACTTCTCAATTTCTACTTTGAACGGTGCTGGCAATCAAGATCAATCCGAATTCCCTGATACTGGATACTTACATCCAGTGACAGCTGCTGCTTCGCCCGGGGCACACGGGAATCCGCTCGCACACACGGCTGTGGACAATGCGCCCCCCCTATCAGCTCCAGTGTGGGACGGGTCAGTAACTGCGGGCGGTAGTGAAGAGCATTCCGCGGATGATTTCGGCACATGTGAGATCGATGGAGTTGACGCCACAAGCGACAAGGAACATGGTGGGCCCTCGTGTGCAGAGGACCATAGAACTCAGCTCCCTGGAAGCATACCAGATAGGGACGCCGTGACTGACACAGTTGGCGCAATTGCCATCGACATTCATGGGAACATTGCCGCTGGTTCATCGTCTGGGGGGATAGGGATGAAGCTTAGAGGCCGCCTTGGGCCTGCCGCACTGGTAGGCGTCGGCACGGCCGTTGTGCCCCAAGACCCCGACGATGAGCTGGCGACAACGGTCGCTGCTGTTACCAGCGGGACTGGAGAGCAGATGGCGACGACTCTCGCTTCAGGCAAGTGCGCAGAACGCCTGTACCGAAGTACGCGCCGCGGGCCGGGCGGGCAGGATATCAGAGAAGAAGATGAGCACGTTGTCTTGGAGTCTTTCATCCTTCATGATTTCCTGGGGCATCCTGGAGTCAGAAGCGTACCGTCGCCGGCGGCCATCGGGGTCATGGCTGTCAAGAAGGATCGGGGCAGCCTTTACTTCTACTTTGCCCACAACACGGACTCGTTTGCGCTGGCCACCATGTCGTCCTTGGACCGAGAGCCGCTCTGTGTGATGTCGCGCCGCGGCGACGCTACAGAGGTCGCCCAAGGCGCGCGGAAAATCCGTCTACAATAAAGGTTGCCCTTCCAGTCCGCTGCAGTGACGAGGGAGCATAGCATGGTGTTGGGGTTGGCTTTAGATTGGGGAATGGTGGGACAGCATTTGGTACATTGCATACCTAATACCTGCATGTTGCTTAATGGAACCTTGTTTCGAGTAGCATTAGAGGCTGAGAATAATAGACCTGGTCTTTCTATCAGCAATGCTCGAGATTCCCGTCCAGTTGCTCTCCGGAGTATGAGAATGTATGCCCAGGGCCACGGATATTGACTCAAGTCGACTCCTAAGCTGACTCCTTTACGGCCAACTGACTGGTGATGCCAGACTCCTATCTCAGTCCTCTTCCAACAAGGCCCTTCGCGTGGACCATGTTATCCTGAGGCCATGCAAGGACGATATATATGTAGATATATGTACAAGGAGCCAAGAGACTGGACTCCAAATGCTGAATAACCCTTTACCATCTCCTGAACGCCCCCACCATATCCGACGCCATACCCGGCCTTCAAATGCCGTGATTCTATAGCCAATTAGAAAGAGAACCCCACACCACCTTTGACTTTTTACTTTCACCCCTTTCCCGAAGCAATTCGGTAGTCCAATGTCCAACCTGGTTCAGGCCCCACCATTCACTTCGGCTTTCCGCTTCTCTTTCCTCGTTGCGTTTGGTGAGGCCCCTCCTCTTGCCCCCGCTCCCGCTCCAGCAGCAAGGGCGGGCATCTTGCCGTAGTTCCCGAGCGCCAGCTTGGTGCCGCACGTGAGACACTCGGCGCCCTCGGGCACCTCGCAGAAGATGCTCAGACAGATGCTGCACACGAAGCCCGTGTCAATGACGTTTCTGTGACAGAAGCACGCGGCCCGGAAGTCGACGGCGTCGGCGCTCGGCGTGACGAGGAGCTCGGCCACGCTGGCGCCGAGGCCCAACCTGCCGCCCACTTTCCCACCACCCTTCCCCGCTGCTGCCCCACCGGCCTTGGTCTTGACTAGCCCCTTTCCATCCCCGCCCGTTCCTGCTCCCGCTGCCCCCTTCCCGCCGCCGCCACCCCCGGTGATAGCGGGCGGCGTGCCGCTGCCAAAACCAAACATGAGGTACTGCAGCAGCCCGCGCGGCTCGGCGGCGCGGATGAAGGTCCCCTGGGTGATGAAGCTGGCCTGCTCGAGGAAGGTGGGCCTGCCGCGCAGCGAGAGCGTGTCGATGGCGATGCGGGCGTGCGCCGCGGCGAAGACGGCGTTCATGGTGGGTATGTACTGCGCGGGGGAGCTGTCGCTCACCGAGAGCACCAGTATGCGCGCGTGCAGGCCGGCGAGGCCGCCCGTCGAGCCCGTCGTGGTGATGCCCGCTGCTGCTGCGGCGGCTGCTGCGGGCGCTGCCGCGGAGACGCCGCCCCCTGTACTTGCCGTCATGGGGTGCGTGGTTGTCGCGCCAGCGGCGGCGGGAGAGGTGGTGAAGGAGAGGGCCGTCTTGTTGATGTGTGCCAGGGCCAGCGTGAGAGCGCCGGACATTTGCGTTGTTGTGGTGGAGAGGTCGGTCGCGGTGGTGTCGTTCATGAGGGCGCGGAGGGAGCTGAGGAGGGAGGTCTCGATTTGGGAGAATTTCGGGTATTTGTTGGCTGACGAAGAAGCGGCTGCGGGCGTGCCGCTGCCGGCATCTTTCATGTCGACATCTCCTGATGTTGGCGACGGCTGCTTCGGCGGGGCTGGGTAGAGCCACACGGCGCGATTCGTATGGGATGCTATCAGGGCGACCTGGTTCGAATTACCGAATGCAAGGTGGGTATTGACAAAGATGAGTATGTTCGCTATCGCTTTCGAGACCGGGAGGACGTCGGCGAGGGCGGCCCAGGCGCGGGGGTTGGTGTCGATGATAATGGTGCGCAGCGAGGGCACGTCGTCGGTGTTGTAGATCTCGTAGTGGTCCGAAGCGTCGACGAAATCTTGGGCACTCATTTTGAGACTGAAAACTTTGGTTTGACTTTCGATCCCGGACTAAGCGAATCTCGCGCCTCGTCCTGATGCTGGCTTTCAGCCACTGACTGGCTTTATCGGACGAGAACCGCTCATCGAGGGAAAAAGCGGAACTGACAATTCTCAATGATCAACGTTAGATTTGATACCTTGGGTCGGTCAATGCAAGACGCGCATTGCTCAATCTAAAATTCCAGCAGGCAGTTGTGATCTGTACTAACAACGCGTTGCCGGACAACCTCACGATGATTGAATTTGGGTTGTGAGCTTTGGGATTGAAGACGCGATGCCACGTGAGGCAGGGTTTATTTTAGGATCTCAGCTAAAGAGCTTTGTATTCTACTTGTACTTACAATACAGTAAAGATACAGGATAACGATTATTACCTTAGTGCTATCAGAAATACACTCAAATACGGAATGAGGTAGCCCAATCCTCATTCTTTCTTGTATAATACAGTACAGTACGGCGGGTCATCGGTAACCCTTTGCACGGAGGTACAGTACAGTACGTACTACAATACACGCGCCTTGAGGGGCAGCCCTTTCACATGCATTCAGCGGAGATGGCGGGGCATCCATCCAAAACCTTCAAATTCACCCGCGACGCGCTTCAACGCCACCAACCCACCCAGTGTGATATACGAAATTCTCGGTCGGTTGGCCCTGATAAACTGAGTCCCTTCCTCTTTATCCTTCCCGTTGTCATTATCTGCCTTGGCTGCCTGGCTACTTAGTTTGATTGCAGGGTCGTCATCTTCCCGTCTTACCCGCCGTCGTCAAGCTACCTTAGCTCTTTTTTGTCTTAGCTGGTGGTTCTCGTCCACGCCAGAAGCGAAGTCAACAACAAAACATTTTAACAACTCTCCGCCGCGCTAAGGTTGATACTTGGACGAGTCAAGCGCCATCCAACGGCTTCTCCACGGAAGAGAGAACATGGCTGGTGCTGCAGATGCCCGGGCCAAAGAGTCCGGGTCTCTCGGGAGACAGGACCAGACCTTGCTCATCTTTGCCCGGCTAATGGAAGGCGGCAAAGAGGATGAAGAGATGGTGGCAGACTTGGGCAATCTGACAAGCCTACTCAACGAGGATGTTGAGGTTGCTAAGACGGGTGAGCCGACCATTACCTCGGTCATCGACAGCGACTGCGTCGACACAGTTCTCTGCTACCTCGATATGAGACAATCCGACATTGTGCGTGGCCATGCCGCACTCTGCACCTCTGCTTACCTCAAGGCTGCTGGTGAGGATGGCAACAGGAAGCTAGCCGATTTCTTTCACAACAGGGTTGAGAGAGGCACCTACGACGACTACATCGTTGCCTTCTGCGTGGCTGCCGCCATATTCCCCATTGCTCCCGATCTGATATCTGAATTATTTCTTGAAGAGGGCTTCCTGCCTAGCCTGGGCCCGCTCATGAGGCGCAAATGGAAGAGCCGGAAGGTTGAGACGGCATGTCTGGAAATGCTCAACGCAGCCTGCACGCATTCACATTGCCGGGAAGCCGTCCTGAAGTACTGCGCCGACTGGCTGGAGGAGGTCATTGACCAGGACCCGGACGATGCTATCGAGTCTTCGCACGTAACCGAACCTGACCTCAGCGCTAAGGAAGGGTCTATATCCATGAGGCGACATTCCCAACAGGTGCAGAACCTCGCTGCCGTGGTCTTGGCCAAGCTAAGGGTTAGCCAGCCCATCCCATGATTCGGTTTCGCTGTCCTTTCCTGCAAATGATGTCTGGCTGACATCGGGCTTGAAGGCAGTCCAACCTACAGCGAATCCGCCCGGTAAGGGACCAGAGCCCAGGATAGAATCTGCGACAACCAGCATCGAGGATCTATCCAAGCGGTTTACCAAGATGCTCCTGGAGGGCCCGGAACATGCTCAACCTTCGGTGGAGGGATTAGCATATGCGTCCTTGCAATCCAAGGTCAGGGAGGATCTGGCACACGACAAAGAATCCCTCAAGCGCCTCGTTAAGACGTTGGAATCCGCGCCTCCCAGGTCCCCACTGACATATGGCGCTCTCAGCATTTTCGCCAATCTTACTAGATACCAACCTATTGAGTCGGAAGAAGAGAAGAGGATCAAGCAACTCAAGGCATACGCGAACGCCGCTGGGAAAGTAAAACCCGACCCCTTGAACGACCATGCCCATGTTACTGAGCGTTGTAAGCGCGTCTTTGAATCGGGCATCACTCCGGTTCTCGTCGCGCACAGCAAGAACGGCTCAGTGGCATCCCTGTCGCTCATCACATCCATTATCTATTCCTTCTCAATGACTCTAGCACTTCGTGGGCAACTTGCACAGCAAGGCGCCGTTACGCTACTTATTGGAGCCTGGGTGGCGCTTCCAAAGGACGACGACAAATCCCGCCGCACAGCTGCCCAAGCACTAGCCCGCATTCTCATCTCCACCAACCCGGCTCTCGTCTTTGGAGGAAATCGCCAAGTGCCACAGAGCGCCGCAATTCGCCCCCTGGCCTCCATTCTCGCTCCAGACCCTGCTGCGGATACCCGCGATCTACTCCCAACGTTCGAGGCTCTTCTAGCATTGACAAACCTTGCCTCGACCGACGACGATACCCGCCGAAGCATAGTGCGCACGGCCTGGGACGACATCGAGGAGCAACTCTTTAGCACAAACACTCGCATCTCCACCGCTGCCGTCGAGCTTATCTGCAACCTTGTACAAAACCCGGAGGAGGCCCTTCGCTTGTTTGGCGACGGCACGTCCAAAGCGCAGACGCGGATCAAGGTCGTGCTGGCGCTGGCCGACGCCGAGGATGTCAAGACGCGCAGCGCCGCGGGCGGCGCCTTGGCTAGTTTGACAGCCTTGGAAGTCGTGGCGCGAGCCATCCTGGCGCACCCCCGCAGTGCTGTCATCATCCTCGACCTGTGCCGCGATGACGACGAAGGGCTGCGGCACAGAGGCGCCGTCATCGTGCAGAATCTTCTCTCGGCCGAGGGCCAAACCGGCCAGTCGGCCAAGAGCAAGTTGCTGGAGGCCGGCGCTGTGGAGGCGCTGACTGATTGCGCGAAGAAGAGCAGGACATCAGAGGTCGTGCAGGCCGTGGTACACGCTTTGGAGCTGCTGCTTGCGCGAAATTGAGGCAGGTGCTACAGCATGTATAAGGGACACCTCGAGTGAGGTGAAACTTCCTAGCAAGAGCTCGCGTCGAGCTAGTTGGTGTTCCCCTATGTTAGGCGGCCAGAAAGGCCGCGGAAACACAGCTTTTGTCAAGACCCCTAATTTTTGCAACACTTGGATACTGTTTCATGGCATTTACCGGGTTCAATACTCGAATTTCGAGGGTAGAGCGGTAGCTATGGGTATTCTTATGATAGATTAGTTATGACTAAACGCCCACTATTATTATGTCAACAGAAGAGAAGCCCCATAATACAGATATGGAACCATAAGATGCAAAGGGGCACCATATTCAACACACACACCGCCACCGTTCTAGAATCTTTGATATACTACAACCCTCCACCATTTTTATACCATAACGCAGGAAGAGCTATACATCAGTACTCGCCTCGTCCCTCCCGGTAAAGATTTTCCACAGCCGCTTACTGACCGCGGGGCCCACGGCGCGATCGCCGACGCCGCCGTCCTTGTCGACGCACCTCCTCACCTTCTCGAGCGCCAAGGGCCCGTCCCTCTCCAACCCTTTAACCAGCCGCGACACGGTGGGGTACTCGGCCGCGATGCCGTACGCGATGGGCGCCGTGACGCGCCCAACCTCCTGCAGCATGCAGAGGTACGTGTCGCGCGGGGAGTCGCCCGTGCGCACCTGGCCCGTCTCAATGCAGAAATTGGTGTTGTTGGACGCCTCGCGCTGCCGCCGGTAGGGGACGGTGCTGATGTGCTGCGTGAAGACGGCTATCCAGCGCGCGGTTTCCAGCGGCACGGTCGTGTGGTGGATGAGTACCGAGGGCGAGTGCAGGACCTGCAGGCGCAGAAGGGCCGTTTCGATGGTTTCTTGGTCGATGTACGCGTGCGGTTTCTCTGAGGTGGGTTTGCGTCGTCGGGCTTGCTGCTGGGAGGAGGTCGGGGGGTCGGTTGCCGGTGGTGGAGGTGGCGGTTCGAGGCCGCTGCGCACGGCAGACACGAATTGGCGGTTTCGGATGTTGCGGTTTTTGCGCAGCCAGAGATCAAGGCCTTCGATCAGGTAGATTATGGTGTCGTTTGGGAAGTTGCGGCGCATTCGCAGCGCGTGGGTTTCCAAGTCTGCGGCCCCGCTGCCGAGGGCTAGGTCCACGAATTGAGATGCCGTGAGGATCACCATGGCGTAGTTCTCACGATCAATGCGCTTTTCTACGGGCTCCCAATGTCCAAGCTGCTCGTTGTACTGGCTGTTGACCTTGCGGCGCCATTTGACAACATTGTCAAGGGGACTGGTCCACGAGGTGGATTCCACTTCAAGGTCTTTGAGTATGGTTTCGGCTTGTAACCTTACGGTCTCGTCAAGTGTGCTCGGAAGGTCGACGATCATCTCTGGTGTGGACTTCTTCTTGTCTGTCCGTATCGTGTTCACCTGGGCCAAGGCGGCAGCTCTCTGCTTCTCTCGAGCCTTTTCCTCCCTTTCACGCTTCTTTTCCTCCGCTTTGCGCTCCTTCTCTGCCACTCGCGCTGCAGCCTTCTCCTGCCTTCGCCTCACCTTCTCCTCGGCGCTTAGTTTAGGTTCTGTGGGGGTAGACCTTCTCACGGCTGCCTTCGGTTTCAGTGGGGGCTTTGATAAGACGGGCAACTTGAGCCCCTGGTCTGATCCGACCAGGCCGTCGATATCGGGAAAATCGTCGTCAGAATCTGATTGCGCTGAATCTTGGTCATCAGAGTCATCGAGAGTGAAAACTTCTGATTGGGTCCTCCGGGACTGAGGTGCTGGAATAGTCGTACCGCTATTTGACGAAGGCGGAAGAGGGGCGGAACTCGAGATGGGATCCCACGGAGCCGGTCTCTGGGGCAGCCTTGGTGGTCGCTTGATGGGCGCAGGAGAGCTGGAGGCAAATGGGTCGATATCATCGATGACAACTCGCTCGGCATTAATACTTTTACGCTCTTCTCCTTTATCTGGCGGAGGGCTCGCAAAAGGGTCGTCGATGTCGTCAATGAGTGGTCTTGACCGGTTGGGCTTGGGCTCCGATTGCTCATTTTCATTCGCTTTCGGGGAAGACTTAGTGAACGGTTCACTCGAGAAGTCAAACTGCGGCTTGGTTCGTCCAGCGTGTAAGGGGGAACGGCTGGCATGTCTAGGTACCCTGTCTGTAGGGTTTAAGCGGCCAGGACTGGTTGGTCGGAGAGGTTGAGATGGGCCAGCAACAAAGCCTGATTTACTGGAACGGGCTTGGCTTTCTTGGTCTATTCGACGTCTCTTTCGTTCTGGCTCGTTTACGCACGTGTCTCCTTTCGAGTCGCCACGACCTTGATAACCAAAGTCGTCGTCAGAGAGAAGCCAGACATCGTTGTTTGATACCGACGCATCTGGTTCCTGGTTTCGGGCTGGGCGGACTGCGGACGCGTCAGAATCCGGCCACTGCCAATTTGTGTTTTCGGCCCAGATTGCAGTCTGCGGTTGCCGAGATGTTTGTTGTCTCGCGGAAGTCGCGGCCTTTGGAGGAGACCCAGCTTCTGAGCTCGATAGGAGCTCGATAACTTCAGCTGGCATTGTTTGTTGATGAGCCTAAGGTACTGTGTCGGCAACGAATGAAGCATTCAGGTAATCCTCGCAAACAGGAGATCGAGGCATTGGCCGCCTCTTTACTGGCAATTTGGTTTCGTGCTGGCCACGGCAACCACGGCAACCACTGCAGGAAAGCGTGACGGAATACTGGCGGAACGGTTACGCGAACTCAACGCATAGTCACGTGATGAGCAGTACCTGTTCAGGATAGGGTGTGAAATTTTCAAGGAGGGCCTCGAATTTCATTTCACAGACGGCCTTGAAATTTCAGATTAAATTTCAACATTTTATACTAACCATATATGGGAGGCGGTAAGGTCCCGGGTTAGGGTTACCTACACAGTTCTCCCACCCTGACCACCCAGCCAGGCCCAGGTCAGGCCCAGCCCTAGGCGTGTTCAGTGCCCTATCTTTGTAACAACCTCCCTGCTGAAATCTTTGAAATTCAGTGGCCGGCGTGAAATTCAAATTTCACAAAAAAGGCTGAATTTCATAAAATTCCAATTTAATTTCCACACCCTAGTTCAGGAGGCTGCATGCCCCTGGTTGGCGCTTGGAGTTTCGGTAATTACATTAGTCAGGGGCTAAAACTCCTTTCCGGTACAGTATCTTACGGATCCAGATTCCAGACCAGTGGGACGGGTCAATCATGACTTGGAGGACCCTGAGACTCTGGAACGTCTCCATCAAGCATGGAGGCATCCGGGAACGGTAGAGAGGATGGAACGACGATATGTATATCGCACAGTACTGTATCCGGCTCAACATTCCATTGCAAATGTACCACCTCAAGGCTATCTAACAGAAAGTTCGGGTATCCGTAGATGCTTCGTACTCATGAAGAGGGAGGGATATGGCGAGCACAAGGACACCAGTGCGGTCAGTCGGTCACAACGGCCTTGGGAGCTAGTCAACGCACGTGGGCTTGCGGAAACATTTCCCCGCGCAAGCTGTCACCCTCTCTCTCGATTTGATCGCTAAGGTGTGCGCTTTCTCAGCATGGATGGTGTGCGCACGGCCGTTGGATTTTCACCACTTGGTGTTGCGGCCTTTTTCGGGAAGCTCAAAGCGTTGAGATCTGGCTTGATTCGGACCGGGCGAGTGGGACGACGTGAGGACCTCCTTCCCCATTCTGGTGATGTACTGTACTTGTACACATTTTCCAGCACCTGACAGTCGCTCTCGTGGGGCTGAAGCACATCAAGGTCGAGGGGAAAGCGCTAGTGGAGAATTTGCCATATCCTGCATCTGGATCTCTGCCTCATAGCTTCTCGAATCCCTCGTTCGGAATGATCCGTCCGGAGTCGATCCAAGTCGATCGCCTGGGACGGGAAGGAGGGAACCCCTCAGTAGTGGGCTGCCAGAACTGGGAGTTGCATGCGGCGGTGCGAGGCCGTTGCATGAAGGCCATGGCGCTCAACTCCGAGTGCCTGTGGCAAAGAGCGATGTCCATGCTGCTTGATGCGCTACCAGTACCACCCAGACTCCCAGAGTTTGAGAAATTGGGTTCCGCCTATCACACCACTTCCAACTGAGACGGGATGTTTCCCCCGCAGATCAGAGCGAGAGGACTTGGCCGCGCCGCGGGAATCGGGATACCAACGCACAGCACACCCATTCGCTCCCTTTTCGACTTTGTTTGGTGTGTAACGACGTTTGCCGGTGTTGCGACTACAGTTCATGAGAGTTTGTTCTGGGCTTTGCTGGATTGGGTTCAAGGTACTCCGTCCCAAGTTCTCCACGTGTGTCACGCCCGGCCGAGACGTTCTGGGCTGTCCCGAAGCGGGTTCTTGACAGATCAGGAACATCAAGAATCGCAGCAGCGGAGCTTGCAGCCACCGAGAAAGGGGTAGCCTATGAAGTGCGTTATGTTCGTAGGTCCACGATGAAAATTCTTGACCCTTTAGTACGCACATCCTCCAGTCTCCCTTCCCTTTTCGTTTGGGAGTGGGGGGATCCTAATAGGGGTGCATACACAGTCTTCAATAACATACCTGGGCCTAAGTTTGTTGGTGACCTATAAGTTAGTGACCTACGTTACCAACTGCCTCATGACCTCACCTAACGTCAAAGAATTGTATGTCTAACTATCAGGCGACAGCTGCTCGATTACATAGTCCGCAGTTTGATATCGGTAACGGTTGACCCGGCAGGAGACAGGCGGCCCAAGCCATTTTCCATGCTGCATCCCTTGGCCAAGCACCGCTACGGCTGCTTTTGCAATTACATACATGCTCCGAGAAGTCCGAATACATAGAGCACTGTGCTAGGGAGAGCAGTTAGGGATGGTTCGTCCAACAAAGACGCGAAGACTGGCGATGTGGTGGTGTTCCTTTGAAGATGCGCATTGGCCGCTTGCCCCCATTTCACCTTGGGTAGCATGCGATCCTTGCCATGGCTCAAGCGAACCGGAGCTTTGGCTGCATGGACCTGCAGTTCCATCTTCACATCACGGCCGCGCCTCCGCAATGCCGTGAGCCCAGGTTGGTCTGTTTGCAACGAACACTTCCTTTTTCCGCGGCTTGCAGCGCTCCAGGGTTTCTAATCCAGCCATAACAGGCTTTTCGTTTCTGAGATTGTGTTTGTTCTTTTGCGCTCTAACGCTACGTTAGCCCTTGCTTTCTTCTGCTTCGGGTGGCTATATAATCAAATTGACATGCCCGTACGACTCGAGTCGTCCGATGTCAAAATCTCTTGTCCGCCTGTGATTTGACACCGAGTGGAACTGTGCTGCATGTGGTCCCGACAACAACTTTATCAAAAAGCGCCAGGTCCCAAGCATCCCCATTGGCGGCCCCACGGCACTCGTTCAGGGGAATCAGGGGACGCGTTGGTAATTTGCGCTACCCCGGTCAGTGCAATCAAATAAACAAGGGCCTGCCCCCAAACCAACCCCTAAGGTGGTCAAGAGCAATTCCCACCCTCCGAAATACATGCACTACACGAAGTCAACCGCGGAAGGGAAAAATGGGAAACGAGAACTGAACTCTGGGAAAGCATATGACGACCTGAGGGCGAGCGCAAAGCATAAACGCATTTTGCGGGTCCATTAATTATCGCCGTTTTGCATTTTCTCTGGCACCTGTGTCATCGACAAACAGGCAGCGGTTCGTGCCGTTGATTTTCGGCGGCACCACGGCCAGCCCTGCGCCAAAAGCCCGGCGGCAGAAAACTGACCAAACAAGAAGCGAGTGGCACACGTCCCACTTGGGCCGGATCCAGCCGACACAAGCGGCAGTGGTACTGTATAGGGGCGGCCCCTTAACAAGGTGCACGCCAACTTCTGCCTCGCCGAGATGACGAACTCACCTCCAGCGTCGCCCGGCACTCTTCCTCCGCGGCCGTTGAGCGCCATGATCCGCCCAACGCCCAGGAGCAATAGCCGCATGAGCATGAACAGCAAGACGGGCGGAGGAAGCAGGGCTTCAGATGAAGACACAAGAACAGCCGTCAAAGTCGGTGAGTGTGCGCGCCGAAAATCCAAACAAAAACAATTTGGTGATATGATGATGATGGATGCCGTCTGGATGATTCCGGATTCCGGCACCGTCGCGTCCCGACACGGGCTAGTTTACCGAGCTGACCATTCCTACTCTCAGCGGTTCGCGTCCGCCCGCCGCTAAGACCTACCGATCCTGGCTATGAGCTCATACCTCAGCGCTTCCAGCGGTCTATGGTGCAGGTGCAGTCACCCACGAGCCTGTCGATCGATTCGCAGCAGGGGCGCAAGCTTTTCGTCTTTGACAGAGTATTTGGGCCCGAGGTCGACCAGGCGGGAATATGGGAGTACTTGGAAGAATGCGTCAACGCGTTTATGCAGGGATACAATGTCTCGGTTCTCGCCTACGGCCAGTCCGGCGCCGGCAAGTCGTACACAATGGGCACATCTGGCCCTGCCGAACAGTATGACCACGAGGCCATGGGTGAGTGTCCTGCCCCAGTGTTGTCTCACCGCCAATCTCTGCTTTCGACGTGCAATTGACCAGTCGCTGCCAGGTGTCGTTCCGCGGGCTGCCACTGCACTCTTTGAGCGGTTAGAGGGTCCCAAGGGAAATCCCAACAGGGGCTCAATGTCGCAGTTGCGCACGCCTTCGCGCTACACGACGCAGCCCGCCAGCCTTTCTCGAGGGGAAAAGAACTGGACACTACGCGCGTCCTACGTTGAGATTTACAACGAGCAGCTACGAGATCTCCTGACGCCAGACAATGTCCCTCCGCATGAGAGAGCCACCGTGGTCATCCGCGAAGACATCAAGGGAAACATTATTCTTTCCGGCCTGCGCCAGGTCGAGGTCAACTCGGTGGAGGAATTGATGAACGTCCTTAATCAAGGGTCGACGCTCCGCCAGACAGATGCCACTGCAATCAATGCCAGGTCTTCGCGCTCGCATGCCGTCTTCAGCTTAAACCTGGTGCAAAAGAGGAACAAATTGCAAACCGCCCAAGGCCCAGAGAAGCGCTTCTCTATGCCGGTGGAAGCCTTAACAGGCGGGGACATGCTGGTCACGACCGACAGCAAAATGCACTTTGTCGATTTAGCCGGCAGCGAACGCCTCAAGAACACGGGCGCCCAAGGCGAGCGGGCCAAGGAAGGCATCTCGATCAACGGGGGCCTCGCGGCGCTGGGCAAAGTCATTTCGCAGCTGTCGTCGCGCCATCCGGGGTCGCACGTATCGTACCGAGACTCGAAGCTGACCCGGCTGCTCCAGGACTCGCTGGGTGGGAATGCAATAACATACATGATTGCCTGCGTTACGCCGGCCGAGTTCCACCTCAGTGAGACGCTAAACACGGTACAATATGCGCAGAGGGCCCGAGCGATCCAGAGCAAGCCGCGCATCCAGCAGGTGGAGGAGGGCGACAAACAGGCCATTATCGACCGTTTGAAGGCCGAGGTGGCATTCCTGCGGGAGCAAATCCGGAGTGCAGAACGCAGCGGGGGTGACCGCCGTACCCTGGCCCCTGGCGAGAGGTCCGAGCGGCAGAGCGAGCGGGAAGTCGAACTCCAGAACCAGCTGCTGGATGCTCAAGAAAATTACACTGCGCTTAGCCAGCGGCATGCAAAGCTGATTGCCGAGATGGCAAAGGCCCGGGACAATGAAATGGCCGAGAACCAGGAGCTTGAGGGCGATAGCGCCACGGAGCGGTTAAACCGCTCCAACAGCTTCGCACAAGCCGTTGAGCAGGTCGTTCTCGAGTACGAGAAGACGATTCAGTCCCTCGAACACTCCCTGGCCAGTACCCGGGCCACCCTGGCCATCACCGAAGGGTCGTTACTCGAAAAGGAAACTAAGTGTGCCTATACCGAGACCATCAACGGCCAGCTCCAGGCCCGGCTGCAGAAGCTGATGGATCGCGAGGCGAGCACCGAGAACTACCTGCAGGATCTGGAAGCGAAATTGGACGGGCACACGTCGGGTGAGGAGAAAAATGCCACCATCATCATGGAACTCCGCAAGGAAATCGCTCGTGTGCGCGAGAACGAGGCCTCGGCCGAAGACTACATCTCAACCCTCGAGGAGCGTCTCGCCGAGGCCGATCAGGATGCCGAGCTGATGCAGCGCGAGATTGACAGGCTGGAGCAAGTAATTGAGCGGCAGCGTAGCCTCGGGAAGTTGGACTCGCTCCTGTATGAGCTTGATAACATCCAGCAGGATCCGCCAGCCCTGGAGTCTGAGACAGCACAAAGCAGCGGCGCAAGCCATCGTCGGTCGAGCAATCGTAGTTTTACAGACCATTCTCGCAGTCAGAGCCATGTCAGCCGCCACAGTCACATGGAGGAGACCATCCCAGAGAGCGGGGAGGAGGACATCCCGGAGGAGATCGAGGACACGGCCGAGGAACCAATAGCGAAAGCGACAACACCCAGACCTTCACATGTCCAACCCGCAGAGAATCGCGATACGACCGATTACGCCGCCAGTCCCGCTCAATCTAAATATGTGGCTGACAAGCTTGAAACGGTTACCCAGGAGCTGCTCGATCTGCGCGTTGAGCACGAGACTACGCTCAACGAGTACGACCTGCTTCATGCCAAATATGAGGAATCGCTCCGAGCGCTTGCAGAGTTGCAGGATGCGATAGACGAGGCACGGCATCCCAGCCGGCAACGAGACTCAGTGCTCTCAGTGACTTCACCGATGCAAACCAGGCCGCCGTCGATTTTGTCTGAGGCTAGGACCAACGAGACAAAAGACGGCATCCGACTCTCTTCGCGGTCGCTCTCATCTGAATTGTCGTCCGCCATGGAATCTCCGGCGACTACCATGGAAAGCTCCGACGCCGAGACCGCGGTCCCGAGGTCCGAGTCCCATCTGCACACGCCCGCCGAGGCTGCCAACAGTACCGTGCTGGCTTCCGAGATCGAGAGGCTAAAGTCGCTTGCCGCGGACAAGGAGTCAGCGGAGAGGGAGCTTGCCGAGCGATACGCCCAGCTCGAGGAAAAGCACCAACAAACGCTGGACATGGTTGAGGAGCTGAAGACAGAGGTGGCCAAGGCGCAGGCTGCCAACAGCGAAAGTTCGTCACCAAAGAGCAGCGCTCCGGTCATTCGCCGCAAGTCCAGCCAGAACGTAATGATCATTGACCGTGCCCACCGGTCGTTTGCGTCGTTGCGAAACATCGCGGCAGAGAACTTTGAGGATCAACCAGACGTGATGCAGAATTTCGAGCTCAATCTAAATGCCGCCATGCACGAGCTACATCTCCGTTCAGAGCGAATCCAGGAGCTCGAAGCGGATGTCGCTTCGGCTAAGAAGGAGATGGAGACCAAAATGACCATTATTTCAGGATTAACCCGTGAACGGTCTAGCTTGAAGGCAGCCTCGCCTATGGATATGTCCGTAGTGTCCAATCTTCGGGAGCAGCTGGAACAGAGCGAGAAACGGATCAGGGAACTGCAAGAAGCGCAAACAGCTCGCGAAAGAGAACTGGAAGCCCAGCTGGCCGAGCTACAAGCGGCCCTGACGCAGGCTGATGTTGCGGCAAAGGAGTCCGCCCAGACGGCTGCTGATGGTTCCTTGGCTGAGATAGAGCTTCGCGAGAAGAAGATCTCGGAGCTCGAAGCCGAACTTGCGAATTGGGAAGAACGACACAGCACGGCGGTACAGAGCATGCAAGAGTCTGAAGACCAAATGAAGAAGACAATCGGTGAACTCGAAGCCCAGGTCGCTACCGTAACCGCGCAGCTCGCCGAGGCCGAGCAGAAGAAGCCAGAAGAGGACGAGGCTGCCAAAGAAGCCGAGCTCAAACAGAGGAAGTTGATCGACTTTTTGAGGAGCGAGATCGACGAGTACAAGAATATCATCAACAGCAACCAATCCAGAGTCACCGAGGTCGAACAACAACACGCCGCAACCAAGAGGCTGCTGGAATTGGCTACCAGCGACCGTGACCAGGCTTCTTCTGAGGTAGAAGCCCAGAAGGAATTGATTGCCAAGCTGGAAGCTCAAATCGCGGACCACGAGCAAACAAAGGAGTTGGTTGCTAAGCTGGAGGCTCAAATCGCGGACCACGAGCAAACCATCAAGGCTCACCAGGAGAGTCTTCACGAGCTCCAGTCGAAGCATGCCCAGGATGTAGAAGATATCGTGTCCTCCTCGAAACAAGATTTTGAGTCGCAGCTGGCGGCTCTCAAGGACGAGCATGCTCGCCGTATCGAGCAGCTTGAGGGTGACCTAACCGAAGCCCGCGAAGACCTCATGAACGTCGCCACGCAGGTCGCGTTTGGGCTCGGTCTGGATGTTAGCGTCGAGAAGATTAATGAGCGCATTGAAGATCTGGTTGCCAGCCAGAAGGCCCTGGTGCAGGAGCGCGAAAGGAGATCAGAGCTCGAGCGTCACGTGGTTGACTTGTCTGGTATCAATGACACGATCATGCGCGACCTTGAAACCGTCAGGGCAAGCCTGGCTGAGGTCATCGCCTCCGAGGGCGAAAATCCAAAGAACCAATTCCCGGTCCAAGAGCAAGTTGCCCTGGTCAAGAAGAAGGTGGTGGATCTGGAGACCAAGAACAAGAAGAATTCTCGCCTTGTCGAGGAGCTCGAGGACCAGCTGCAGAGCAACTACGACCAGGTGCAGGCTACCAGCAACCGCCTGTCCACTCTGCAGATGGAGCGGAATGCCCAGCTGGAGGAGGCAAACGCGGCCAGGCACAAGCTGCAGACAGAGCTTGACGCCATCAGGGAGGAGTACGCCTCTCTCCAAGTACGTATTCGACAAGAGCACCTCTCCTACGCGTGTAACTCGTACACTAACACGTCTCATCTCCAGGCAAAATACGAGGCAATCCTTTCTGGCGAGAGCGTTCTTCCCAACGAAGGTCCCCAACGCACCAACTCGGTTGGCAACCAAGTCCGCAAGAGCAACTCAGTTGCATCCCTCCCCTCGCCGCCGCCGGCAATCCCCCTGCCTCCTCTCCCCAACGGCAGCTCGGGCGCGTCCAACCCGGGCACGGTATCCCCGACCGGGGCGCGGCCGCCGAGCAAGGACATTGGTGGCATGGCGGCCGCCGCGAAAATGTCGCAGATCCAAGAGGACCAGGAGGCGCGGATCCGGCTCATCGAGAAGCACCTCAATGCCGAGAAGCAGCTCACGGCAACCCTCGAGGAGGCGCTGGCGGACCTGGAGCAGCAGCACATTGCGATCCGGACCGACTGCGACGCCTGGCGCCGCAAGGCGGCCGAGCTCGAGGCCGAGCTCAAGGAGCTGAAGGAGAAGCCCCTGCAGGACAACCGGTGGAGCCTCCAGCAGGTCGAGGAGGAGCGGCGCAAGCGCAAGGACGCCGAGATTGCGCGCGCCCACCTCGAGGAGCGGATGGCTACTATCAGCAAGAGCAAGAAGAAGAAGGGGAGTCTGAACTGCTTTTGAGAAGAGGGGGTAGACTTGGAGCTGCGGCGGCGGCTGCTGGGATTTTGGGGGCTGGTGGTTGTGGTGGTGGGGTGGCTTTTGGGAAGAGCTGGTTTATGGGAATCTGGGAGGTGGGATGGATGAGAATGAGAATGAGTTTCCGGCCCTGAAGGTGTGTGTGGTTGGTTGTGCTGGGATTCTTGTGGGGTGGCATTTTCTCTTCTGTTCAGTTTTGCCCTTTGTCCTTTTGGGTCTGCTTCTGCCACGAAAGGGGTTCCGGTTGATGATTGCTGGATTTGTTGTTCTTGTTGTCTTGTTGAGTTCTTTTTCTTTCTTTCCCTTCTTCTGCTTTCTTCGTTGCGCTTTTATATTCCCCATTGATTCCCCCGTTACACCATGTTTTCATATCTGATGTTGCTTCCCTCTTTTCCGTGGTCCGATTCCCCACGGCAGCGTGTGTGTGAAGCTTTATATTTATATATATCCCTCCGCCCTTGCACGTTTATATGCCTCCTTACACGTTACATGCCCCATACACGTTTGACGTGCCCCCTGTTGTTAATGTCTGTTCTCGGAAGCCACATGTGCGTGTCTGGTTATATGTCCATGTTCATGTACCTACTTACTCGACCTGGCTTAGCCTTATGATGGATATGGTTTGTTGCCATTTGTGCGTCAAATCGTTGATTTAGGCTTGCTTCCTGGTGCATCACATTCGTTTGTTCGTGAAGTAGATGAGGGTCTTATACACCTCTGCTTTGGCCCTCGGCCGTGTTCTCCCTTCGTTACAAGATGCACAGCAACGACCTTGGCTTGACTGAGGAGGTTCCTTTGTTGAATACTACGGGAGAGAGGCCGAGAATATATATCTTTGGGATTTTGACTTTGTTGAGATGCCGCCTCACTATGTTGACACCTCCCGTTGATGATGATAGATCATTCAAGGGTGTAAGAAGCCAGTCCCACAAGGCAACAACGAGTACTACCTGCACACGTGCTTCTATAATCCGCAATTGTGGGAGGGCGATGTCAAGTAATATCGAGCTCGATGAGGATGGGGTAGCTTGGGCTGCAGAGGGGACCATTCAGGGGCTAGCCAGCTTGTTTGATACGTCAACCTCGTATGACATGTTATTCAGGGCCTCCGCATGTCTGCTTCTTGGGATTCTGGAGTACTTGTACATACACTAGCTGCGCAAAAGTGTAGTCTACGGTGAGAAGCTGGCTGGCGTCTTGGTTTGTGAGTTTACTGTCCATACATACCGTGGAGGTTTTCCTCTTTGCTGTGACGGCATGACGGAGGTACTGGCTGCTTGAACGGCGGCCGGTTGGAGGGGCTGGCATGGGACCTCGGATATTGAGATAAGTGATGAGCACTCGGTCCTGCGGGAGCAGGGTAGGTAGTGCGTTACTTGGAGGCCACTCGTCAAGTAGTAGATTATGATGGCCCACTACTCCATGGTGGCCTGGGGTATCTGGGGAAAGGCGCTTGAGGGGATAGTGGCACGCAGGGATTGCCCGTTAGTTCACCTTGATTCCTTGCTGATTGCACCATCACCCGAGGGGTTGAGGTAGCCGTGGAGGTCCGACTCGGATTCGGTCCCGGTGCGTGACACCTTGTGGTCACCATCGTTTGGTCTGTTTAGGAAAGGAGCTGTATCGCCGTTTAGGGCATGATCTTCCCGCCAACACAATGTATGTACCGTACGTACGTAGCGTAAGCTGGCGATAGGAGATTCTACTCTGTGTTACATGTTCAGTTAGGTACTCGTTCCAAAGTACTGCAGCAATTACCAGTATGTTGTGCAGGTGCGTTGGATGAATGGCGAACGGGCATCGTCGGTGAAACGGGAAATTATTGTAACAGCGGGGTTGGATACCTGTAATGACGCTATGACGCTGTCCCCAGCACTTAGGATGGCGGGGCTCAATGCGGGGAAATCAGAAGGAAGCCAATCTTCTGCAGCGCCGCGCCTGGGCGATGTGACCGAAGCATCATGGCCCTACGGCACCGCGACGCCGCCTTCGTCACTCAGCCCAGTGATCAAGTGTAAGGTGTAAGTTGATGGTAGCCGCGATCCGGACCGCGCAGGGCCAAGACTTGTTTGAACCAAAAGTCGTGATGGGTGTTACGGAACTCAAGTGCACGCTTATGTACCAATACCTGAGAGACAGTTTGGCATCCGGACAACACAAGCCTCCCTCGCCTCCATAACCAGGCTGTCCGGCTGGATTCCACGTTCCTGGTTCCATCATGCTGTGTTCGCCGAGGCCATGATTTTCAAGCCTCTCCCGTGGTCACGAGATGCTCAGTATCGTAGCCGTCGGGTATTCGGGTTATGTTCGTACACTGGACAATTCCGGCCTGCACGAAATGGTTGGGCCAAGCAATTTTGGGTGTCCCGTCCCTGCATCACCAACGCGGTTTGCGACCGGCATCAACGACATTAGCCACCTGCGACTGAAAATGAGAAGCGCCGACACATATATATTTTACGTATACCTTACTTACCATATGCATCCACAGATTGAGGATGCCAGCTAATTTATCGAATTTCTACCCGGGGGCTGGAGCTTGATTCAACCTCTATCCCCTCCCCACTGGCGCCATGGTCCCCGCCATAATCCCTTTTTTGCCAGAAGGTGCTGTTATGGGGTTGGACGGAACTCTCTGACGGTGGAGTCTTCCGAATGGAGCGGGTCCATGGCAGCTTCCCCGAGATCGCAGGGTGTGCTCCATTGCATCGCGCCTGCCTGTCCTGGCGCTATTCTGTTGAGTTGATGGGTTGCTGGGTACCCATGATGTGGATAACTCCTGAGTTGCAACGAAGCCAGGTACGTGAGGGAATGGGACCTACTTCGTACCGCTTGGAAGGCTTCAAAGGGGTTGTAACATGATAGATCACGCTGCAGCGTAGCAATAAGTACAATGTGATGAGGATCACAATGCGGATTCCACTCGTCGTTGCAACCTTGAAACACTGCAGTTGGTCCTGTACTGGATCGGCTGGATGATATGTACCCTTTTTTATTCGGTGGGTTTCTATTCATCCGAAGTGAGAGATGCATCTCCAGGGTTACTCTCCTCAGTTCTGATTCCCAGTCTCTTGACAGGCGAAAGGGGGCAGTCCGTAGCAAAGACCAGCATAACATAGGTTGGTCTCAGGGCTTGTCCGTTGCTTTTCGAGGTCACGTTAACCAACTGCTTGAAAAGAGGTTATTCGCGCACTTCGGGCTGGTTCGGGGACTTGTTCCCCCCTCTTTGCCCTTAGCAACGGCGACGTGAGGATCGAGTGGCTCGTCGGACGGAGGGAAACCCACACAGATGGTTCACTTCACTATAGGACAGTAACGTTGAGGGTCACAGTACATGAGGTACTGTAGGCACGATGTATCCCGTACAGACAAGCTCCGGCCGGACGGTGGGAAATTTGCCCATGCAGCATCCACCATCCTTACAGGCTTTACCCATCCAAGCGGGTAAGGTATGCTTCTGCTTCGACTTCTGCCATAATACAAAAGCGCTCCCCATTCACCCCCATTGCTTGTTTTGCTGGTCGTCCCAATTTCTCGAATCTACGCTCACCTTTTGGTTCCTTTCCAGACACTGAGAAACTGACGTCGCCTCACGACCACCGACGTCGCTCGCGCTCTTGACAATCCATAGATCTTACCCCGCCGAACCCCGCCAACTCCAACATTAGCTACAAACTCTCCCGTCATGGGTGAAGAAGCTGCCAAGGCCCCCGTGGTGGCCGAGGCTCATGAAGTCGACACATTCCGTAAGCACGAGAATTATTTGATCGTCTGGCAAAAAATTACTGCAGGAGACGAGAGCTATGTGAGCTAACAAGAGCGCAATCTGTCTCTTCCAGATCCCCCGCAGAAGATGCTTGCAAGTAAGTTACACAGTGCCGTGTGCCAAGCTCCCCGCGACATGCGGGGTGGCCTGGACGAAAGGACGAAAGGAAAGATTACAGGCAGGCTAACCGGGTTGCGGCAGAGCATCCGAGCAAACCGCACTTGAGTAGTACGCGACCCTGACCCACAATACCGCCTTCGGGATACCCTCCTATCCCGGCAGCTCACATGGTATGCTGACGCACAACGGCAGGTCTCGAGGAGTACCAGCAGCTGTACAAGGAATCTATCACAGAGCCCGAGAAGTTTTGGGGAAGACTGGCTCGCGAGCTCCTGACCTGGCATAAGGATTTCCAGACGGTCCACAGCGGTTCTCTACTCAATGGCGACAACGCCTGGTTCCTTGAGGGCGAGCTCAATGCGTCGTTCAACTGCGTCGATCGCCATGCCATTAAGGACCCCAACAGGGTCGCCATCATCTACGAGGCGGACGAGCCCGGTGACGGCCGTACAGTGACCTACGGTGAGCTCCTCCGGGAGGTTTCCAAGGTCGCCAATGTTTTGAAGGATATGGGGGTGCGCAAGGGGGACACGGTCGCCATATACCTGCCCATGATCCCCGAGGCTCTTGTTGCCTTCCTCGCCTGCGCCAGAATCGGCGCCGTCCACTCGGTTGTCTTCGCAGGCTTCTCCGCAGACTCGCTGCGTGACCGCGTCTTGGACGCCCGATCCAGGGTCGTCATCACCAGTGACGAGGGCAGGCGCGGCGGGAAGCTGATTGGGACAAAGAAGATTGTAGACGAGGCGCTCAAGCAGTGCCCCGACGTTAAGCACGTCCTCGTCTACAAGCGTACCGGCGCCGACATCCCCATGACGCCAGGCCGCGACTACTGGTGGCACGAGGAGGTTGACAAGTGGCCCGCCTACGTCGCCCCCGAACCCATGAACTCCGAAGATCCCCTTTTCCTTCTCTACACCTCGGGCTCTACCGGCAAGCCCAAGGGCGTCATGCACACCACCGGTGGCTACCTTCTCGGGGCAGCAGCGACGGGCAAGTATGTCTTCGATATCCACGACGGAGACCGCTTTTTCTGCGGTGGAGATGTCGGCTGGATCACGGGTCACACCTATGTTGTGTACGCGCCGCTCCTTCTCGGCGTGTCGACTGTCGTTTTCGAGGGCACCCCGGCGTATCCCAATTTCTCCCGCTACTGGGACATCATTGAGAAACACCAGGTGACGCAGTTCTACGTTGCTCCCACCGCTCTGCGGTTACTCAAGCGCGCCGGTGACCAGCACGTTCGCAACGAGATGAAGCACCTCAGGGTGCTCGGCTCAGTCGGCGAGCCTATCGCTGCCGAGGTCTGGAAGTGGTACTTCGAGGTCGTCGGCAAGGAGGAATCGCAGATTGTAGATGTGAGTTGCCCCGAGGACGGTCGTCCCCCTTGCCGGTTGCCCTCCATCTAACCACGTGCACAGACATACTGGCAAACCGAGACTGGTTCGCACGTTATTACCCCTCTGGCTGGTGTAACGCCGACAAAGCCTGGATCCGCTTCGCTTCCCTTCTTCGGCATCGAGCCGGCCATCATCGACCCGGTCACAGGTGAGGAGATTCACGGCAATGACGTTGAGGGCGTCCTGGCTTTCAAACAGCCATGGCCGAGCATGGCCAGGACAGTCTGGGGAGCTCACAAGCGATACATGGACACTTACCTCAATGTGTACAAGGGGTACTATGTAAGCGACATAACCGTACCTCGAGAGGGCTACTCTTGGACTAACTCGGGCTCTAGTTCACGGGCGACGGCGCTGGCCGGGATCACGAGGGCTTCTACTGGATCCGCGGCCGGGTTGACGATGTCGTCAACGTTAGTGGCCACCGTCTGTCCACTGCCGAAATCGAAGCTGCTCTGATAGAACACGCTGCCGTCGCCGAGGCGGCCGTCGTGGGTGTGGCCGACGAGCTCACTGGCCAGGCGGTCAACGCCTTTGTTGCTATCAAGGATGGCAATGAGCCGTCAGACGCACTGCGGAAGGATCTCATCCTGCAGGTCCGCAGGAGCATTGGTCCCTTTGCAGCACCAAAGGCCGTGTATATCGTGCCCGACCTCCCCAAGACACGCAGCGGCAAGATCATGAGACGTATTCTCAGGAAGATCCTGGCTGGTGAAGAGGACCAGCTCGGCGATATCACCACGGTAAGTCAACGATATACGCGTCACATACCGGTGGCGCAGTGAGCTAATCGAGGACTAGCTGTCGGACCCCGCTGTTGTCGATAAAGTCATCGCCGCCGTCCACGAGGCTAGGAAGAAATAAAATGGAGGTGTTTGCTGATTTGTTCCGAGATGTAATACCAAGGGTTTATATGACGGTGTCTCTGTTGAGCTTAGGTGTATTCTCAGGGCTCAATAATTCGCCATGAGTTTGGGCCGCTCTTCTGTCTTGGAAGCGGTTTTCAGCTTGTCGCCTTCTGCTTTATGGGGTCTGACGAATTGTCGACATACTGTTTGTTGTTGTTGGAGGAGGGTGTTGGACTATCCGAGACTGCAATGCAAGATAACAAACATTATGATGATCAATCTCCCTGGATATCATGACCTAGTGCGTTCAGACGGTCCTGCTGGCCAGGCAGGCAAATTGACTTATAAGCTACCCACTATGAGCGTAGTGAACAGTCCAAGCCAGGAAATCATTGAACGTGTATTGCGTGGATGATGCTCCATCCGCATGGTCCTTCCCGTGGCGGTGCACTGCACAGAAGCCCGGCAGCAGCGCGCTGGTGGTTGCCGTGTCCGAGCGGGAACGGTCGAACTGTCAAAAGGTTCATCAATCATCAATTCCCAACCTTCTTCTTCTTTTGATGAATTGTGTTATTTTTGTTCTAGGTACACTACCTAGCGCTGGCAACGGGATTCTGTCGTGTTGCGGCGCAGTTTAGGTCGGGGAACCCTTTAGGCGTCTCTCTCAGTTTCAGGGGTGTCGGGTTCCGTTACGAAAGTACATTAGGATTCATCATGTCCTGAGCGCTGGTCCGTTTGGGTGTTTGTACAAGGCAATAACTGACCGCCTTACCTTTCGTACAACTTGATGCTGGAAGCGAGGAGAGTTTGGTATTCGCCCGAAGCCCGGTCTGTCATCAAGTTCTTGCACTTGGTTACTGTACTTCGGATTTGGAGCACGGCAAGATCGGTATTTGTGAGTTCTTGTGAAGTCTTGGAAGTTCTTGGATCGGGCGGTTTATGAGGCTTATGAGGCTTGGAAAGGCTGCAGGGACGCGTACACAGAATGCAATGCTAGGCCCGATGACCTGATGTGATCTGCCGGTCTGTTGGTCGGGAGGCAGCCGATGCTGCAATTGCCCTCTAGGTACGTATGCCATAACGTTATGGCCCGGTGATGTTTGTTTGTCTGTTTGGGTTTCTGAGCTAGAGATCGGGCCAGTTACTGTGAAGCCTTAACCTTATTGTAAAATCAGCTGGAAACGGGGCCAGGCTAGAAGAGCGTCGACCGTGGTTGAATTGGGACTGCGATGGAATCCTGCCATCCAGAAGGATTCCAACAGCGTCGCATTTACAGTCGAGGGATTGGAGCCAGGCTTTATGTATTCCTTCTCTGGACAAGGCAGCATTGCAAGGTTCAATCCTCATTCCATGATCAAAACAATTCTTGACATCAGATCAATCCCGAACTTACTGAAGCTTCGTCCCAAGTCTTTGGTTGATCAGCTGGGCAACTTTTGTCGTTTAGGTGTGCTAGTGCAGCAGCCGAACGAGTGGCCAGCATCTTGGAGCCAAGCATTCTTCCGTTCTCCCCAGCGGCGGCTAGACGCGAGGTTTGAGGCTGCTCCTCAAAGGGGCCAGGGTCCTGCATCGGTTTGAGCGCGTGGTTCTGAAACTCTCTGACAAACCGCCCCCGGAGTCATCGGATCTGCTAGCTAGCCTAGCCAGGGACCGCCTGGTGACCGGCTGGAAACGGGGTTTGTTACTTCACAGTGGTCGGGCTAATTCAAACGTAAGGTTAAGGTTAACGTCAGGAGATTCTGTGTTGAAGTCCCATACGGCACTGTGTCTATACCGTCCCTTTACACTAGTAGACAATTCCACTCAGCGTGATCATAATTCTTTTCATACACGTAACTACTACCATACAGGTATCCATCCAGTCTCACATCAGAAAAAGTCTTCTAGTGTAGGTTCTCTGCAGCACATAAAGAACCTGCCAGAGTCCATACATACCCCTCGCTATCTCAGATAGGTGTGTATCCCTGCAGCTGACGGCTGCAGTGCCTAGGCGGTCTTCTGGGCAACGCGTAACCATTGCTGCCCCTGCAACCACTTTAACGTTGGTTGTAGCCTTGGCGTCCGCACGGTGCAGTGGGACGGAGTTGGCTGGCGTTAACCCCGTCCAGCTGCTTCCGACGAGTGGCATGGCAAGTCGCTACACCCACCCAACGGAACAAAAACAACAGGTGCACTGCCACCGTTTCCCGTCCATTTTTGCCTTTGCCTTTGCCTTCAGAGAAATGCAACGCAGTTCTTGTTTTCCGCTTTGCTTTTCTGCCTAGCTGATTCCCTCTTCGTTTTGTCCATTCCCAATTGCGGGCGATCTTCCTAGTTGAAACTCGAACCAAGAGTTCGCAGGTCTGCGGTAACACCTTAGACGACACCTCTTGCTGCGGCATTGAATCTTTCAATTCATTGTCTCTCCCTATCGCCTTTTCGTCCCAACTCATGGATAAGGCATGCGCATAGGGCCTTTTAGTTTTGAAGAATTATGATCTTTAGCAAGGCCTTCGCGGCCGTTCTTACAGGCGCTGTCCTTCTCCTCCAGGATGCGATAGGTAGGCGCTAGAGTTCCGTCTCCTGACCCATTGTCCGTCGACTTACAAACCCCCTCAAGCACACTCTGTACAGCGGAGTCCGCTGTCATACACCACACGCATCGATGACGCCGTAATACAGACGCCTTCTCGCCGGGTGCATGCGCACACCCCATTCGCCGTTACCTTTGTCCTCCATCGCGGAGCGCAGAAGGTCCGCCTCTCCCTGGAGCCCAATCATGACATTTTCAGCGGCGATGCGACGATACAGTATATTGAAGCCGATGGTTCAGTACGCAAAGCCGCGCCTATCGATAGGCGGGAGCACAGGGTATTTCGGGGCGAGAGCTTCGTCCAACAGGAGGGGCAGTCGGAATGGAAGCATGTAGGCTGGGCTCGGATTAACGTCCAGCGCGATGGGAGTAGGCCCATCTTTGAGGGTGTCTTCACGATTGATGGCGTCAACCACCATGTTCAAACAGCCAAGAAGTTCCGCCAGACTTCGGTTAGCGGGGATCCGGAACTTGACGGGACCAGCGACGAGGACATGATTGTCTGGCGGGATACCGATCTCAAGCCAACGGGCCACGACGAACTCAAGCGTGATTTGGATGACCACGCAAGGTGCGGTGCAGACACCCTCATGTACAACAGGGACGAAAACAATATCGTATATCGCTCCATCGACGAAAGCGCCCAAGAGACGACTGCCTGGGAGTTCAGCCCAAAGTTTCTGTTTGGACGTCAGATGGACTCGACTACTGGTGGCAACGGTGCTGGTGTCAACTTGGCCAACTCGATTGGATCAACGGCCGGCTGTCCAAACACGAGGAGGGTTGCTCTGGTCGGTATCGCTACCGACTGCACTTATACCGCCGACCTAGGGTCTGAGCAGGCCGTCACGGATAATGTTATTCAGCTCGTGAACTCTGCCTCGCAACTTTACGAGAGCACCTTCAACATAACCTTGGCCATTCAGAACCTAACCATCAGCCCGGCTGCATGCCCCAATTCGCCTCCGCCGTCGGCTCCCTGGAACACGCCATGCAGCGATAGCGTCGGTATCGAGACCCGTCTCAGCTTGTTCTCACAGTGGCGAGGCCAATGGCAAGATACCAACGCCTATTGGACCCTTCTGACCAAGTGCAGCTCTGGTCCTGCCGTCGGCTTGGCCTGGCTAGGCGCCGTCTGTCAGGAGGGATCGTCGACACGGGGCAACGAGACGAGCGCATCCGCAAACGTCGTCGCCCGCACATCGACTGAGTGGCTGGTATTTGCCCATGAGACGGGCCACACGTTTGGAGCAGTCCATGACTGTGACAGTCAATCGTGCTCAGACGGCACCGCCACAAGACAGCTGTGTTGCCCCTTGACAGCCGGCACATGCGATGCCAGGGCGCGATTCGTCATGAACCCGTCGACCGGCAACGGCATCACCCAGTTTTCACCTTGCAGCATAGGCAACATCTGCAGCTTCCTCGGCCGCAGCTCCAGTCGTGTATCTTGCCTGAGCACCAACAGAGGTGTCACTACTTTCACCGGCAGTCAGTGCGGTAACGGTATCGTTGAGCATGGCGAAGAGTGCGACTGCGGCGGAGAGGAAGGCTGCAGAGGCAATTCCTGCTGCGACCCCAAGACTTGCAAGTACACGGCCAACAGCCAATGCGACCCGACCAACGAGGAGTGCTGCACCGGGCAATGCCGCTTCATGAGCCAGGGTAGCGTGTGCCGCGCCAGCACCGGGCCCTGCGACCCACAGGAGGTGTGCCCGGGCACCTCGGCGAGCTGCCCGGCCGACCAGAGCAGTCCAGACGGTGAGAGTTGCGGCAATCCAAGCGACGGACTGACGTGCGCTTCGGGCCGGTGCACGTCGCGGACCCAGCAGTGCAGGACCTACGTGGGCGGGAGCGACTCGGCCAGCAACGACACGAGCACAAACTCGTGCTCCGACACGGGCTGCATCATGTCGTGCTCGTCCCCCCGATTCGGCGATCTCCAGTGTTACAGCATGGTGCAGTACTTCCTCGACGGCACCCCCTGCGAAGGCGGCGGCAAATGCTCCAATGGCAACTGCGAAGGCGTCTCGCTCGGCCGGCAGATCACCGACTGGATCAATAACAACAAGGAGATCTTCATCCCCGTCGTGTCGGTTGTCGGCTCCATCATCCTCATCTGCATCATTTGCTGCTTTTGGAGCTGCTTCAGGGGCCGCCGCCGTTCCCGTCGCGTGGTGCCCAAGCCAGCGTCGCCCTATGGTTGGAGTGCTCAGTACTTTGGCGCCCCGCCCCCTGCTGCTGCTGCTGTACCCGGTAGCAGCGGTGCGGCACCCCCCATGCGGCCCGGCCAGGCTTATGCTCCGCTGCCGCCGCAGGATGCCCGGTTCGAGCCCATGAGGACGAGGAGTTTCCGATATGCGTAAATACTTCCTGCGTACCTATCTGCCTACCTAGCTGGGGACCGTTCCGGGCCAGGTAGATCGTATAGAGGGGTGGTCTTTTGGTTTTACACAATCTCTTACTCGCATGGGCGGCGTTCAGGTTACTCTCGAGGATCTTGAGGTGTTTGCGGGCACTGGTTATTTTGTTTTGTGCCCTCCAGTGTAGCTGGCTCCCTGGCTGATTGGGAGATTGTACTTGCAATGAGGAAATGACCGACCGCTGAGATTTTGATGAATGGGATGCGATTTGCCTGTGCTCTTTTTGTTCGCAGCGTTACGTCTGCATAGTGCTCATGTCGAGGTTGGTTACAGGCGGGATACACTCATGCAACGAGTCGTGTGGAACTGGCTGGGCCCAGCAAGATGGGCATGCTGGCTCAAGGTATCATCCGTCTGCCAAGTATCGCATGGAATAAAAGGGACGAATTGCTTCGATAATGCCGCATCTGGCCTTCGCTAGCAGTTGCTAGTTGACCCGCTGAGTCCCTAAGTCAAAGTTGGTGTGAAGTAATGCTCGCGATTCGGTCTGTCGCCGTTCCTGAACATATTTGATTTCCCCCTTCCGTCTCACAGCACTCCTCATATCATGTTGCACCGGGATGCGTCGCTCTTCCAGATCCCGATGTCCGTCTCGACCGTGCTTGCTTCACTGCTCTAAACCGTGCCCGCATCCTCTCTCTGAGTCTCACAATTCCCCTCGCCCTCGCCCTATATCTCATCTCCGCGCTTGCCCTAGCTTCCCTCTCCTCTGCACTCTCCGCTCCATTCATCCTCCCCGCCTCCCTATCCGAGTTACTACCCGCGTTACTGTCCGACCCGTTCTTCCCCTCGTCTTCCTTGTCATCCTCTCCCGCACCCCCCGCACCCCCCGCACCGCCCCCTTCACCTCCACCAGAACTCTAATCGGAGCCACTCCCGGCTCGCCTTCGGCCCCGCAGCCCGCACAACTGCCTGGCAAGGAACCGGAAGAAAAAGCCCAGAGGCCCGGGAAAACGGTGAGCAGCGGACCAGAGCAGAGCGCAAAACGGAGTCCTGAGCGAGAGAAAAGTGTACGTGCAGAACGCGGCGCCAATGTACAGCCAGAAGATGACCCACGTGGCGACAAGCCAGACGAGGAAGAGGAGCGGGGCGAGCAGCGAGAAGCAAAAGGTGAATCCCAAGAGAAAGATGACCCAGCGGAATAACTGGTAAAAAGCGTTGGCGGCGTAAAGGAGGGGATGGTCCCGCGTCTGGAGAAGGAGGCCGTTTTCTAGCTGTGTGCCGACACGCTGGTCCGCTAGCTCGACGTTGGACAACGCTGGTGGGCTGGGCTGGGCTTGGACGCTGAACGGCCAGCCTACTGGACCGCCGTTGGCATCCGTCGCTGCCATCTTTTTCTTTTTTCTTTTTTCTTTTTTTTTCTTTCTTTCTTTCTTTCTTTTTTTGGAAGAGAGGGGCCTAGCTAGTTGGTGCTGGATCGGTGGCTGTCACCGCCTCTCCTTCTGTCGGCTTGGTGTTGGCGGGTATTGCTGGCGCTGGAAAGGCCAGGCTGTGGGCCGGTGTGCTTCTGCTCCTCGTCCTCGAATCCGCAGAGCAGCTTGGTAAAATGGAGGCGGGCACCTGGGATGCTCTTTGGGAATCGGATGTTCTGTTGGTATGATGACTGCTGATGGGCTACATAAGGGAGGAGGGGTTTAGGCAAGACTTACGTCTTCGTTGGCTAGGGCATACATCCTAAGAAGCTCTGGGTTGTCGAGAAAAGCGAGAGCCTTTTGACGGGCCTCGGCTCTGGCAAAGTCCTCCTTCTCGAAGCTGCCGAAATGTTCCATGTTAGCCGTAGCCCTAGCAGGGAAGGAGCAGGCTCATGTTTTGTTGGGAGGCGGGAAAGAGACATCCACTTACCGACCACTGCCCAGGCGCAACCTGGAGCCGGGACCCAAATCTCTATCACTGAAGGCCTCCTCGTCCGAGCCATCGCTTGATTGGTACGGGTCTTTGCCGCGGGCTTGTCGGTCCCTCATCTGTGGAGTAAACCTGTCGGTCATGATGGAAGGGGATGCTGCTGAGTTTGAAATCGGGAAAGACTGATGGTGCTGTTGCCGGCCCGGTGTTGTGAAATGGCCGGAGCCGAATGATGAACCCGAAGGTCCGCCCGAAGGCCCAGGCATGGACATCGCGCACCCGGTAGTGGAGGTATTGCAGCGGCAACAGTCTCTTGAGTATGGCGCTACGTGTTGCAAGAACGGAAGGCGGGAGGGACTCCGGATTTGCGAAAGACTCCAACCCGCAGGGTTAAGAACTTAACATTGACGAGATAAACTGAGACTAATATCTCCCAAAGAGAAAGCCTATGAGCTGAAACGGCAAGTTTGAGTGTTCGCTAACGATTCCCTAGAGCCCTTCTTAGACGGCCTTGTAGTGAGGCATAAAATTCCGCACCGCAAATTCTGCGTCGCTAAAATTCCAGGAACCTATATGTTGATAGTTTGGAGGTTGTTGAGGAGTTGGCTCAAGCGATCCCCTGAATTCGTGACTGCCTTGCCAAATTGAAGCCCAAAGCAGGATATGGTGGGGTCAATGGCTGACCTGACGTTGCGAGTTAAGTGATGTTCAAACTTCACACTTGAGGAGTAAGGCAACTTAGGTAGGTATAAATTGTCGAGCGTTGCTCATTCCATGCTCCTTAGAATGAGGGCCCAACAGATAGATGTCAGACGTCTCATGTTGCACAAGCCGTCTTTTGAAATAACCTTGAATCCCTATTGTCAGTTGAGAACTCCCGAGTCACAATTTGATGCCCATGGCCGAGACATTCCGCAAAGACAATGCGCAAGCCTTCTCATCCCTTGCTGCAGTGCTTGCTTCGCACAAAACCAGAGAGACAATCTTTTTAAACCAATGGATGCGTTCTCAGATCCTTATCTTCAACTCACACCATCTCAGACGAAAAGCGTCAATTGTTGTCCAACTACCTGCTTAATGTATGTACATACATACTCGTATCTTCAAGATTCAAGTTGGCAGCACGCAGGCCAAAGTATAAAGGTCACTAGTAGCTTTTAGATACCAAGTTTCCCGAGGGTCTAGTGTCTCGTCGCAAGGTAGCCCAGACCCTTCATGTCAGTAATAAGCCATGTCTCCGTACCTGTGGTTCAAGACCATGTCCAAGCACAATGCGTACACGTACAGAGAACCAACCCCAAATGATCCAACACCCCACTCCTTGCTTCCTGGACAGAAAAAAAGACAAGGACAAGACTACAGGTGGTTCTGATCCCATGTTGATACCACCATGTCATCGTCCAACGCAGTCCGCCACATCCAAATGTCCTCTTGCGGAGCCTCTCAATCCTTCCTTGCTTTCAAAACGATGCAGGCCTCTGTCGATGTGGGCGAGCCTACTTAGCATCCTCGGCGCTTCGAGGTTCAAACCATCCTCCCTTTTCCCACCGGCCGCGTACATACAGCGCCTCGTTTCTAGCGCCATCGTCGGTAATGCCCCGCAGCAGCATCTCCAGGCGCTGGAAATTGATGGGCTTGAGGATCCAGCCGTCAAAGCCCGCGTCGACGTACATGTCCTTGTCTTTCTCCACAAGCGAAGCTGACACGGCGAAGATGGGGATGCGGTTATGTTTATGATTAGACTGGACTTGAGATAATCCCGGCGGGCCACCGGACTGCTCAAATGACCTGATGACCTTCGTGCTGGTAAGGCCATCCATGATGGGCATCTGCGTCGTTACCGTTTCGTTAGCACCCGTAGCATAGACTGACTAGATGGTCCAGCTTACCTGCATATCCATCAAGATGACATCAGAATCCTGTGGATTCTCCTTGTACATGGTTGCGCACTCGTCGCCGTTCAAGGCATGCGACACTTTATGCCCAGCTTTTTCCAGCCTTTTGCGCAATAGCTTCATGTTGATTGGGTCGTCTTCTGCAATAAGCACCTGCAGTTTGACCGGCTCTGTTTCGTGACCGTCAGGTGCGGACGCTGCCTGCTCCTTCATGGCAGGCTTGTCTTCCGCTTCAACCCCTGAGATGTGCTGCGGAATTTGTGGGTCATCTTTGTTGTCAGGTATCGGTATCGGCTTGACGAACTCCTTGCGATGGCCTAAGTCTCTGATCTCGGGGGTTTCGGGAGGCGGCTTATTGGGTTCGACTCCGATGCTGTCCAGCGGCCCATGACTCCCGGCACCCGGCTCACTTTCCGAGGGCTGCGAGCAGTGACTTTGCTGGGCGTCACCTGCCGGTCTAAGCCCCGAGATAGTAAGAGAACCCGGAATAACGTCGACTGAAATTCCACCATTGCCCACGGCGGCCTTGGCACCATCCTGATCCGTAGCCACTAGGATATCACCAAGACTCCGGCGCAACGACGGTGACCCAGTGCCGGCAGAACATGAAGCGCTGTCAACCAGCGTAACCTCTCCTTCATGGGGCTCTGGTGATATTGCCGCCACTTGTGCTGCTACTCCTGGACTCGTGGTCCGCTCGTGAGAAAGGCCTTCTTTGTCCGCAGTTGTCGGGTCACCGGCCTCCTCGGGGAGGTCAAAGGGCAATTGGATGACGAATCTGGAGCCCTTCCCCTCCTCAGATTTCAGGCGTAGTTGACCGTCCATGTTCCGCAGGATCCTTGCGACCATCGCCAGGCCCAACCCGAGCGTCTTGCCATGGCGCTCTTTGCCTGCCGCTTGCTCGTCGGATGATTGGACCTCCATATCCGGCTCCATACTGACCTGCTCAAGCTCCCTGAACAATGCATCCACCTGAGTATCGCTCATGCCCTTTCCCGTGTCCTGGACCACAATCTCTAGGCGAATCCGACAACCTTGCACCTCAACCACGTATAGCTCGACTTTGACGAAGCCTGCCGAGGTATACGCCACAGCGTTTGCAACCAGGTTTGTAACCACTTGCCTTACCCGGCGTTGGTCCCCAATCACGTGTCGTGGAAACCCTGGATGCTCAACCACTTCATACCCAAGTCCCTTTCGTCTAGCATTGCTCTCAAATGGTTCGGTTGCCTCCCGAATGCACGCGGACAAGTCAAATATGTCACCCTTGACCAATTCTAGGCCTTTCTCGGTCTTGGTGAGGTCTAGCAGGTCGTTGATAACGCAAACGAGGGATTGTGAGGCCGAGTGCGACCTCGCCAGGTTGTCCCTGGTCTCCTGGTCGAGGGTCCCCTCAAGTGCAATCTCCAGGTAATTGATGATGGCATTCAGTGGCGTACGAACCTCGTGTGCCGAATTCTCGAGGAGCAGCCGGGTCAGTCGGCTACTCTTTAGTGCAGCTTGTTTCTGTCTCCAAACCTCGATGAACTTTCCGTAAACCAGGCAAAGCACCGCCGCGCTTTCGACCTGCTCTTCAGACCACTCACGACATTTTCCCACAACCGTCTCGCACCAGGTTTTGAAACTCTTCCTAGGCTCAAGGTACCCTACGGTCCCTTCCTGAATGGTCTTCTCGTAAGGATTCCCACCCCACTTTACCTCCATGACTTGTCCCTTGCGAAAGAACACTATGAAATCCTCGCCGTCGACGCTCAGTGGGACGTAGAGCAAGCCAGCGATAACTGAGAACCCTGGTGGGTAATGCAAGTCCGGAAACTGAGCCGCAACATCCTGGGTAGCGAAGACGGACTTAAACCGGGCAAGCCGCAGATACTCCACGATGGCCAACGCCTCCTGGGATCGCTCGACTTTGCCGAGCACCTTGGCTTCTTCTCCAATCGATAGCATACCAAAATCAGCACGAAAGAGCTTCAACAAATCGTCCGATGAGGCCGCGATGCACCCCGACGGGTTTTTGTCGCCAGGTACCGCGTTGAGAAGCTTGCGGGCGTCTAGCCGGGCCGTATACGACAGGCGCTCAATGTTCCTCGCCACGGTTTCACCGACGAGTCGACACATCTTCCTGACGGGGAAGGATACCCGCATCCCCCTAGGACCGTACGAGTGACATGCTGCAAGGCCCCAGAGGTCGCCAAAGGCATTGATGGAGATAGACATGGAGGATCGGACAGCCATGTTCTCGAGATATTTCAAATGAATCGGGCTGATGGCGCGGAGATAGGCGTGTGTCATGTCCAGCGGTGGCTCCAGTTCCTCCTTGGTCCGGCACACAATCCTGGCCGTCTCAAGATCCCGGTCATACAGGACGCGTACCTTGTTAAGCTTGTACAGGTTGCGAGCTTGCTGCGGGATATCAGAGGCCGGAAAATTCAATCCCATGTAAAGATCCCTTGTCTGCGCAGGGTCGACGAGCTCAGTGACCACCTTGCCATTGTAAGAAGAATCAAACTGGTATATCATGACCCGGTGAAAGCCCGTCAGCTCCTTGATGATGCCAACAGCGATCTTGAGCAGCTTCTCCAGGCTCGGTGCATTTGCAAGCTGCTCTTGGACCTGGGACATGATGTCAAAGACTTGAACGGCACCCGCCTCGCTTGTTTTCTTGCGGGCATTGCGCAGAACCCTGAGAGGCCTGCTCAGAACCTCTGTGCTTTCGATAAGTTCCTCGGTGGTTGGGTTCAGGCGGAGGGTATCCTCGGGATTATCAGGCAGCTCTTCATCAGGCGGCCGAAGGGGATATTCGCGGTCGTCGGCCAGCTCAAATTCGCACAAGATAAGGTCCGGCCGCGTTGGGTGGATGTGGAGGGCGCACCAAAGCTTGACAGACCGCGGCTTCCCTGGGGGTCGGATGGACAGGGCAAAAACGTCGGGCCCATTGGTGGATGGATCCGCATCTTCATCCTTGATGAAGTCAATATGGTCCAACAAAATTTCGGCCTGCTCCTCGGTCAAGATGCCTAGGAAGTCGTCGAGGCGGAATAGGTCCTGCGGGCTGTATCCTATTATCCTCTTGGAATTCTCACTAACGTACCGGACCAAAAACCGGCCATCCGGTTCCTGTTGTATGACCACCATCAAGCCGAATGCCTGGATGGCGCCAGGGGCGTGTATCGGCTCGTCTTCACACCTCTGCATGGTCCCATCTCGGCCCGTGATGACGGCATGGCCTTCATCAGTTATGACATGCTTGAAGCGGAAGGTGTAATGGTCCTGTGATGGGGAGCCGGAAGCTGCATCGCGCTCCGGTGAATCCTCGTTGGCAGCCTGTGGGTCCTGGGTCTCGTCTTTGTCTTCGGATTCCGAGCCGTCGCCCGACTGCTCTCCGATGATGGCAGCTACCCGCTGTACGGTTCCATGCCTCTCCGCATCAGCCTGGATGCTAGACCGGGAGCCAGATGCGGCGCTCGTGCGGCCGGGTTGAGCTGTCGTTGCTGGCCATGACGTGTTGGGGGCCAGAGCCGCAACGTTTCCAGCTTTCATCCCCGACATGGACCTGGTCTCCAATGCAGCCTTGAAGCCCTCAGACAGGGTCACTTTCCGGAGCGAGTGACCGTCTTCGCTAGAAGTCCTGCCCAGGTTGCCGGCAATGACGGAGCGGATGGGGAAAACTCGGTCTTCCGGGAGGGGCTTCGCCTCATGGCCTAGCTGGCCATCCGAGGATGCGCTGCAGGAAGCAAGCCCTGCGGTTGAAGCGGCTGAGCCGGCAGCCGACGCAGGTGTCCAGTTGGACGTCTTGGATTCTGCCGCCTCCGAGGGTGACGGCAGGTTCTCGAGTCCTGATGCGCTGGTCTCGGTCTCAGGCGTTGGCTGCCCATCCTGAGGCTCGTGGGATGGTTCATTCCCATTCCCGGCAGGCACCGCATGGCGGCTGGAATCCATTACTGTCGCTTCGCGTCCCAAAATCTAAATTTCGGGATCTCGGGATCCCGCCTGCGACTGACTTCTGTGCGGCCAGTATACACCAGAGGCGGTAGTAATGTTGTTCGATGCAATGGCTTGGGGGGTGTCGTCTGTTCAGGGACTATCGCAACCAAAAATGTGTTGGCACCGTCAGTGACTGGTGAGGAAGAGAGTTCAAATCGGCGAGAACCGACCGTTCTTCTTTCGGAGGCCTCGTGCTTTCCAATCGGACGAATACATACCGTACCATTTCATTGCCCCGGGAGCCGGTTTGATATACGGTACACTACAATAGCGGAGGCGAGGGGCAACACAATTGCGGGCGTTCCAAAGCCGTTTATAACGGTGCGGGGTTGTATGATTGTATCGACAGACGTCAACGTAAACTTGCAGGGTACGTGGGGATTTGCAGGGAAAATTCCCCACGGACCCTGTCAAAAATCAGAAAAGCGGCGATCACAAGCTGGAATGCTCCATGTTTTTAGCTTGAAGATGCTTGCAGAGTTCTGGGTCATCACCCCATATCTGGGCCCGAGTCGCAACTGACAGGTTGATTGGTAAGATCCAACACCAGTGAAATATATTGCTGAAAGAGAAGACGTGATGGGAAGTGAGACCATTGGTTGAAATCTCTGTCCAGCTTGTACGCTCTTCATTGTTACAGTACATGTATTGTACAGATGCCGTACAGCCGACTATCTTCGACGATAAGGTTATTCCCCTGGGTCGCTCAACCCAAGGCGGGTCAAGCATAGGGTTACACGCTCCCACGCCTAGCTTCGTTACAGCCTTGTTGTCTTCAGTCAGTACATAGGACTCCAGACTCAGTCACGCGCAGTTTTAGCTTCTTTGGGGATACGGTCTACCGGTAGCTTCCCCAGTATCATCGTTTATGGGCCTGCCTCAACGCCTAGAGGCACTAGATGGGCAGTTGGTGGAGAAGCTGGACAGCTGTCTTACCCGAAACCAAACAGACTGGGGGCGAATAAACCCCAAAACATAGGTAGTTCGTGACAAAGACAGCTATGTACTGAACTCGCTCGCAGTCCCCTCACCATCGCGACGCAGACAGCAAGCCGGGGCTGCTCAACTTTCCACCGCCAACGCCTTCATCCCAACCAACTTTGCCCCTTTCCCCGTCCCCTCCGTCGTAACGACCCAATACTCGGCCCTGAACCCTCCCCTAGCGACTCTGTACACCCTCACATCGTTCCCCTGCCCAGCTTCCCTAACCGCGTCAATAACCTCCCCATACATCCCGCTCGAATCCCAGTCGACGGGGTCCAGAATCTCAACCTCTGCGTTCTTCGGATCCCAGTGCCCAATCAGCTCGGCAAACTCCTCTGTACCCGAAAAGGTCAGCCATCGAACACAATACGCTCCTTTCCTAAATCAGACAACCAGACAAAAGGGGGAAAATGAAAACCCACCTTCATCAGGCAACCCCTTCCCGTCTTCATCCCACGCCAGCGCGACCGCCTCAAATGGTTCATCTGCATCGCTCATATAGAACGCGTCGCCGTGCTTAGCCAGCCTGTCCAGCAGCGCCGGCACCTCAACGCCCTCCTGTCTTGTCCTGAACACCGGCTTTCCCTGGGCCTGGGCGGAGGCTGGGTTGACTCCCTCTGAAGGGTCCTGGTTTGCCTTGTTCAGGAAGGCCATGTAGTCCTCGTCCGAAGCCATCGCGGTATTCCTATTTCTAGGATCAATATTATTAATCGTGTTGTTCTTGTTGCTGTTGTCGTCCTTGGCAGCGGTGGTGGTGACAAGTGTACGGGCGGACGAAAGGTAACCAATACAAGATCGTATGGTCGAAGCTATGCTTGCGTCCGTTGGCCTGGTCGGTCGGTAGGCTAGCAGCAATGTCGGTCTTGATCGCGACTGTTGGAGAAACGGTAAAGAGTGCAGGTTCGCTGAACAGCGACCGACAGGTTTTGACGAGGGCTTTCTGCGGGTAAAGGTACTCTGGAATAGAGAAAACGTATGGGGAATTGCGTCTGCAGTTGGCTTGGGAGGACGAAACGGAAAGATGGACGGACGGAGACCTCTGCGAAGAGTCACAACCATGTTGGAAGGTTGGGTTTAGTGCGATGATGTAACCGCACCGCACAAAAGATTCGTTGGACAGCCTTCCAAGCTCTCAATTGGGCAGCTCCACTCTGGAACTGAGTGAGGCTCCACCACTTGTACAGGACAAGACCTCAATGGTCTAGATGCGGCATTCGTATTCACACAACGGCAATAAGTCAATGGCAATTGGTTCATTTTCCCATTCCTCTTATGCAGCCTCTGCTAGACTGAAAATGCTAGGTAGAATTCCGTACCCCGACCCAAAGAGCAACGAGAAACCCCGTGACACCAATGCCATTGCAAACTGAAAAAAACAAAGAAGAGAAACCGGCTCAGTCTTATGAGCTGACAGCCAGATCCTTCTTGAGAGTACCCTGGTACTGCTTCTTCTCTGCCGGGGTTTGGAAAGCACCGTGACCAAACTCGGAAGAGGTATCGATCCATTTGAGCTCCACCTTCTCCAGGGCCTTCCTTGAGGTGTGCGTGAACATGGACTTGCGAAGAGTCATGACCCGCTTCTTGACGCCGGGCACGGAGCCCTTGACCATGACAAAGTCGTTGTTGACCTCGCCATAGCGCACGAAGCCACCCATGCTGTATTCAGTTAGCGAATCAGACCCGTGATACTTTCGCCACAACCAGAACTTACGGAGTAATCTTCTTTTTGGTGACATCGACCTCAGTGGCAGCATTGTCGTCCGCCTCGCCGCTACCAATGCGGTAAATCTTGTGATTGACCGAGGTACGGTGGTGGTAACCCATCTGACCAGCACGGGCAACAGTCCACTGGACGTGGGACGGATGCCAAGCACCGATACAAGCAACCTTGCGAAGACCCTTGTGAGTCTTGCGCGGCAGCTTCTTGGTGCCCCATCTGGCAGTGACGCCGACGAAGCCGTGACCCTTGGTGACGGCGATGACATCGATCATCTCATCCTTCTCGAAGATGGAATCGATAGAGACGGGCTTCTCGAAGAGACCGTGGCCGAATTCGACCTTGTCAGCGACCGAACCGCCGTTGATCTGAATCTCCATGAGGTGCGCCTTCTTCTGCTTGAGGGGCGTCTTGCGGATCTGGGTGTGAGCCAGGACGCGGACGACGGTGCAGTACTTCTTGATGCGCTCGAGCTCGCGGGTGATGGATGCGCCGTTATTCTCAGAGTGCTTCTTGGCGTATTTGGTGAAGGCCTTCTTCTTGCTCTTGTACCAGTTCTTGTAGAAGCGGCGCTTAACCTCGTCGCTCAGGTGCTCAGCCCAGACAGTGGTCAGGGAGCGCAGGCCACGAGGGGTCTCAATGTACTATGTGGTGTTAGAGAATCGGGCCCCTCTTCATCCTCGGCTGGACAGCAATGACTTACACCAACCAGACCCACAACTATCATCTGCGAAAGATGTTAGCCATTGACACAAAATGAGCCAAGCGGGCTGAGTTGCGCGTACAGGTGGGGTATCAATGATTGTCACAGCCTCCACAACCTCCTTCTTGTGCGCCTTCGCTCCGGGGCGGTCGAGGTCGCGGACGATCGTGGTCATGCCGGCCTTGTAGCCCATCGCGGCGGTCAGGTGGACGGGTTTCTTGGGGTCGTCCTTGGGAAAGCTGCGGTGAACATGCAATCAGCTCTCTGTCCATCCACATTCAAAAAGTAGATATCACAACGCTGTCACTTACGACTTAACCTTGCCCCTGTGACGAGCAGCGCGCTTCCGCGGCAGGTACGCCAGAGAGCCATGGCGAGGGGCCTCGTACTCTGTGATCGGTCAGCATTGGTCGCTCCGTGGTTCAATATCGCTCGATCGAAGAATTCCGCCTGGAATGGCGCATGCCACAGAAGACTAGCCGGCCTGATCTTGCAAGATGAACCAAATCAGTGGGCAGAATGTAGAGAAGCACTCACTTCGGTGAGACATGATTGCAGACGTCCGCGAAATTGGCGTGGTGTTGTGATGCAAAGATTCCCCCAGATCCGGTCGCGAAGGGAAAAAAAGCTTCTGGGAATTTGGTGAATTTTTGTGTGAGATAGAGCTAGCGCTCGGGCCAATCGCAGCGGAGCCCTAACGGCTTGAGAGTTGAGACTGAGAGTTGGGGCCTGATTCTGCTCAGGCTGCGCAGGTAAACTGCCAGCAGGTGAAGTCTCGGCGCCCCAGTTTTCCATCAATGCGACCAATCAGCCGTGAGTACAAAATGTCCTTAACAGTGGGTCTTCGACGACCCATGTTTGCAATGTACCATTGTGGATACCATCCTTGGATCTCCCGAAAATGGCAAATGGTGGGCCCATTTTCGCGGTTTCCCCCCCTCGTCTCAGCAGCCTGTAGGATGCTGGTTTCTGAGCATCCTGCAGGCTGCGCAGGTGATTTTCGCATCAACAATTCAGGTTGCTAAAGTGATGTACCCTTGCCCGCCAAGTCGCCCTAATCGGTACATTCGCTCTCTGACTCACCCATTAGAAGTCACTCACCTGCTGGCCCTTCACCTGCGCAGCCTGAGCAGAATCAGGCCCTTGAGGCTGGTCCCGCCAAGAGTCAATGTGAATTGTGGACACTGAAAGATACGGTAACTAGGCAATGTGTGGGTCAGTCCCGTGACTTTTGTGCCTAAATGCTAGTACGGATGCGAGGATCAAGTTGACAGTGACACAGATTGACCAACAAGTTGACCTTTGACACCTTTCGCAACCGACAAAATCAGATTTCTAAAGTTACGCCCTCGTGTTACAGCCCATTGCCAGTTTAGCAAGAAGTAATGGTGTATAGTGCGATACAGTCTTCCCAACGGGCCCTCGTTGCAATGCCTGACTCAATTGTCTACTTGAGAACGACCTATTCAGACAAGGGAAAGGTCGTTGAAGGCCACCCAAATGGACGTGTATAACGACATGTGTATAACGAGCTTCTATACGAAAGAATCCACCTTTGTAACGAGCTATGTGCGTAACCTTTAAGACAATCGCAACGTGAAATCCCTGATGATAGCCGCCCACCGCCGCTTCAGACACATAGGGGTTTTCGGAGCACTCCAAATGATCGATGCCCTGAACCTGGCGTCGCACCCCTCAAACATGTACATTACCGCCCTGGCATCCAGGCGGGATGCGACAATCCTTTGCTACCAACTCTCCTCAAATCCCACACACCTCACTTACTGAAGAAGTCAACGAAGAGCGATAGGGAAAGAAAAACAAAAAGCGCACATCAACCAGCCAACCGTGACGGCCAGATCTAGAGACAAGATTTGCGTGAGTAAACGTTGCCGCAAGAACCAAAGGGACTGTGGTTGCCGTTGTGGCTGCCTAGAAAGTTAAAATGGTTCACACCTTTAATCCTACCCCCAGGACCTAATTCCCGTCCACCTTCTGCCCCATGATGCCGTTGATACCGGCACTGGTGGGTGTTGCGTTTTTCATCTCCGAGGCAGAGCTTGGGCCTGATGCGGGACCAGAGACAACACCTGCCTTCTTGTCTTCCTCGCCGCTGTCATCGTAGTCTTCGTCAAACTCCACCTTCCGAGCAGCCCGCTCGGGCTCGCCCATTATCGCAGCATGGCCTGCGGAATGATCCATTCTCCTCTCATCGGGCCCGGACTGGTACTCTTTCGGAACAGGGCCGGCCTGAGGACCCGGTCCTTCGTGCATAGAACCTTGAAGAGGTGCCGGACCCTGCTGCATCGGTGGCAAGTGGGTTGGCATTGAGTGCGACGGCGGGTGGTGGGCTGCTTCCGAAGGATGGTAACCGTCACCGCCATGGCGATGTTCGTCGACACGGCGCATCTCCTCGGCTCGACGCTGTTCCTCAAGCCGTCGTGGATCCTCCATGCGTCGGTCGTCAAAGCGGCGGATCTCGGAAGAATTCCGGCGATATGGCTCGAGGCGAGGTGGAGTGGACGGGCGGCGATGGCGGATGTCATCCATGCGGGCCCTCGCCTCCTCTGTGGTGGGTTTTTTTGCATCCCGGTCGTCTTCCCACTCACGCATCCTCTTGGGCCCAACCGACGGCGGACGCCCGTCATGCTCCCGATGTAGCGCGGCATCTGCGTGCATGCCTGGCTGAGGAGGAAGCGGAACGCCTGACTCCGGGCCGCTGGGGCCAGCTTGATCGGGATGGGTTGGATACGGTGGTTGATGCTGCGGATAGGCCGATTTCGGCGATGGCATTCGGTTGTCATGCATGGGGGGTCTTCCATCATTCCTAGGGCTGCTCGTGCGGTACGGCATCAGCGGGTTCGATGCGTTCCCGCTGGGGCCGGGAGCCGAGCCCGGCTGCATTACTGGAGCGGGTGTGTGGCCACCGTAGTTCGGATTCCGAACTCTCGGCGGTGGCTGTGACACTTGCGGAGGCTGCTGAGATTGTTGGGGAGGAGGAGGCGGTGGAGGCGCCGTGTAGTGCGCTTGAGGCGGAGGCGATGGCCCGCGTCTGTGCTGCTCCGGCAGCCTGTTCGCTTCAGGGTATGGTCTCATTCGCTGTTCAGGTTGCGGGCTGGGCTGTCGCTGGCCAGGGGGAGGCTGCCCACGAAAGGGCTCGCGCTCCGTAGCGTAAGGGTTGGGCGGCTGAGGAGGAGGGTTAATGTCGGAGATCCTGCCTCCCCAGCCATTCGGACCGGGGCCCGGCCCGTTGCCATTGAGCATTGCCTGAGGAGGCTGGGACTGCGGCGGGGGACCTGAGCCGGCCCACTGCGGTCCAGGAGGGCCAACTGTACCGGCAGCCTGGTACGCGTGAGGATTAACGTCAGTCGGCATCGGCGCCTGTCCCGGTGGAGCGCCATTTGCTTGTCCGTTTCGCAGCAACTGCAGCCGTGTCTTGATGTGGGGATTTGTAGGATCCAGCTCAGCGGCACGCTGGTAGGCGTCGAGGGCATCCGCGATTTGGTTGTTGCATGACTCATACTAGGGAGGTTCACAGTCAGCAACCTATCTAGCAAAACATGATGCAGGAGCTGCTTTGCACGGACTTACCAAGGTGCCAAGGTCATACCAAACCTCGGAAATGTAGGGGTTGAGGCGGATGGCGCGTGAGTACGCATCGAGCGCGTCACGGTACTGATTGATCTGGTAGTAAAGCACACCTATCGAGCACCAAAACGTTGGATTCCGGCCATCACGGTACACAGCTTGTTGATAGGCTTCGTAGGCCTTGGGGTACTTCTGCATTTGCATGTAGCAGCGCCCCAAGAGGTACCAGCTTTGCGCATCCGAGTTATCTGCCACGTGTTAGAGGCTTGCGCTGTCCAAGCAAGACAAGAGCTTTGTGCTCTCAGACTAATCACCACCTACCAGCTGCCACAGACTTCTCCAGATAGTCGATCGCTCTTTCTTGGCTGGCATAGTTCTGGCTCTGAGTGTGATGCAGCCAGCCAAGCTGCTGGAGGACCTTGGCATGGTTGGGGTCACGCTCAAGCACACGGTGGTACGCCGCCTTTGCACTCTCGAACTGCAAAGAGGGTAAGTATCACCACATCAACACCATATCAGAACTGCACATACATCCTTTTGCTGCTCATGAACATGGCCTATTTGGAACCAGATGTCCTCCTCGGTGAGTGGCGTGGGAGGTGAGTTCACAATGTACTTGAAGCACTAAAGGAGGGGTCAGATTCTTGCCCTTGTAGTAGCGATTGTTGGCGACGCACCTCAAGAGACCGGCTGTATTTCTGCTGCTGCTTGTAGATAATGCCCAACCGGAAGTATATCTCATGGGCTTTGTCGAAGTCTGGCTGCATTTGCATGACCTGGGCGAAGGCATCTTCGGCGAGCTCTAACGACCCATAGCGGTCATATAGGATTCCAATGCCGTACCAAAGTCGGGGTTCCTATCTTGCTCAGCATCCTAGAAAACAAAGTTGAGAGAGAGGGTGACCAACTTTTGGATCCGGGAGGGTGGACAAGGCCGATTGATAGGCATTATAGGCTTGCTGCAGGTCGTCCATCATAAGATAACAATGTCCTGAGCCGCCCCATCAGCTCAGATGTCCGCAAGAAGGTCACTCGGCATACATACCAAGGCTGCCCCACGCCTCCCCGTTTCTGTCATCCAGCTTCAGAATGGCATTCAGGTATTCTGCCGCCTTAGGGAAGTCCTCGCGGTTTCTCAGAACCAGACTCATGGCGTTTAAAGCCGGAATAGAATTTGGATTGGCTCGGAGAGCATGCTGATATGCAATCATGGCATCGTCGGGACTACCAAAAAGCTCTGACACGGCTCCTACACTGAAGTTAGCGCATCCTGCCGCCGTCACAAACGCCCGTGGGCAATGGCGAGCTAGGATGGAGGGCATTACCTAGATTGATCCAGACCTCCTCGTTCAATTGCATGAGGGTCTGCCGCGCCGCTGCAAGGGACTGCGGGGGAGGAGGCGGTCGCGCGGGGCCTGGTGGTCCATGATGCATCTGCCTCTGCATCGGGGGGGAAGGGTGATGGTTCGCCATGATTGCCGCCATGATTAGTGCAGGACAGTGATCATCCCAGAATCAAGGCGACAGGATGGAATTGCGAGCGTTGAGGGGGGGCGCGACCGCTAAGTAAATTCGCGAACGTGCACCGCAAAATGGAGAGAAAAGTGCGCGGGTTGACTGGTTTTGCAGGAGGCCAGGAAGTTGACACGGATCGAATGGAAAGGTGTGACCGCCTCCACCACTACCAACCTCACCAAAGTCGGTCAGGCAGCACAAGCTGGAACAAAAGTTGGATGACAGGCAAACCGGAAATAGAACGGTAGATAAGGTAGGACGAAAAGACGGATGTCAGGGGAGTTTTGCTTGGGCTCTTCGAAATACTCGACAAGCGTCGTCTGCTTGGGTGAACAGCAACGCGAGCTGAGAACGGGGAAAGGGGGGAGGGAAGCAAGACATCCGGGAGAGAAATCTTGGGATGGGGATGAGTCGGCTAGGTCCATTTAGACCAGCCGTGAGAGGCACGTAGAACACCTTACCCACATCAATTACAGGGATCTGTGCAATTGTCTTTCCCGTTCATGTCTCGCAGTGCAGCCAAGAAGCGAGACAGGTTGCGGGGAAGTCTCGAGACTTCCAGTGGATCCCAACCACAGACCACAAGCACAAAAATGGCACAGCCCTATGCCAAATGCGGTGCCCCATCGTAACTGCACGACAACCTGGCCGTCACATCCTCATTGTGGCCCGATAAGTTGCGAAACAAAATCTTCTAACTTGCTTGAGTTTCGACAGATCTCTATGCCTACTCTTTCACTGAAACATTATTTATATCATCGAGATCGCAAGGACTCTAGGGAATTCGTTGGTAGCTTAGGGTGAGTAACCGAATGCAAGTGGCAGATGTTCCAACTAGTCCAGGTCCCAGTGTCAAACAAATCTCAGCCCGGAGATGGGTGGCTGACATGCCTAGGCAGGGCCCAGCTTGTACTAGGTACTATTCGAGACTTCTCCGGCCCAAGAACCAGCCTCTTTCCAGGGAGGGTGTTTCCGGAGGAAGCGGCTACGCCATTTCGTTTTAGTGTGTGGGTCCAGACGTCTGTGGCAACGACTGGTTCCACCGCCGGTCCCCGTCCCATGCGTCCCGCCCAGGGCCAAGACAAGAGGACCCACTAGTGCTCTCCCGTGCCTCCACAGCCAGCCGTCACACCCAACACTGCAACGGAACCCCATAAGTGGAGTGCGGAAATTGGGGGTGTGTGCTCAATATCTGCACTAGCGCGGTACTCTCGTCGTCGGAAAATTGCTGCGCCCGAAACCAGATCCATTCCGTTGTACGGGGGTAACGGCGGTGGGTGGACTGGGCTCAAAGGGCCGGTAACCCTCAATGACACATTGCACACCCTCCCATCTACACCTACGGAGTACGCATGTATGTAATTGACCAAATCGGCACAGATCTAGGCAGCCCAAACACAAAGTCCAGCGAGCGTGGCAGGTGCTGGTTCCAAGTGTTGCGGTCCTCCAGCGTCTTGCTTCTGGGGTGGAAGGCGATCGCAAGCCTAAACGTATTTTGCGGATACACCCATCGGCTGGTCTCAAACAAGAGCGACTGTTCAGTTCAAAATCGAATCGCGCTATTTCGCAAGGTATCATATTACCTATATTTTACTGGTGTGGGATAAGAAACCGGAGCACAGATTTTTAGCAACGAATATACGTCTTGCTGGCTTTAGCAGAGACAAATCTGGGATCGAGCTGGGCTGTCGGGCTCGTAGGTATGAGGTAGCATGATCTCTGGCCTCTGGCGGGCTTGAATTGAAGACCGGATTGGCATCGGATCGATCCCGAGCTTCTTCGCAGGCGAAAGGTCACGAATCAGGCTGGCTTGCCTCGCATATTGGAGAATCGTCAAGTCCAGATAATCGCTTGCGGCGCGAACCCGAAACCAACGTTACACCAATGTCCCTCTCGACTTTATGGTAAAATCCTAATTTCGTGCTGCCCACTCTGGTGCAGCCTCTCACCGGTGTCCAGCTCTCAGCGAGGAAGGCTAGCAGAAAGCTATGCCGGTCAGGTATCCGAAATCCGCACGTGGCAGGTAGGTCAGCGGCAGTGATGGATTTTAACGAGTACGTTGAGCCTCCGCTTCCGGTCTCCAACGCCGGCGTAGGGCTCATCCTGCGCAGTAGTATATAACTCAAGCTCGGATTCTCTTCTGGCTCACGAAGCCAGATGCAGGCCTTCGCAAAGCGTCCGCACAAAGTAACAGTCGGAATAGCATCGTTAGGGGCAGTAGCGATGCCGACGGGAGTACTTCATACCTCCTCTTTCGCCTCAAAGGCGGTCGGGATTTGCTATGCGAACTGCGCGGTTTGTCAGCCATCCAATGTCTTCAGACGCAAAGCGGGCATGTACAATCAGGTACACCTATCGACCTGCTACCAGTGCATTGCCAGTTGCTTTCCCCGCTCTTTTGTGTGCGCATGTGCATAGAGGGAGTGGTACGTACTGTACACTGTTCTGTACGAGGTGCTTGTGAACCGATTACTGCCGTGCTGCCCTGCTCGACCAGCTTGTGTCACGGGTCAAATACAGATCTCGGTGCGCTGGAAGGAGGTTTGTCGCCAAGACATCTCAAGACCCGGCATCAATCCCTACCCACATATTAATTCCATATGGGATATCAATCATTTCATATTTGCACTTCGGTTATTCCGCGGCATCCATCGACAGGAGGCAGCATATAATGAGCACAGTATTTCTCCCTTTCACGTCTTGGAAGACGCATCAGTTTATCAAGGACCGGCCTTCATGTTCTCGCTCGGAAAGGTTGGCATGCGAGACATCGACAAGATTTGGACAATCCGAAACCTCATGCTCGGCGCCCAACAAGGAGCCCAACATAAGGGGCATGGTGGTCCTGTTCGCTCTGAAGGCTTAGCGATCTGGACAAGAGGGAAAGGAAAACGACAGAGGCGAAAGCGCTACGATGGGATAACTGTGGCTAACCTGATAGAAAGAGCCCCGAAAACTCCACTACCGTGACCCAGCCAGCCCAGCGGCATCAGGTGTCCTCACCGGTGCTGCTGCTGCTGCAGCTCATGGACCAGGCTCGCATTTGAGATCTGCGAGCCTGTTGATGACAGCCTCAGATATCACACAAGAGCCCGTTCATCACGTCTCATTCGTCCAGCGCATCCTGACAGCCACAAGTTGCGGGGCTGAGCAAACAAGAAAGGGAGGAGGAAGAATAAGAAAAATACAAAGAATATTTTGACTCGGAAACCCGGCTCGGCGAAATGATAGCCACACTCACGCTAACGCTGATAAACGCAGAAAACGGGGCGCATTGGCATTAAAATCCCGAGCAAGCCAGGTGCAAGGCTCAAAGGAAGAATCGAAACCATGCATTTGTTGGGTGCTGACACGACACTAGTTCCACCGGCCGCGCCATGCCAGGGGATCGCCAGAAACCCGTCCGCGGGCGTCATCATTTCGGTAGCCGTTTTCGGTGGACGGACACCCTGCAAGAGCGAGAGGTAAGCGCAGGGGAGCGTGTCAGTCATCGACGCATTACATCTATTCACCTAGAGCTCGTACTATATAGGTATATAATAACATTATCTCTTGTGCTGGCTTCTGCTGCACCAAGTTCGCTTTTTGTTAACGGGCATGTTGGCATCCATTTCTTTGGGCTTGCTTCCAGCTGCAAGGTGTCCGCCTCCTCGCCGTCTCATGCGAGGGGAAGTAGCGTACACCAGACGACGGAGAGAGGGCCCCCATGTGGGGTGGTGGCACGCATGGCGCAACTCGCTTGAGGCAGGACGAAGGGGAAAATGGGGAAAGGTCCCTCTTGGGGCCGTGGCACGTTGGCCTTTGAGCTGATGGGCTTAACGTTATCCAATGCTTACGGAGGGTGTTTGCCTATCCTTGCGTACATTGTATCATAGTGTGATGTCGATTCGCCGGTGGCTCCAATCTTCGGGATAAACTACACTAATAAGGAGGCTAGTCCATGAAAGGAATGTACAGAAGATCCCCTGTTTTACAATGTTTCTGTCTCGTTCACGTGACGATGCAGAGACAAGACTGCGTCGGAGAGAATCTACACAAAAAATGTTAGTGTCCATTCCCTCCCACAGACTTTGGGTCGGTGATGAGGACGGTGCGCATATGTTGTACTGTAGTCTGCTCGGCGGCAGCATTTTCCATCCTTCTTAACATGTATTCTGCACGGGCATTATTAGCAGCCCTCAGACCCAAACGCCATCTGTCAAGACTGTCAATCGAGGTACCGGTAACTATGTATGCTCCCTCTTACCCGCCTGCCTGGATGTGTGCATGCCTGGCCGACGTTGGCTCCGAAAGGCATGGAATATTGAATCTACATCTAGTACTTCGTACCCGACACACCTTTAGATTGTCCGTCTCGCATCATGTTCATATACACTAGGAGACTAGCTGGCTGCTGGCTGCTGGCTGCTGATTGTTTCCGCCTTCGATGTCATCATCGTCGAGGTCTTCGCTTCCAGTTGCTGCTCGGCTTGAGCTTGGCACATCTGTCCACCATCTACGGCACCTTAGGTACCTAGGTAGGTAGTAATCACACTAGCATTCTGTATGCATTGGGCATTGTACTTATGCTAGACTGTTAGTGCCAAGTATCCATATGATAGTGTATGAGAATTTATTCGTAGCAGATTCCCTATCTGAAATATTTCTGGAGGAGTTCGGTCCAGATCTGCAAGGTTTGCGTGACGATATTATCACGCGAAAGCCATGTCAGCCAGAACGGCCGGAAGTCAGAACGCCCAAGGCAGCCGCCCGCGTCCCGTTGGTCTGTTGCCGAGCTCAGCACGTGAATGTCTGTGGCTAGCCGGGCTATTCTATGTAGCATATCCGTCTCGCTCTCACCTTCCCCTGATTCAGTTTGGGATGCCGATAACACGCCGAGAAGGCTTTCATTGATTCACTCCAACCGGCACATCCTGGACCACGCTTTTGCTGGGAACGTAAGGTACTGTAAGATGCTCAATCGTCACACTACCTTGGTTACATGGTGATATAACCTTTGCGATACCTTGCGGTAGGTAACTCCTGAACCAGCGCATGTATCCATACAACCGGTGGGCATTAAGTCAGGTACCGTCGTTCCCTTGAAAATGTCCGTAGCTTCGCACGTTACAGGAAAAAGAAACATAGGTAAGAGCGCTCGTGCGATCTGGAGTTCAAGATCCCCTCTTCGGCTCTTGGCCGTGCGCAGCCCTCATCGCACTAGCCGCAGTGTCCTTCCACTGGCAGTGGGATGATTTCAGCAACCAGGTCGATCTCATCCCTGACATATGGATAAAAATGGGTTTCGTTTCAATGCTGTGATCTGCGTCCTGTTCGCTCCATCGGGTCACACACAGCTACACACGGCCATGGTCTGCAAAGGGTGGTTTGCAGGTTCCTAGAGTCGTGCTGCAGCTGCGGGGAAGGGTCCGCGACAGTTGACCGCTTCCCCATCTCATGCGGTCCACTGCAGGGCAGAGTGAGCATTCGATCAACCTACTCCGTACACTACCGATACACTGCCTCGACTACCTCGTGGCACCTCGAAGTTCAGCCACCTTGACTTAGGTATGCACTCGTGTCTGTACTTGTGGCAAAGGGAATAGGAGGATGCTTTGTTCTCCTTTATTACCAGCCACAATATGCCAATTGTCTTGGCTCCCGGTTGTGATGCATCTTTCTCGCTTTCCCCTTTTCGACGTGTAACGTGGCATACTGTCTTACAAGCCTGTTGCTCGCTGTGATGTTAACTTGCATGCATATCATATCGTCTCCTGAGCCGTCCATTGCTGTGGTCTATTCTGCGGTTGGGGTTGTCCGAAGACGGCCAGCAAGGACCTGAGTGACGCTCCTTGCTCGAGTGAGACAACACGATGCTCTCCCGTTGAGAAGAACACACTTCGCAAATAGCCCTGTCATAGTAAACCTCGACAGGGCTGGCTGAGCCCCCTGGTATGTCTGGCCAGCATACTAGCTACTTCCCTATAAGGAGCCGATTGAGAATGTGTGAGCGCTTGGGCCGCCAGGTCCAGGCTCAGTCGGGATCTACACTCTCTCTAAGCCCACCGATGTCAGCTAGTCATCCAGGACGGCAAAGCAAGCCTGTGCGCACAGATTCGGGCTAGACACCATCGTATTCACCTCTCGCATGTCCTGACCTATTTGATTAACTTGGTGGATAGCTACTCAAGCTGGCCGGATGATGGAGACGACTTCGAGTCGAACTCGATGTGTCGTGTGTCCAGGCCGTGCCCGGGCTATCCGAAGAGCCCAGGAGGAGATGTCAGGGATACTAATATGTACTGTTCAACTCCCTAGCGATGAACCGTGACAGAACGCTTGTTTCTAAAATGGGCTTCAGGTCCCCTTCCTAATCAATATCACTCGCTTTGGAGGCACTGGTTTGCCGTGCCACCAATGTGAAGCTTGAAAATACATCCAGGATGATTTACTCTTAGCCTAGGCACATAAACAGTCGGCCAACCAAACACAGGACGCCTGATTCCTCCAGAGTATCGAAACACATCTTACTATACAGATAGAGCCAACCAGAGTGTGTCCTAGACCTCTAAATGAGTCCTTGATCCTTTGAGGTCCCAGCGTTAGTCATAATAGTACCCACTCCGTGGGCTGGTATCGGCCATATGATCATCCTAATGCCTAATTACCGGTGTTGCAAGAAAACCACGCCTTGTATAAACCCCCTACTCCAGAACATTGCTCGACTCCCAAAGATCGGCAGACGATTAGCGAACGGGTTCGTAAATTGGTTCCGAAAAAGCTAACTGTTGCCAGCCTTCCCGTCCGGTTATAGCTAGGTAAGAACGCTCAAGTCCTTCCCAACTTGAGTGCAGGAACCGCCCAGCGCGGCCTGGTTGAGTGGGAATCAGGGGCCATTCCTATCCCCATCTCCGTCGGGGTTGTAGTTGGTCTGACCCAGTAATCCGCTACCGCCGTCCGCCTGCGCCGTCATGGCGTTGTGCCCGTGGGCCTGCGGCTGGCTCTGCACGGTAGGCCCCGTAGCAGATGGGATAGGAGGGGCCACGGCGGGTGGTACAGGCGCGTTTTGAGCCCGAGTAGCAGCATTTGCCGTGGCCGCGTGGAGACGCTGATCGAGCGCCCTCAGGGCAAGTGCTCTCCTCCGCTCGGCCTCGGCACGAGCGCTTCCAGGCGCACCGCGATGCGAAAAGGTGTGGTGATGGTCGCCGCGGGCGACTGAAATATTAGCTGCGCTAAAGGGCACGCACAACCGCATGGCCACAAGCATGTTGAAGACTTGGGTTGAAATAGAGGTGACAACGGGTCGGACAGGGCCAGGGAAGAATTCCGCAATGGCGAACGTCTCGCTGGCGTCTCCGCGCAGGGAGCTCGACTGGGAGCTGTCGAGGTCGGGAAAGACGGCCTTGTAGAAGCGCAAGTAGGTCCAGCTGACAAGGAACCCATAGATGGCGAGGAACAAGGAGGCGCTAGTGAGCATCGGTGTGAGGCAGAGCAGCGCTACAAGGCCAATGTAGAGGAGTGGGAAGCGAGGGACTCGTAGCGAGAGCAGGCCCCTGAAGAGCGTCACGGTGTGTGCTGGAACCAGCTGGCTAAAGGCGACGAGGAACGAGATTTGTAGCGGAATGGTGCCGGCGATGGTAACCAACCTGCCCATGGAGAAAAAGATGGATTAGCCCTTGACGTTCCAGAGGATGGAAAGTTCCCCCCCGAAAAAAAAAAAAAAAAAAACAAGCAGACATACGTCCAGCGTTCGTGCCGTGTCAGGGCGAACAATAGGACTAAGGTGCCAAAGCAAAGCAGATTCGGCAGGAGAGATGTCACGACGAGGAACTTGGCGAGCTCACGCGAGGACCAAGCGCGCTCCAGGTAGCGGCCGCCATGATAAAGGGTAAGGGCGGCAATCGAAAGAGTGAAGATGTTGCTCTCCACCAGCGTCGTGGTAAGGAAGGTCCATGGGTAGACGAGGGAGAGTTGCGGAATAAGAGTCAAGTAGGGTATGACAATCTCGGAATCGGCGGTCCATTGACGGTAGCGGATTGCCGCACTCAGCACGGATTGTGCCAGCAATATGATGAGAGCGATCCGCGTTACTGGCGGAAGGTTTATTCGCGGTGGCATGGCGGGCGGCTTCGCTGGCTTCGGCGGCGGGGCGGAAGCTGGTTTAGAGATTTGTCCTGGCGAGCGGGACGGCGCCTGCTTCTTCTGCCTGTCGCGAGTTTCCGCCCTTCCGTGTCCCGGGCTAGTGTAGCTTGACGTCGGGCTACCTAAACCGAACCGCTGTTTTGCCGGGTCGAATCCCCGTCGTAACCGTTCACGTTTTGGTGCCTGGATTATAAGGCGGCAAGGCAGCAACTAATGTACGACACAATCCACTAAAGGTTAAGTTCTGACAGAGAGCTCTGGGCATCCAATTCCCTTCATTGAACCGTACGGCTGATATGCGCCACCAGCCCTTCAGTGGATTGAATCTGCAATGCGCATAAGGTTACCCATCATGCGGACGATGCGTCTGCCCGCAGAGGATCGGATTCTGACAGCGTTGTGAGATGTCAGGCAGTGATGGGTGTACTTCGTTCCTCAACTCACCTTACCCAACTGTGACTCTCTCTGTAAAACCATTGGATGTCCTCGCCAGTTCCACGATTGGCACTCCTTGATACCCACCCAATCCATCCCTGAGGCACTGAGGCCGGCCGCCGCCCCCCAACCGAAGAAACTGCTGTGCCAGAGTTCAGAATCTGAACCGCCCATCCGCGTCGGGCATCGCCATGCCGAGTACAAACTTGCTTTGCTTCGTTAGGGCTCCTGCACATCACCAGCTTCCTTACATGGCCCGAGACACAGTACCCATTGATGATGCTGTTTGAAATGCCGCCATAAGTACAGCAAGTATAGAGACAACCTAATACGAGCCATCAGAGAGCCAGTTACAACCCGACGGGTCGTGGCACACTTTTCATTGGGCTTGCATACGCTGAGACAGAGCTGCCAGCGGACGTCAAATAATCCCTGGGCATGGACGGCAGCACTATAACCGTCACTCCTCATTGGCTCAACATCGAAATACAGATCGCGTCCGTGGCGTTCCGTCTTCAATCGCCCTATCGAGTTAGAGCACCGCTTGATATCACTTTACTGTGGTATGTACGTGCCCTGGGTGCCCTACTGGTACCGTTAACTTCTTGATACTACTATGTACGCACAGTATATACCGGTAGGTACAACTTCCCTCCTTCAATAGCACAGGTTTACACTGTAGCCCCCACAGCGAAGTGGTTCTCGATCTGAATATTGCCCAGAAGGCTACCATAGTGTTGGCTGCTAAATACATGTATTGTACAAAGTAGGTAACTCCATATCCGAAGAGCGGAAAGAAATCACCCGGGATTTCGGGCAAGTGAGAACCTGTGAGGGTATCATTGTCGGCAAATTACCAGCTGGTGCTCAAAAGGCGGGTTGAGGTTGCATTTGCGTGAGGCGACGACAGCCAGTCGCTCATCAAGAGTACGGTGACTCCAGGGGGTATACAACTAACGCGGAGAGTGAGATACACAGCAGACCGCAGCCTTGGCCGTGCGTTGGCCTGTAGGCATATGATACAAATGGCGTGCAGAACCGGGTTATCCGCAGATTTGCACCTTCCTGCGACAGAAATGGCTTGCAATCCTGAGCTCCGGTCGGTCGGCCTGTCCAAGAGGACACCGGTATTTTCATGCCTCTCCACTTCCAACAATCAAGTATTGTATGTATGTACAATATATGGCTTTGATCGTTGAATCATTACTGAAGCCCTCCGTTGCGTTAATGGCAGCAAATAATGAGCATTTTCTTGCTTACATTAGAATTTAACCTGAGATAGGTAGTGTACTGTACCGATACCGTGCCTTGGTGAACGGAAATTGTCACCTTGGGTATCCGTAATTCATTCGAGTTATCGGAGTTTTGGGTTGGCCGCTGGCTGAGAGCCTGAGGGTTGCTGCTCTTTTGGGGTTAGTTTCCGGCCTGCGGTTTTAGTTGGTCGCCTAAACAAGCGACAGGGGACCGCTTGGCTGGGGGGAACGCATGCCTTCAGTGGCCTACCGTAGCAATCGCGCCCTGGCCTGTGGCCCGAACGCTGCAACCTCCACAAATCTCGACCTGGCGGCTTTCGAGGTTTGTTTCCGTCCTTCAACACCGAACCCAAGCCCAAAGCCGCCTTCTCCGTTAGACCGTCCGTCGACTTGAGCAGAAGCAGCAGCGCTCGCCCTATCAGCATTCTTACGCATTTATAGACCTGACGTACTGCCCGTTGCTACATATTGCCGGACGCAGTGTACCAACAATGAAGGAACTGCTCGACACGGATCGGGTCAACTTTCTTGTCTGGAGGTTCGTTGTTTTGCCCGCTCTTCAAGCTAAATCGAAACGTCGTGCGAGGCGTCATAATCGCTTACGCTTCCAATTTCACTCAAATATAGATATCTGCTCGAATCAAGTATGTGCAGCGTCAAACAACTCGTCTCTTCCACTGGCCTGGGGTCGATGTCCTTTATTCTGCGTGTGTCGAGGTGGGTGAGATGAGACTGACCATCACAGATTATCGAGAGACGGCCGCCAAGCTGCAAAAGGAGTGGAGGGTCCACCAGCCTCACAGGCAATTCGACTTCGCCCCCCATGTCAACCATTACGCACTGGTGTCCCTCTTGAACAAGGGCCTTATTTACGAAGACTACCAAAGACAATTTGCCGCGCAAAAGGTATGAGAATTGTTTTTGCTCCATGATTGTCCCTGATTTCCGGCGGCCATTTCTGTCAGGTTGGTCCCGGCAAGAAATGGATGGGTGTGCGGTGGCTTTTTTGGGGAGGGCCCTGGGGCGCTAGAGCCGGGGTACTGACATCTCCTTGCAGGCATCCCGTGATGCGCCGGCAACCGCCGAGGTTACGGCACGCGGTGTGTTCGGGCCGCTGAAATTCCAGCCTGACGTGGACGAGGATGAAGAAGACGACGATGAGTCGGTACCCGATGCTGAAGCCGAGGCCGAGGAGCTCGATAATCCGCGGAAGCGCGCGGTTGAACGGATGCACGATTTGTCGCATGGGTCTCCCACCAAAAGACAGCGGCTCAGCAACGGCTACGAAAATGGAGCCGATTCAGCCACCACACCAATGGAAATCGATCAGCACCACCATCACCACCCGGAAACTAATAATCACGCCTACCCATCGCCGCTGGAGGGCGAGCAAGCCGAATCACCCTTGTTGCGTACTGAAGGCCCGTCGCGCGGCACCCAGGTCGACAAGGTGCGCGACCTCACCCAAGACACGGTATTCCTGCGACTGGGTGCCGACGACTCGTCAGAGGCTAGCGAAAATCCTATCGTGCTCCTCTGCGAGTGGAACCCGAACCCTAAGCTTGGCTTCATCTTGGCGACTGCCGGGACCGATGCACTAGCCCGCATTTGGACGTTGCCCCATGAAAATGCGACTGTGCCTGGTCACGTGGATTCCTCGAGCCGGTCGTTTGTCAGCATCGCCGAGGAGGACCTGCCCAAGAATGCCACTGTCTCGGCCATGGCGTGGAACTCGACCGGAGATCTCATTGCGCTCGGCACCGAACTTGGCAGCAAGTCGCGTGTGAGCATTCGGTCTGTGGATGGAAGAAGCCTCCACCGCTTCGACGGCCTCGACTCCCCCGTCACCAACCTGTGCTGGAGCCCCAACAACAACTTCCTTCTCGCAATCAGCCCTGATATGAGCAATGGCCCTGGGAGTAGTGGTACCCTGCTTCACATATCGTCACCGTCGATGGTGAATTCGATGTCCCACTCCCTTAACCACGACCTCCGTGCCGACAGCCTCGATGCAGCTTGGATCAGCGAGAGCGAGTTCATTTTGTGCGGGGGGAACTTATTGGCAACTTTTCGTTGTACAGAGCAGGGTATTGTCCAGGGCAGGGAGTTCCAGACCGGAAAGGACGAGCGCTTTGCGCTGGTCCAATTTGATTGGCGGTCCAAGTTGGTTGCCACCGGTAGCGATAAGGGGTATATTGACGTGGGTTTTTCCTATGCTGTCGACATTGGCCGAGCATTTCTTGTGCTAACCATAGTGCCAGATTTGGGATGAAAGCGGTAGGCGCCGCTCGATTCCCGCTCATGACGGAGGCATCACCAGCCTCCGATGGCAACCGTTGCAAGAGGAACCTGCCGAAGACGAGAGATTGCTTGTATCGGGGGGCGAAGACGGCGCCGTCTTGATTTGGAATGTCCGCAGTGCCGAAAACAAGCCGAAATATTCCATCACAATGCCGCCCCCACTCGCAGTCAACAGCCTCTCGATGAGTCCTGATGGCGTATTTATAGCCGTTGCGACACATGACAGGATTCTGGTTTGGAAGGTTGGCGACCACGCAATGCCGAAAGCAAGCTGGGTGCCACAGCCCGGCTGGCAGAGTCCCTCTTCCGGTACCGATACAGAAGACGCGATACCATGCTTGGGGTGGGATTCCGAGGGCGGGCGATTGGTGTATGGACTGGAAAATAGAGTAAGTTACTACCGACACCCCCGAGGTTGACAAGACATTTTCCCCTAATATGTCTCTCAGCTTGCAGTCATCTCTTTCCGCTGAGTTCGACGGCCGTTGAAACCAGCTAAGGCAACCCGGTTCCAGGGGCCATTACAGCCGAACCGTTGCCCGCCTTTGTCTGCCCTTTCGGACCTAGGAAGAGCTCGGATAGCATCATGACCCCGATATCATCGATGTAGGCCCCCGGGCACCTACTAGTCATGACGGTGCCTGGGGATTTGACCCGAGATGGCTGTTCATCGGGACTGCCTAGCGATTATGGACCATCAAGCAAGAGGGTGCCGCATCATGACAAGCAATATATGAGCGGGGTCAAATCTGAAGAAGGATATTTCGCATTTACACGAGGCAGTCACCGTCCAGCCGTTCGTGGCGATGTTTTTCAGGGTTGAGCAATGAATGTAGGCAGAGTCCTATATCCTTGGCAACACTGTGGAGTGTCCCATGTCTACCTGGCTAGTGATCGGCTGTTCAGCGGAAGGCGGCTGGCTTGAACTCAGGCCGGCGTATAGAGCTTCTACTCCCATCGAGCCAAGGCTTGGGTGAAAAAGTGCCTAGAAGGAATGCGTCAGATGGGCACCGGAGGAATCAAACCAGGACGCCGAATATGAGGCCAAGCAGGAGCAGCACGAATCTTGTGCTTGGCAGCCAAGCCAGTCATCAAGGCAAGGTCAATGTGTGTGTCGACCGGTTGAATTGAATGAAAAGCGCTATTCTGGCTCTGCATATAGGGGAGGAGCCCTGTGCGCTGATTGTATGTACTTGGGAAGGGCCAGGCTATCATTGTCGTTTGCACTGCTGGGTATCAAAGAAACCTTCGGTTCCGGCTTTACTGTACCTAGCACCTTATGGGTGAGCATATAGACGATCTGAATAGATGAATCGACTGAATGATTCGATATATTCATAGCCCTGAAGGGGACCTCAAAATCTTTCACGAGACACATATAGCCCCGAGTCAAGATCGCTGATGAATGAGGCGACCTCATACTCGGAATCCGACTTCGACAGGAAGAACATACAAACGTATGTACTTGTACAGTACATAGGTAGTCTATTAACTGGATTTTCCATCCACAAAATATGTTGGGATTCAACAGTTCGCTGGGGTATTTGTATACTCCGTTCTGCCATGCACATCCCCTTCATTGATTATCTAATTTTTTCCCAACCGTAACGCCGTTGCTCAAATAAACCCCACACCCTTGCGTATGCATACAAGCAATTCATGCCATGCATCACCTTCTCATAGTCAATGTTATAGTACTCACACCGCGTTCTGGGCGCGGTCCCTATCGAGCCTGGGCAAGCTCGCCATGGCTGAGTCTTCTACAACGCTCTTCTCACCGGCCGCATCGGCATCATCAGTGTCGCTCTCAGCAGCGGGACGAGCTCCAGGCGGCGGTGTGGGAGCATAGGAGCTCCTGGCACGGATCTTGTGGCCGTACAGGTAGAAGATGATGGGGATGGGCACGAGGGCGGTGGCAACGCAGCCAAGCAACGTCGAGGCCCACTGGATGCCCATGCCCTCAAACATGTACTTGGAGAAGAGCGGGAAGCCGGCGCCGGCGAGCGACCGCAGAAACGTATTGCCCGCGATGGCTGACGCGGCGAACATGAGGTACGCGTCGACCAGGTAGTTGAGCGCCTGCAAGAAGATGGAGGCCAGGCCGAAACCCGTGAGCAGGCCTGACAGCGTGGGCACGATCCAGTGGATGTCCCGGCGGTAGCCAGACCAGCCGAACCAGAAGAGACCCGCGGCAAAAGCCACGCCGCCGGCGATGACGCTCGGCAACCGCCACTCGGGGACGGGCACGCCGTTGTTGGCCGCCAGCTTGCGCTGGTACCAGGGCTGCTGCATGAGGACGGTGATGCCGGCGATGATTTGGCCCGTGATCATGCCGAAAAAGGTCAGCCCGGCAATGCCGGCCGACATGCCGTGCACACCCTGGAAGACGAAGGGATAGGCGGTCAGGAAGAGGTACAGCAGGCCGTAGATGAAGGCCATGTAGATGGACAGCAGAGTGACGATAGGCTCGCCGAAGAGCAGGCGCATGGGCCGCGAGAAGTTCTTGGTGATGAGCTCGCGGATGTCGACCTCAATCTCCTCCTGCTTGGCGTGGATGCCCCAGTTCAGGGTGCGTCGGCGCAGCTCAGCGGCCTTGTCGACGAGGATGACGGGTGGGTACGTCTCGTGGAGGAAGATCAGGTCCAGGCCGAAAGCCAGGAAACCCATGAAGGAGACAATGTACGAGGTCCACCGCCAGCCGAGGTATGACTCGACAATGAAACCGCCGATGAATGGAGCCAACAGGGGGCCGGTGAACACGGTCATGGAGAACACGGTGATGGCGATGCCCCGGGTCCGGTTGTCAAACATATCAGAGAAGACGGCGGCGACGACGGCCAGGGGACATGCGCCGAAGAAGCCGGCGAAAAATCGACAGATGAGTACCGTCTGGAGGTCCTTGGCTACAGCGCATGCAATGTTGAAAATGGAGAAACCGAACATGGAGAGTACCAGGGGTAGGCGACGCCCCTTGAGCTCCGATAGGGGAGCCCAAAAGGTAGGGCCGGTTGCGAAGCCTAAGACATAGAGGGACACGCCGAGAAGGGAGACCTCGGAAGACACACCAAACTCGACGCCGACAGCCCCCGTGGCGGCTGAAAAGATGCTCGACCCAAAGGCCGCGTTCATGGTAGTGAAGCCAAGAATGGCGGCTGTCACCATTCTGTTGTCGTAGCATATGTGTTAGCCCCTGAAAGACAACGATGACGTCGGCGGACAGGTTGAGATAAAAGAACGTACTTCTTGCTTAGAGGCCAGTTCTGAGCATGTAACGGGTCATCCGGCCCGTCAAACTCGACGACATAGTCTTCTTGGTTTGGCAGTAGCGGCGGGTAGGGCTTCCCTGCACCGAAGGCTGGTAAGGGCTTCTTGTCCTCTCTGCTCTTGCTCCTGCTGAAGTCTCGTCCAACGGTGCCGCTGTGTTGACTCCGCGCTGTTTGGATGCGTGACAGTTCGGTCGGATGTCTCTCCAGATCCCGATGGGTGGCGATGCGGCTCATTCGAACTCCTCCATGTACCGACTCGGACGACGAGGTCGACACGGACGACGCTGAAATAACCCGTTCAATCTCCTCGCTCCGGCGCCCGGGACCATGCGCCTGATGATTGTGTAAGGCGGCATCCAGCTCGGCCGCGGCAACCGCGCGGTCGATGTTATCGTAGGCCATTGGGTCCTGTTAATCCTCGCTGACGGCTGGTATTTCGATCTCCTGGCTATAGTATCCTGTGGTTCGTGGATATGTTGATGTTCTTCTATCCAACCCTGGCTCAGGGGAACAAACAGAGACAGCACACGGGCCAAACAGTCAAGCAGGGAGTGATCGAAGACGAAAGTTATCAATGCAGGAAGAACGAATGGAATACTGGTACCGTCACTTGAAGGTAACGACAATGCCCTGAGTGATCATGATGAAATTTGCCCCCCGAAGTGGGCGGCATGCCATCCTAATAAAGGGGTGGATTGGCACACCCGGGGCACACAACTTCCCATGGACCCTCAAGTGGAACATGACGGATATCAGTGAATCATGGATGAGCATGGGTATAGGTGGTAACGGGAGACGGGCAGACGGGACCGCCGTGGGCCAAACCGCGCGAGTGGTTCTCTTTGGGTCTCATGGGTTTGATCTCGGCATTCGCGCTTACACCACGGCTCAATGCCACCGCCCGGCTTATGAATTTGCCGTGTCGCCCCCTCCCCGGCAGGCCCGACATGCCGTTCTTCGGGTCCCTTATTAGAGCCCTTCAAAGCATTTTAACACATGTAAACTCCGTGCCCGTCGTTGCGATTTCTCATCACTGAGATCTGCCATGGCGATTACACACCAGATCTGCCGTCTGTCGGCTTGATGCTGTGGCTCCACCACTCGTTCGAGCCAAGATGACAGGCCCGAAGTGGAGTTGAGCTGGAGATACGCAGTGGATCGGACGGTCTCCATCAAGCCTTGCAAAGTTGCAATCAGGCCAGATTCTTTTGCGTTGGCACTGTTGATTATGTTGCTTACTGTAGCATGCTTTTCGATATGCACATCGATTATTCATCCAACGTGCTTCTGGCATTCCCAGGATGTAGTGTATGACGGGCGTCAAGGTGACGCCACTGAATTATGTCCGCCGGGAAGAGACCTCGGTTTTTTGCTTTATCAGGGCGATTTCCAGCTTAACTCCGGCAATGGCTGTGCTGCGGAATTACGTCAAACCACGAGTTTCAAGCGACTCGCATCATTCGCTGCTTGGCAGATGTGTAATCAGATACGTACCCGGAAACACTTGCCGAATGTGGCCTGTGGGTCATCGAAACTTCCATCGATCGAATTTTCACTTCATTATCCCCCTTTCTCGACCACCAAGGGCAACCGAGGTGTCAGGTTCAGAATTTTTTTTCTTCGATTTCACTAATGTTAACCCGCAGATTGCCGTTGATGGCCGGGAATACCCTCGTTCATGGACCTCTCCGTTCCGCTATCTTAGCCGGTTGCTTGCGTTCCGTGCCTCGGCACGATTCAACGGCCATAAAAAGAAAAAGCTTATCTTCGCGGCCCGCAATGGCTGCACTAAAAGTGCAGTGTACAGTTCGACCCACCAAGATGAAAAGCCAACCTCATCGCACGCCCCAGTTGTCGTCCTCTAGAAGCGTCGCCGCATCTTCTAGACTCAGCCCTGCCGTCTCAGGGTAGAACTTCCAGATCAGGCCGTAGCCAGCGATGCATATCCCAGCGTAGAGCACGAAAGTCCACGGCGGTGTCAGCGCGTCCATCAAAAGAAGGAAAGTCAGGCCAATGACAAAGTTTGCTCCCCAGTTGGTTGCCGTGGCAATGCCGCTTCCCAAAGACCGCACATTCAGAGCAAACAGTTCGCTCTGCATCCAGGGAACGTTGCCAAGTCCAATGGCGTAGCCAGCTACGTAAACCATGATGCTGACAAGGATGATGATTGCTGCGTTCTGGCTGGGGCCGGCGCTGCTCCTCGCTGAATCAGCCGAGCTAAGTTTGATGAACGAGAAGCCGTATCCCGCGAGCAGAAGACCGGCCACCATGAAGGGGATGGACCAGAGGAGGATGCGCCTTCTCCCCAGGCGGTCGATTAAGAAGAGCGCAATGACAGTGAAGACGCAGTTGGTGACCGCCACGACCAGCGACGTGAGCGTCGGGACTGGAAACCCGAGCATCGTGAATATTGTAGCCGAGAAATACATGAGCGAGTTCTGTTCGAGGTATTAGTGCCGACGTAGAACCACAACCCATGTGCACTTACAAAGCCGCACAACTGTTGCAACCCCTGAAGTAAACAAGCAATCGCCAGAGCGCGACGGTTCCTCCTCACTCCAAACAACTCCCCCGCCAAATCCACCCACGCACCCTTCCCAACCCCTGACCTCCCGCGCAGCATCCTCGCCTGACTCTCTTCCCTCACTTCGATCTCAATCCCCTTCACTGTAGCGTCCACCTCTCTCTTCCATTCTTTCCCGTTCCCCAGAATCCTCTCAACAACCTCCCTCGCCTCCGCCTCCTTCCCAACCATAACCAACCACCTCGGCGTCTCAGGCATAAACAACCCCATGAGCACCCCCTGCAGCAGCGCCGGCGCGGCGCCAAGCCCGACCATCCACCTCCACGCCGTGCGCGGGTCGCCGTACGCCCCGAATCCCCAGCCAACCAGGTAGGCAACGACCTGGCCCAGGGTGATGCAGAACACGTTCATGGTGACCAACCTCCCGCGAAGCTGCGAGGGAGCGAGCTCGGCGAGGTACAGCGGGACCACGAAGCTGGCGGTGCCGACGGCCATGCCCACGACGGCGCGGCCCAGGACCATGGCGGGCACGGTGCCGCTGGCGGACTGGATCAGAGCGCCCAGGGCGAACAGCGCGTCCGCCCATAGGATGACGCGTCGGCGGCCGAGAGAGGGGTGGTCGGCTAGTAGTGAGGAGAAGGGCGAGATGAGGAGGGCGAGGAGGGAGGTGGAGGAGGTGATGATGGATTTGTCGAGCGCGGTGAGGGGTCGCGAGGAGAGCGAGGTGCCGAGGGAGACGAGGGTCCCTGAGATTACGCCCGTGTCGTCTGTTGGGGTTTGAGGGGTTGATTAGGGGTGTGTAATCATGGGGAGGAAAATGGGGACGGGGTGCTTACAGCCGAAGAGAAGACCCGAGAGGCCTGCTGAGAGGGTCAGGAGGTAGATGAAGAGGGCGGGGTCCGAAGGTGAGGAGAGGGGATGGTCGGGAGCGATTGCGTCAGTGGCATTGTCTTCGTGGGCTGCGTCGGTGCCATCGTTCAATTCGCCATGGGTGTCTTCCCGCTGTTCCTCGCCCGAGAGGAAACTCCGCGAAATGAGAGGTTCCTCTGCACTGCTCATTGGTGCCGCGAGGGGGTGATTCTCAAGAAAGTTTTATGCTAATTACAGGTGATTTTGACTCCATGATACAAGTTCCATACCCCTACACCAGGCAGCTCGCATGCCGGATCGCTAGTGTAGTCGGGAGAGTTCAATATTGTGGGGCCGGGCCGGTGGTTAAGAAGTCGGAAGTTGAGTTGATGTTCCGGGATCGAGCGACCGGGATGACAACCGTCAGCTGTCGGAGCCTCGGCATGTGTTGCCTTCCGACTCCTTTGCTGTTGGCCCAGGGCCCAGGCTCTCTGTGCGCCGCCAAGCCTTTCAGCGCGACTGCAAGCCAATCTGCAGGGGATGGTGGCCAAAGCTCCCAATCGTGGTTGTGAAACGAGCTTCATGTGACAGGGGCCGACAAGGGGTGTTTCAAAACCGCTGCTGTCAAGTGTCAACGCGGCATCATTGGGTGACAGCAGCGATACGCAGACCTCAAAAAGCACACGACGCAACCGAGTACGCTGTCACCCGTTTTTCGAGGCTGCGTCTATCCAAAAGTTTCAAACTCGGCAATGGGGCGTTAACCCAAAGGAATCGTGATCAATATCGATTCTACCTCTTCCAAGCGACGGATCTAAGCATCACTCTCGAGCGCTTTCGAAGCCCCTTTACTGCCCACCAGACAACGTAGGCACAATGGCGACGCCATATACGACACCACCGCAGCGCGATTCCTGGTTCGCTCCGCTGTCGATTGACCTCATCGTTAAGGTGTTCAAGACTACCTTCTTCCACCCCTTCGTATCATGGATTATCCCACTATGCTTCCGCGCCCAGAACATGCACTGGGATGCGCCGCCCATGCTGGTGTCGATCGCGTGGGCCTCCTTTATCACGTTGTGTTGGGCCGTGGGGATAGTAAATAACCGGCTAGCCTTTGGCCTGCCGCGTGAGGTAGATCTGAGCGAGGAGGTCATCGTGATTACGGGCGGCGCCAGCGGGCTGGGCCTCCTGATTGCCGAAGTGTACGGGATGCGGGGCGCCACGGTTGCCGTGCTGGATGTGGAGGAGATGGAGAACGGCGAGGCCCGGGGCGTCACCTACTACAAGTGCGACGTTACGGACAAGGAGCAAGTAGCGCGGGTCGCGGCACGAATCGAAAGAGAGGTAATCCCTCCCCTACCCCCTTTCTTCCGCTCTGGTGATAACCATGCTGACACAACCACTCGCTCTAGCTCGGCACTCCCACAGTCCTAATCAACAACGCCGCCATCGTGCACGGCAAGCCCCTTCTCTCGCTCAGCTTCGACGAGATCGAAAAGTCCATCTCGACCAACCTCATCAGCCACTTCTACACGCTCAAGACCTTCATCCCCGCCATGGCGCGGAGCGAGACGGGCGGCACCATCGTCACCGTCTCGTCCGTGATTGGCACCGTGGGCGCCGCCCAGCTGACCGACTACGCCGCGGCCAAGGCGGGCATCTCGGCGCTGCACCGCTCGCTCGCCGCCGAGCTGCGCGAGTCGCACCCAAACATCCGCACCGTGCTGGTCACCCCCGGCCAGCTGAGCACGCCGCTCTTTTACGGCGTCCAGACGCCCAGCCCCTTTCTTGCGCCCGTGGTGGAGCCCGTCGACGTGGCCAAGGAGGTCATCGCTGCCATTGACAACGGGCATAACGCCGCCATCGGCATGCCGCTCTACGCGAGGTGGATCGATTGGTATAACGTGCTTCCGCTGGGCGTCCAGGCCGTGGTGAGGAGGCTGGCGGGTGTTGACACGGCCATGAAGACGTTTGTGGGGAGGAAAGGGGCGAGGAATAGCCGGAAGAACGGCGTGTTGATACAGGGGTTCTAGAGCTGGGGCAAACCACTTAGAGTCGAGGGCGCCGGCGCTGGTAGTTGAGACATGTCAAAACTTGCATTCCACAACGTTCTGAATGCACTTGTATCATATTCAAGCGCCGAGTCTCTCATACGCCTGGATTACTGTGGAAATGTCGACATGAAGTTGCTGTTAACCGGCACAGATCCTGCCAGGTGTCAATCCGCTACACTATCACGCATCAAAGCTGTGTACCGGAGGCTCAATTCTCATATCATTGCTTCCTCTCGACCATATGTACATTGACCAAGGCGAGCCGTTTTAGGGCGAATTACCATAGGAGGCATCTTGTAATCTCAAGGGACGTGACCGCAAGGAGCAGGCACCCGGAAGCGGGCAACGGAATGCTGGGAGCGCCCTTGGGTGGGGGTCTCGGCGTCCACCTGCTCTCTTCACCTTGATAGGATGTTATCTTACGACCTCGCTCGATAACGCCTGAGCATGGGGGAACTGGAACCGGGGTCGAGAGATCTGCGGGGAAAGACTGCCGTGCAACACATTCGGGCGCGCCACGAGGCAAGCCCTGGGAAGTCCGACGACCCGCCGGCATGGAAAGCGCGGGATAAGATCGTCAGATAAGCGCATACAGGCGTGCCAAGGGCATACAAGCAGTGTCACTGGACCAAGCTTGAACCGCTGGACTCGAACTAGCTGTGGGCTGGCTTCCGGCTCCAACGTGTCATCAGCGTTCATCGGTATTTGAGATGCGATACTAGAGCTCATGGTATTCTTCTGCAAGGATGATAAATACCTCAAGAACACTGCCAGAGACTCATAGTGGCGCTGGCCCTGTACGAGATGGTGGGAGCAGGAGACAGCCTCACCAATATGTCCGTGTATCACGAATGCATGTGCCCAACAGAACAATGGTTCTACTCCATTCGCTAGCTGCGAGGGCAAGAGAGCATGTTCATCCATATGAACAAAGACTTGTTGCAGGGATGTCAGATAACTGACGCCAGAACACATGCCGCTGTTCCTTCGCAGCAAGTGGAGCGTGACGATGGCTTGTGTTGCCAGATCCTCCAGCCGAGGACTGACAGGAGAATGGACGGGCCTCGGACCACCCAAGGAGCTACCCTAACTCGCCTAACTAAGAACCATTAGCTATACCGATGGAGTGAGGCAATATATAAGTTACCTGATCCTGCTTTCCAAAGCATGAACTAGCAGATCCAGAGTGCTACGGGAGGTTGCCACCTGGTGTCCCAAACCTTGGCTGAACTCCTCTGAGCATACGGAAATGCTCTCAGCGGGGGTCATGCAGGGTCTCGCTATCAACTATGGGTAGCCGAGGAATAATGCATCATTAGCGTCTTGGTTCTGCGAGCTCCATCTCACAAATCGGGATTCGATATCGGAAGAGCTGAGAAAGGGCCATAAGATAAAGAGGCTGAAGGCAGAAGGAACCTGGGAGTCTTGAAGGTACATAACGTGATAGGGATAAGGGTTGTGTGGGGTTTCCCCACGCCTCTGTTAGTTATGGGTTGTCATTTCCTCAACGTTTGCCAAGACAGAGACGGCATCTGGGAGAAAGGAGATGTGACTTGGACAGCTGAAACATAACGGTGATGAAGAAGTAGATACCTACAGCAAGAAGCGTCTAGGAACGATGGCCTGAACCAAACAGTGACCTTCAGGCAGAATCTCATCCCGCATGACCAAGTTCCCCAGTCACCCCTTCCTAACTCGCCCGTCTTGGAACAAAAGGCCAGCCAACAGCAGGCGAGTTTCCTTATCTCTCGAGTAACCAAACTATCGTCCAATGAGACTTCGCATCTGATTCCCTGAGCCACGTCGATCTCGATCTCAAGAGAGAAATATTGATACAAGAAACACTGCCTCCCATCTTACCTACTGCTAATAAAACTCCCACCATATCTGTGGCGAGGCTATGCTAACGAGATTTTGCAATGTAGAGTATCAAGGTGCTCTAGCTGGGAGCCTTAGTCGGGGTTTGGAGAGACAAACCTTCTTCCTGGCCTTGTTGACCCCCCAAGACTGATGAGTTGGGTTACACGTTCCCGATATTTCCTCCCAAACGTACACCAACCATTTCATAGGCGGCATGAGAAGGCTCCCTTTCGGTCTGAATCAAGGTCACAGTACCCGGGCCGACTGTACCTAGAAACCGGCAGTTCTTCTAAGATAAAAGTAGGCACCCTACTTGCCGTCCAAGCAGTGCCTTTCTCGTCCCCCTGAGCGCACCTCAGGATTGCCTCCTCATCCCACAACTACTTTCCCAAACACATCCTGCTCTTCCTCAGCGGTACCGCAACATGTGGTGGGATAACGACACGATCGATCGGACTGTCACGCGGTCCTTCGTCTGCAGCCACCTCATCCCCGCCGAGATCGAACGTCTTGATCGGCCCCTGGGTTTTGGCGATGGCTTGACGGACGGAACCTATTGGGAATGGATTGATGAGAAAGCCAAGAGGATATTCCTGCTTCTCGTTGACTTCGGGATGCCTGACCAGATATTTGGACTCATCGACAACTCGTGGGGCGATGAAGATCTCCCCATCGCTCTCGATCAGGTGGGACGGTTGGGATTGCCGGCTTCAAAAGACGGGAGATTCGAGAGGAGATTCTTCGCTAGACAGTTCCACTACCTCCTGCGGCCGCTTCAGAAGGGTGAGCATCTCTTCTACCAGGAGGATGATGTTGTCCCATTGGATGTCTTCGACAAGAAGCACGTATCAAGTCAGAGTCAACACGCAGATAAAGTCGTGCTGCCCAACCAACCAGGCATGGTGTTCTGTCGCCGTCGGATTCCCCTCGGGCCCGGCCATCTCAGTCATGAGGACTTCCTCTGCGAGATCGACGGCATCAAGAACGTGCAGAACGTCCACCTACTCTCGTACTGGGCTTCTTATTTTCATCGCGAATATGGATATGTCATATTCACACCAGCAGCCGATTTCTCTCTCAAGTCTCTGCTTTCGTCCACACCCAGCAATGTGAAGAACATGGACAAGAAGGATCGCCGGCAGCTAGTCATCGACTGGATCCACTGCCTGGTCGACACGCTTTGTTACATCCACAGCCGAGGACTCTCGCATGGGAACATCAAGCCGTCGACCGTCTTATTCACAAGCGACAACCACGTCTTGCTTTCGGACTTCACTCGCTTGAATGCCGACCTCTGGGGAAGTGGGACAGACAATTTCGACAAGGAGGCATACGACTACGCAGCTCCTGAGCAGTGGTTCAGACCGACTTCGGCCGCAACAGACCCGGCTCACCGCACCGCGACGGATCGTGGCCATAAGAACGCTCCCACGCCACACCTCAACCCGCAGGCCGCTGATGTATTCTCACTAGGCTGCATCATCCTGGACCTTCTCAGCTTCCTCCTTAAGAAGCATGGGCGGCCCTTTGCAGCACACCGCGCCGCGAAGCCCAAGGGCACCAGCCGCGGTGGCGCCGTGCGAGACTCTTCGTTCCACAAGAACTTGGGCCAGGTGGAAAGCTGGATGACGCAGCTTGCCAGAGACGCCGCCAAGAAAGAAGAGCCTGAGTTCAGGGGCATGCTGCCCATGCTGCACGTGGTTGAGCGGATGCTGGCACCGCATCCCTCAGACCGGCCGGCCGCCAAAGACGTCCAAGCAAGGATGTACCAGATCATCACCGAGTCGTGCGGAATCTCGGAGCCACATTGCGTGCATCAGTATGGCGGCTGGGACTTTGGCATTGGGAACCTCAAACTTGGCCCTCCGACGCTGGAAGGAGGAGACGGCTACGACTTGGTGTCGATCCCGACAAGGCGGTACAGTAATCCCTGGAGCGGTAACCATAGGCGGAACGGCAGCAGCGGCGGGAGTGCCCGGGCAAGTTCTAGCGGAAGTGGAAGTGGGAGCGGTGGCGGCAGCCCCAGGAGGTATGACGCCGGTAGTCGAGCGGAGAGGCCCATGCTCAAGGCTGAGACTGGTTTATCAGATGGGTTCCAAGCCATTGGGGCTGTACTTGCGGGGAGTGAAACAAGACAGTGGCGGGCACCTTTGCGTGCAGGTCAGGGCCTCTATACGCGCTGACTAATCTAATGAATGGCTGTGAGCGTCGAGAGACAGTCGTGTTGAGTGCGCAGGGTCAGACGAGGTCACGAGGTAATAAGATGAGATGAAAGGCGCACATACAGGGTAGTCTTCAACCGCAGAGAATTTAATCGAATGCAATATATTCACCCATGCTGCAAATACGAGGTCAGAAGATATTGTATGTCCTGGATTGTTCACATCGCGGTCTGAGGTGTGGGTTGGGGTTGGTGCTGAGGTTCTGGTCCGAGCGTCAACGCCCTGGAAGGCGGTCGAACAAAAACGTCATCGCTCATCCAAGATGCATCGATCCCGATTCCCGTAACCAATGCAAGTCACTCACTGAGAGCCCCACCAGGAGATGGGGTTTGGGCGGACGCAGAGCTGTCGGTCTACACTTTCGTCCGGTGTTTAGATAAGTACATATGTACTGCTGTCATTCGTAAGCATCTGGAAGATCTGTGCATGTCTCTCAACGATCAGCGTCTTTGAAACAGCTCTTCAGACAGCTGAAGAAACCGAATTCGCTGCTGCCTTCTTGCTCCTTCTGCAGTGCGACCATCCAAGCCGGAAACAATCATTGCTCGTTGGCCAATCCAAGGGCGTTCCATCATCCCTGTCGGTGTTGGGCTGACACCATTCCCTAAACGGATGGTGTCAAGGTGAGGCCAAGACCAACCTCCCACTGATCCCCCACTTTCTTGACTTTGCTTTCCTCACGGCAAAGCCAAAGAGGTTTTTTACGCCCGTGAAATCTGCATCCTTTCGGCTCCAAACCGCCATTGCCTGCGTGTTCTTGCCGCGCTAGAGCCGAGTTTTGTTGCAGCATTCCCATGCGCCCATGCGCCTTGTTTCAAGGTTGCATTCATGGTGGGGAGTCCCGTATACACTATCTACAACTATCGTAGCAATGCATGGAACGAAAGAAGACAATCAGGGAATGATTTTTTTTTCTTCTGGTTTGGCTATCGCTACTTCGTATAGGTACTGTACCGGTTTGCGTTCCGTTACTTTGGGGATCAGTCATTCATCGTCATCCTCTCCTCATATATCTCTTCTTCTTTGTGACAATGGAACGACAGGCCTGAGCATTCGTCCGAATTCTGGCCCGGGTTGGGTACTAATTAGATGACAACCGCATGCTGATTTGCACTGACCTCGCTCGTTCGATTGTCCTCGGCAATACCCGCCAAGGTGTCAAGTGGCAGGAGCTGCCCGTCTTTCGTTGATTGACTCACTCGCTTTGGAATTTTGCAAGATACCTTTGCCCATATCTCGATTCGGTGCTGGGAGACGGGAGGGAAGGGCTGTGTCACTCGGTCAGCCTCGTCCTATCTTCAGCCCCCTTTGACCCCGCCACCACGGTTCAACTATGTACATTGCGGCACGTCCGACACATAATTGAGGAGATAAGCTTTGAGGTGTGGGTTCGGGCTCAGGTCGTGCCAGTATATCATTGCATGACATCTCCCGAGCACTGGATCTCGACATTTGCAGAGAGATCTGGCTCTCCACGACGTGTCATGCACTTGTTGGCACGTGGAGAGTGAGCACCAGTGCAAATATGGAGCTTCTTTGGCTTTTACCCGTGTTACTGAGCTGTGGAGGGGTCGCATCGGTGCTCGATACAGAAACCGTCGTCAATGCCGTTGCGATCAAGGTTTTCGCATCTGATACGAGGCAGACACAGTCACAAGTCTCCAGTCCAATCTGTGTCTATCATGTCAGCTTGAGCAGCTTGCACAGTTATATGCTGCCAGTTAGTCCCCCAGCCCCACGGGAGGTGTAGGAACATGGCTGACCATGATGTAGAACCAAACCCAACGGGCCCGTGAAGCACCATTGATAGAAGCATCTATACGCGGCCCAAGCGGGAAATCCACCAACCATCCGCTTACAGAAGCCCGACTTGAGAGCTCCGAGGTCCAACAGCCGGAACCGTCTCCCAACGGCGCATCAATGCCGGACTCCGACCCCACCAATGCGCTTCCCAAAAAGGAGACGAGGAACCCTGCCCCAGCTAATCGGGCGGTCGCAGGTATGGGCGCAGCGCTGGTAGGCGTGATGCTGATTTTCACTCTGTTTCTCTGAGCAAGGAGTGCACATTGAGGTTTAGAGAGGACAAGGGCGTTTGGTCAAATGGGGGGGTCGTTTTGGAAGGTTCAGTTCCCTCATGTTGGGCGCATGTGGTTGATGGGGACATGATTTTTACCGTTTGGACAACCGATAGATGGGATACCCTGACGAGTTGAGTGATGGAGGGCGGGGACAATTGGACACGATGGCGACGATGAATCGATCCGAGGATACGGGATTCGGCACGAGACGGCATGGAATGATAGTTTAAAGATGGAACTCCTGTGGTATCTGTTGGGCGGCGCTCGATGACTGATGACGACAATCCGGGACCGGTTTGGGGGAGATGTGATCGATTTATCTGGTATGAGCCAGTTAATTTTTAATGAGGCCAGCGCTCCTCGATGAGGAAAGGGGTTTTGAGGCTATAGATAGACCATGCTGTATAGTTCTGGCTTGAACGGCCCGCAAGGATATAGACTATCGAGTACATGATTATCACAGGCCAAGTGGTAACCTCGACGATCGGACTGATGAGTTAGCACTCCTGACTACCTAATTGAGGACATATCCTCCCAACGCGTTCATAGATGGCCATTACCCTGCCTCACTACTAGTAAGCACCCTAATTCCTGGCCCCGGTCGGATGCTATCAGAACAAGCCCGCCTTTGGCACAAAAAGCGATCCAACCGTCAACACGGAGGAAACAACACCAGCCCAAAGCACGGACAAGAGCAAGGTCCGGTCCTGCATCAACACCAACCCCTTATTCTGCACCGGGACCGTGTCGTCAAATACTTTTCGCCACCAGCTCTTCCGGCTGTACGCTTCCACCCATGGCTCACCGGAGAAGTCGTTCCTGGGCCCAAACACCTGCAGGCTCGGTTTGCAGAGGGGATCGACTCTCCCAGAACTGGAAGAACTGATACTGCTGTCGGTGTCTATCCTCTTGAGTTCCGCGAATCTCGACCCCTCCTCCAGTCCATCCTTTGTCACCGCCGATGTACCGCGGCAATCACCAACCCCCTGCTGGTGCTGGTTCTGATTCTGGTGCTGGTGCTGCTCCCAAGGGCGCAGCTGCCTGAGCCCCCTAAGATGCAGCACCACACACATCCCACCACCACCACCGCCGCCGCCGCCGCCCCAACTTAAACAACAACCCTTTCTCGCCATCATCCCATCATCCTCCGCCCACGGCGATGGTCTCGGCCTGACCCCTGCCAAAGCCGCAAACAACACAGTCCACGCAGGCCACCACAGAGCAAGACACACAACACGCCAGTGCGGGGGCAGGCGGGAAAGAATCAAGAGAACATCGAGCGCCAAACCGGCGAGGATGAGCGCCGCAGACAGACAACGCAGGAAGCAAACCCTCGCGGGGCTGGCGTTGCTGCTGGTCCATACTAACCACCGCACGAAGCGCCCGTGCGACCCGCGCAGCGACGCCTCGGCCGCCAGAAAGGCCGGGAGCAGCGCCGACGGGTGTGTCGTCCGTGCCGCGGCCCGCACGCATGTGGCTCTGTCTGCGGGGGTGAGGATTGCTGGGGAGAGTTGGCGTGGGGAGTTTAGGGCGATGTAATGCCGGATTATGCGGGTGAGTTCGTCGCGGAAGGGTTGGATGGTGACTTTTTTTTGGTTTGTTTGTTAGTCGAGGCTGTGGATGGTGGGGTGAACGAATAGGGGGTTGGACTATACTGTACTGTACATACATGGTTTCCAGTCTCCTTTTGATGACTCGGTTGGGCTGAGCACGGAGGACGACGAGGACGTTCGGGGACGGGAAAAGTTGTTGGTTGAGGAGGAAGACGAAGATGTGCTCCGCCTGCTCTCTGGGGTGTTGGGGTCGGCTGTCTCTTGCTCGGATCCCATCTCCATGATGGTGATGATCTTGCTCATCTTGAGGCTCCTCGCTCGCCTATGGCTGTAAGTAATGAAGCGAGACGGCGGCTCGGCGGCCGATTCCGGATCCCATGCTGGAGACAGTGCTTTCTGTCGCGGCAGAAGGCTACTCCAGCGCTGGACGTAGTCGCAATACCAAAGGAAGAACTGGAGAGGCTCGGCATTGTGCTCAACGTAGAGGAGATAGTCCATGAAGTCGCTCAACGAACATGGCTGGGGAGAAATGTTAGTCCTAGTATTAAGTCATATCACCTGCCATGCTCGACGGTCTAACTGACAGGTGCCGTCCGGTTCTTGATGACCTGCTCAAAGCATAGTTCTTCAGGGATACTCCATCGGAACGGCCGAGCTTGTCCTGGTGTGTCTATAGAGTCGAGATCAGACATTGCTAGCCGATCCCTACCTTAAGGGGTGTTGATGATGATGAAGTCACAGTGGACAGATCGGTGACCCGCGTTCTTGCCCTTCATACCAAGTTGCTACAAGGGACTGGCCATATACTCGAATAAATAATTTCACAGAGCCACTGGATACCCTCCAAGCGGAGAGACTTGGGACCGATAGCAGTCAAGCCACATAGGGTATATGTTGCTCAGCTTATGCCACACAAGACAGTATTGCCCGCAAACTTGGGACCAAGGCGATGTAAATACCGAGTTGGCCGACCAATCAGTGCACTTCAGAATGGAGTTGAAGCCTGCCTCATAATAGTCGGAGTGGTTTAGGAACGGGAAGATCCAGGCGGCGGAAGGTTACCAAAGGGGGAGGCGGAGGACGAACTGCAGGTCCGCGTTATGGTGACCAGCCGGTCAAGGGGGCATTGACAAGCTGTCAGAGCCGGGAAAGCAAGGAGACCCAACCCATCCATGGTCTGGGTGCTGATGTGACGGCGAACCGGCCGTACTGCAGAGTGACAAGTAGTAGGTAAGCAGCACTTGGATTGGAAGTTCGGGAGTGGAGCAATCTCTTGGAGGAACCCGATTTTCCTGTGTCACTGGCAGGCATTGAAGTAGTGCAGGCTGCGGTTCAGATATGATTCCTTGGAGATGTTTGCAGCTTTTGATATTGTAGTAGGTACGACCTCAGGGCGAGGCTCTGCTAAGAGGGGTAGTCGAGAGGATGAATTTTGGGTGTGTAACTCTGGCTGCACTAACAGATATCCCGGCCTCTCAATGTACCTCGAGGAGAGTGAGCAGGTACGTACGTCATTGCTAGTATGATGGACCGTGGTAGGCACGGCTGCAGCTGCTTCGTACTCAGGTTTTCAGGACTAGAATTCATCATGAAAGATCCGCAGATCCTTGGGCAATCCAGGGGCAGCCAGTTGATGGACGCCCAAGGTTCTGTCGCGCTTCAGATCTTCGCTCGGTGCGGCAGCTTACGAGAAGCATCATATAGATGATCCAGGACCGACAAGCCCAACAGCAAGGAAATATCTTCATGCCTTCGCGGGATGGGCATACATAGAAGATACGGCAGTTGCTGAATCGCGGTCAGCGGCACTTGTCAACGGACGGCTCGCATCGCCTGCATCCGAGGCGCAGGGTTGCGGCGAGGTAGATTGACGCGCTTGAGGCGGCTCCTATAAGGCTTCTCGGCAGTTGCAGCTACACATTGCAGCGCTGCTACCGGGTTGACGGCGAGAAGATGTGCACATGCTCAAATTCCTCCCGAGCAACGAAACACTCAAAGTTCCGACACGGCGGCTCGCGGGTTGGCAATATGAGAGGAGCTGTAAATCTTCTCGACGCGGGGTTGCTTCATCGACGCAAGGACTCGTCGATCATGATCTGTCCTCTCTCCAATCTCGACCGAACACGTCCCGCAAAAGTTAGGCACGGTGAAACCGCCATTTCCAAGCCAGCATGTAAGAATTGGCGCCCATTATCTCTCCGCTTCCGGCTCTCACACACTGGTGACCCTCGCGCAGAAACCATGAAGCGTCAAAATGATCTTGATACATCTCCCTCAATCTTGCCACATATTTGTACAACGCCGGACATGGATGGTATCGATCTAAACCTCCACACGAGACGTATCTCTCCCGACACCGTTGCAACTCCTTGAACGCCGCGCAATGCAAAAGAACACCCACACAAACCACAAACGCTCCCGCCCACCTATTGCTGCTTGACCAGGATCGCCTTTTCTCTCTCGCTCTTCCGCTTCTGAAACTTCTTGTCCGAGTGCTTCCGCTCGTTCTCTTCTCTCCGCTTGATGGCCGCCAGCTCCTCCCGCTTAATCTCGCCAGCCTTCTTGACCACCTTAGGAAGATGCCTGTGGCGGCGGATGCGGCGAATCTCAGGCAGATGACTGTACCTCTCCATCAATGCCTGGTTGTACTCGAGCGATTGCCTCTGCTTCGTCGACTTCACTCCGCTTCGTTCCGAGGCATTGCCCCGCCACAAGCGGACATTGCCCTGTGTTGCCGTCAGTAAGCCAAAGGTCGAAGACAGAGACCAAGAGGATGCCTTACATCGTCACTTCCGGTGAGGATATACTTTGAGTCCATGGTCCAGAGGGTTCGGAATACCCTCTGCATCCTCTTCGTGTGGTAGATATCTCGAGAATGGCCTTGGTCGCGACGCCAGATCCTTATGGTGCGGTCCTATAATGCGACTTAGTACGACTCAGTACTAGGGGTTAACCTCAAACTCACATAGGAACCGCTCACGAGTTCCTCGCCGGTGGGTGAGAACTCGACGTCCATTACAGCTGCCACATGGCCTTTTTGGATATTCTGGGCCTTGTCGAAATTCCTCGCATCGAAGATGTAGCTACAAGAATGTCAGCAGCGATAGGGTCGGGTTGGCCGTTCATAAACCTACATATTGTGGTCTAAAACCAGTTAGCATGCTTTATCAAAGCCCCATGTTTAGCTAGCTCCACACGTACCTTCTGACGCTACAGCCATGTTCATGGCTTCCATCGGGTTGAACACAATGCGGTTGGCCGCAAAGTGTAGCACCGTTTTGATGACGGGCACTGAGCTCGGGTTAGTCTTCTTTTTCAATGACCGAAGAGGAACTGCCCATACTGTTCGTCCGTAAGTCGAATAAGATAACGGAGCGGTCAGTGGCTACGGAGCCAATGACGGACGTCTCAACCTGGTTGAAGCAAACGTCCGTGATGGTGTCTGTGAAGCTTGGCCACTGTATTGTCTGGGCAGCTGTGCTGTGCTCTAAATCCCAGACTCGAATACACCCTGCGCCGGAAGAGGCAGCAAACACGTTGCCCGTCCTGTGATACGAGAGCGCAGTATACGGCCCGCCCTCCTGCCATGTCGCAAGCGGCGTGGTATCGTTGGGCGTGGTATAGGGGTCCCATAGCTTGATGCCGTCCGTGCCGCACGATAGCAGCTTCTTGTCGTTGGTGAAGGTTAAGCCCTTGACGATGTTGGAACTGAATAGTCTAGGTCAGGCCCCTGAACTCTCAAAACAGGAACATTCTTGCTTACTGCGCGGCCGTCCGCCAAGCCTCATCTCGAGTGGTAAGATCCCAGACCTTCACCACACCGTCGCCAGACCCTGATGCTATTGAGCTCAGTGAGTTCTTGTCCTGGTGACTGTTAGCACGCCCCCTACCGGTTTTCTAGTAAGGGAGAGCACCGACTTTGCACATGCTATACACGCCCTGCACATGGCCATTCCCTAACTGCGCAAGAAACGGCTTCGCAAACATGCGTTCTCTTCTCCCGGTCAGCACTCGATTCGCATAAGACTGGGATGTATCCTCACAGTTTGACGGCATTGAGGGCTCTTTGGCTACAACCAGTATTAGAGTCCACATCTGAGTATCCCGCTGGCCTGTTCAGACGTACTATTCCCGAGCTCGCTCGAAGGGGTGAATTTCCGGGGCAAGGTTTCGTGGCGCGCGCTTGGCTTCTGAGCCTGGCACTTGTTGCGCTGAAATGCTCCGGCTAAGGGCTTTGATCTGACCATATAACTGTTAGCAGCTAGAAGCGGAACCTCGTATTGTTAAGAAGACAGTCCTCCGTCCTGTTTCGCGTCCACGAATCGTACCTTCATGATGGGGCCTTGATTGCAATTGCTTCTTGGATTGCTATTACGTTGTGAGTATTTCGAAGGTTTGAGTATAGCTTTCGGCCTTGGCGGAGTATTATGGGTATTGTTTGAATATGGCTTTTCGCTGGTTGATGCAAGCAGCTCTGTGAAGCATCACGAATCTAGATCCCCGACAATGGCACTGGAAATTTTGGCGGGGTCAAGCGGCAAAATGTGTTACCGCCTTTCAAACCAGCCACAGGCGCCACAGCAGATGGAGCCGCCAAGACGAGCTGTTGCCAGTGCCCCATTACGTCGCACTCCGGCAACCTAGCTGGGCTTGGACTGCAGGGGAGCAATTGCATGAGGCAGCGCTGGATTTGGAGCTGCAACTTGAACCTAGGAAACATTCCCAACATCATCTCATCGAAACCATTTACTCAGGAACGACCCTCGCCGACTTCTTCCCGACTACGGTCCGGCCTGAATCTCCATTCTCGGATTCTGCTCGCCTGCGCGAACCTGACGTATCCCCAGCAACAGCATCGTGTCGGTGACAATGGCACAGGGCGACTCGGAGAGGGTGCGCGAGGCGCAGAAGGTGGTCAAGTCTGATCCGCGCAGGGCAGAGGAGATCTACAAGGAAATCATCTCAAAGCCGCCGTCGGTCACATCGGATGCTGCCATTCGGGAATACGAGATTGCCTTGATCAGCTTGGGGGAGCTATACCGCGACCAGAAGTAAGCCGGCTCCAGGTTGTTCGGCTAGACTGTCCATCTAACTCGGCGCAGGAACACAGAACAGCTAGTGGGCTTGGTAACCAAGAGCAGAACCGTGCTCTCTTCATTTGCAAAGGCGAAGACGGCCAAGCTGGGTACGACCTTTTCCTTCCTCTTTCCCTGAGTTACATGCAAAGTCGCTTACACAGCCTTACTCTCCCAGTCCGCCAGCTACTCGACCTCTTCGAAGCTATCCCCAACTCCCTCGACATCCAGATCTCCGTCACAAAATCATGCATAGAATGGGCTACGTCCGAGAGGCGGAGCTTCCTCCGACAGAACCTCGAGACGCGCCTCGTAGCGCTGTACATGGCGAAGCAGTCCTACTACGATGCGCTGACTCTCATCAACGGCCTGCTGCGCGAGCTCAAGCGCATGGATGACAAGCTGGTGCTAGTCGAGGTGCAGCTCCTCGAGTCCCGCGTGTACCACGCACTGGGCAACATCGCCAAGGCCCGCGCGGCCTTGACCAGCGCCCGCACCTCTGCCGCCTCGGTCTACACCCCGCCGCTCCTGCAAGCCAACCTCGACATGCAGTCGGGCATGCTGCACGCCGAGGACAAGGACTTCCAGACGGCATTCAGCTACTTCATCGAAGCGCTGGACGGCTACCACACGCAGGACGAGCCGACGCGCGCCCAGGCGGCGCTGCAGTACATGCTGCTCTGCAAGATCATGCTGAACCTGGTCGACGACGTCAACCAGCTCATGACGTCCAAGCAGGCGCTGAAGTACGCGGGCCAGTCGCTCGAGGCCATGAAGGCCATTGCGCGCGCGCATGCGAACCGCTCGCTCGAGGAGTACGAGCGCGCCCTGGCCGCCTACAAGTACGAGCTCGGTAGCGACGCTTTCATCCGCAACCACTTGCGGCGGCTCTACGACGCCATGCTCGAGCAGAATCTGATCAAGGTGATTGAGCCCTTCAGCCGGGTTGAGATTGACCACATTGCCAAGATGGTTGGACTCGACACGCAGCAGGTGGAGCGCAAGCTGTCCCAGATGATCCTCGACAAGGTCATCATCGGCGTCCTGGACCAGGGCGCCGGGTGCCTCATCATCTATGACGAGACGCACCGGGACGAGGCGTACGACGCGGCGCTGGCGACGATCGAGAAGCTGAGCAGCGTCGTGGACGTGCTGTATACCAACCAAGCATCGCTCCTCGAGTGAGGGGGTCTATTTTTGCTGTGGGTTGTTTTGAGTCGGTCTGGTGAGGCCTGGATTGTAACCATATATCGGTGCACAAATATCAACAACAACGCTTAGAATCGCTGGCGTGAAACGAACAAGGCATCGCATTCTTGGCGTACACCAAGCCTAGTAGTACTGTTTATCCATAAACTGAACGCAACCCCCAAACGCCTTAGGTATCGTATCGTACGTATAGGGGGTTAGATCAACCTCGTGATGCCCGCCAAACTAGCCAAATCCAGGCGACTTTCATAACCCCTGAGTGACAACCACCGCCCACATTGCTGCCTGCCCATGCAAGAACAAATCATCAACTTCGTAATCCACACGAGAACCCGTTCAACATCTCATCCACACCACAGCAGAACCACAGCCCTTTGCCTGCCATCCCACCATTTCAAACAACAGGGATGACG